CCTAGCAAACGACTCCAAAGTCCCAAACAAAGTCACTCCAATCCTCACAACTCCCCAACATGTGAGACCCCACATATGTCACGTCTCTTTCTTTTAAGAAGGATCTAAAACTTGGATATCTACAGGTTCGCAAAACTCCCAATTATAAGTGAACTGAAAAGTGTCCAAAATATTCCCCAAGTGTCAGCAAAGCAACAGAATGTGATTCTATGGTTTTGTTCATATTTGGCAAACCAACACACACTAACCTCTCAGCCATGAGTTGGAGACTTATAATCTGTGGGTGAGGTTAGACACTACACCCACAGGTTATAAATGGTCTCTCTGTGGTAACCTCTAACCCCATATCAAGGTTATCACCTTGATATGGGTAATGTAACAAATTCTTGGGATTATGGTCCAAATTCTATGACAGCTCAGGAGTCATCTGTGGGGGTTGGTTCTATATCCTCTCTGATGGTCCAGAGTGTGTCATTGGATCCAAATCCAATGACACACACTGACCTCACCTACTCACTCTTTTTGGCACATTTAGATTCACACAATCACACAAGGGACCATCAAACTGCAGGCAAAGCACTGGGATATCTGATCTTGTTGTTTTGTTCATGTTTGTTGATCTGCACATCTGACCTTTCCTCAGAAATGTGTCAAATTATACCCAAAGTGTCAGCAAAGCAACAGAATGTTTGATTCTATTGTTTTGTCCGTATTTGGCAAACCATTACAATGACACACGCTGACCTCTCAGTCGTGAGTTGGAGATTCATAACCTGTGGGAGAGGGTTTCAAACCTTATAAAAGGTCCCTCTGTGGTAACCCTCACCCCCTATTTGAAGGTGTCTAAATCCCCAAAAATCCGCTAGCTTAACCCGTCCGCTACTTCCGCCACTTCAGGCATGCGCCAGGACTTCTGGTCTGAAGACCCCTGCGCCTGAAAACTAGAAAATCTGTGTCTAGTTTTTCTCATTTCAAATGTCCAAATAAAACATTCATTCATTCAAAGTAGGGTTAAGTGTCTTGCCCAAGGACACAAAGGCAGCAGACATCAGTGGGAGTCGTGAAGTAGGTCTTTACTGTGGGTTCGAACCGACGACCTTCAGGCGAAAGGCCAATGCTCTACCAACTGATCCACTGTCGCCCCCGAAATGAAAAACAAAGTACTTCAAACACAACTATTGTATTACAGTTTTGTGTCCCATGAACAATGACACTTGACTTGAAAAAAAGAACATTTTAGTAAAACTCATTTGCCTCCCACACAAACACCTGTAACAAACAATTAAACATAAGCACCAGACGCTGAATAGCTGCAGATTTGAGGATTCAGGCTCTTATCTAAGCCTCCATAACAGTGGTCTCCAGTCCACCCCTCTTCATATATATATTAGGCTCGATGCCCATAAATCAATTCTTTGTGCAATTCATTCACACCATCGACCAATCTCATTTTTATTTACCGATGGTCGATAGTAGTGAACAAGGGAAACATCAACCAATATTAAGGTAAAGGTGCACTTTATAAATCCCCGTAGGGCTATTCATCCTCTGCATTTGACCCATCCTGATGCCGCTGAGGCTTACGTCAGGAGCAGTGGTCGCCATAGTAACAGCGCCCAGGATACCATCTCCAGATGTTGGTGTTCGGCTTGGGTAGGACTGGAGCTGGAGGATTTAACCTAGTGTGCTGATTTTAATGGTATGGGGAAACCTACGCAAGCACGGGGAATGCAAACTCCACTCAGAAAGAGCCCGTTCCAACCGGGATTCAAACCATGGACCTTCTTGCTGAGAGGCGAGAGTACTATTCACCCGTGCCGCCCTATGTTCAGCCCAAGCATCCCTAGTTTGAATTTACAAACTACAAATGTGCCGTATGCATTTGCTGAGCTCTAATTGGCTAAACAAATACTTCAAGCTATGGCAGAGAAGCAGGAAAATGCCAAATCTATCAAAACAAGAACCTGCTTTGTATTTTCAATGTTAAACCTGATTTGAATGAACAAGCATGAGTCTGTCTTTGCACTATTTGCACTTATAGGTTCTCAGCATCGAACCGCTCCATCCCAGCCCGTGCTCTGTTGGCAAAAACACAAGCTGCTGAACACAAGTGCTCTGTGATGTTGCGCTCTCTTCAGGGACAGCATGCACCGAGAGTGTGACATTTTTGCAGAACATGACAGTTTTTACAAGAAAATAAATCCTACGGGTTTGGATCAGCAAAATAATAGGGACAGAGAGTCTACTTTGAGAATCCCCACTGCAAACCAGTCAACTGTAGAAGAGGTAGGATTTAGCCTGGTCTTGCCACACCATCGTACTCATTTAATTTCGTATTAAATGAGTACGTAATGCCCCCGAGTAAGTCGCTAGTATTTAGTATTTAGCCTAACTTTAGCCATCTCCTTTGCCACTTACAGAGCTACCCCACATCTTTGCTTCCATTGCCAAACTGCAACCAGCAAATTCAGCACAAACTCTTGAACTCACCGACACCGACCTACAACACCCTCCCCCGCTCACCGATCACAACTTTGAGATGCTGGGGATTGAACCCAAGACCTCATCATGTTAAGCATGCACTCTACCACTGAGCTACATTCCCTCCGTATGCGCAACTTTCAACTGTTTTTTTAACCCAAAAACCTGGTTTCTAGATGTGAAATTGACACGGTTTTGATCAATATCTCACTGGTTGAAGATGCTGGGAAATGAACCCAGGACCTCACATGTGCTCTAACACTGAGCTACATCCCCTCTAAACAAGTTTTTGTTTTGTTTTGTCTTTCTTTTTTCCTCCAACATTTTGATTTCAAGATGTGAAATCATTCTTAGAAATGCGCTCTACCACTGAGCTACTGTACATCCCCTCCTCATGCACGGATTTTAACTGTTTTTTTTAACACAAAAACCTGGTTTCAAGACGTGAAATTGACATTGTTTTGATCAATATCACTGGTTGAAGATGCTGGGAAATGAACCCAGGTATTCAGACATGTGCTCTACCACTGAGCTCCATCCCCTCTAAACCACGGAAATTGTGTTTGTTTTTTTTCTCCAACTTTTTGATATCAAGAAGTGAAATTATTCTGGTCAAACTATTTGGATCGAAATCCCGGCTTGGAGATGCTGGGGATTGAACCCAGGACCTCATTTTGTATTTTAATATTACGTAGTTGTTTTTCATTTTCCTTTTTTTTTAACCAAAGCCTGATTAAAGCTAAAGAAAGTCTGTAAGTTTTGTGGACAAATGAATGTTTTAGATTTAGATGAATAATAATGAGGTATAACAGGCCATCTTAACCCTCTTGAAGCTAATGCATTGGGTCGTGATTCCCATTCATTTGAAAAGGGAAAGACATAGGTATGTTTCTGGAAAGGTGAATTGAGCACTTTGTCCAGTTCTGCTCCAGAGTGTTCAGTGTTCAGAGTGTTCAGTGTTCAGTGTTCAGAGTGTTCAGTGTTCAGAGTGTTCAGAGTGTTCAGAGTGTTCAGTGTTCAGTGTTCAGAGTGTTCAGTGTTCAGAGTGTTCAGTGTTCAGAGTGTTCAGTGTTCAGTGTTCAGTGTTCAGAGTGTTCAGTGTTCAGAGTGTTCAGTGTTCAGAGTGTTCAGTGTTCAGTGTTCAGAGTGTTCAGAGTGTTCAGTGTTCAGAGTGTTCAGTGTTCAGAGTGTTCAGTGTTCAGAGTGTTCAGTGTTCAGAGTGTTCAGTGTTCAGTGTGTTCAGAAAGGCCTGTGCTTGCAGCTTCAGTCTGCAGCAGAGAAGGCTGCAGCTGCTGTGTCTGCATGATGCATGAAGCCTTCACAGTGGGGCAGGTTTGGGGACGGCTGGGTGCTCTCCACATGTTCAGGCCACACCGCTGCTCTGCCATGTGTAAGGTGACGATTAGGAGCTTGAGATTTTAACAATATATTTTACTGATTTGATTGATTCATTCTGTGTCAGTGAATATGTTAAATGAGGACATAGGGAGAGGATGTGTGTGTGAACTATATTGCACATGTGTTGGTGTCTTTTTATGTATATATTTTTTGTATTGAAATGTAGCAGACCCATCGGACCAAACCAAATCTCTTCTATAGGAGACAAACATAAATAATCTTGAATAGTATGGACCAAAACCTGGCACAAATTATCTAAATCCAAAAAGAGTTAGGCAGGAGGCATGAAAACGGCTAATGGCACACATTCTGAATTAAAGATATACAATTGTGTAGTGTTTATAATAGGGCTCGGCGATCTGGGGATAAGAAAGATGATAATTCTCAATGTTGACCAATCTGATTCCATTTGACATGACTTTTGACACAAAAAAACAACAACAGAAAAAACAATGTACAACTGGTACGACAACCACTGACAAACACAAACGAGTGAAACTTCTCTTCAGCCCATTCTTCAGTTACTAACACGTTATTAACACGCTGTATTTCCATTGCAGGTATCAACAATCTACCAACATTGGAATTGCATTATTTCTATTTCAACGCCCTGGTCCTTTATACTGTATATTAAAAGAAACAGCATCATCTTCCTTTCATGCATTCATAGCATTTAGTTTTGCTTGTTTCATGCAGATCTTGCACCAAAACCAACACACTTTAGAAGCAATTATGATAAGGCTTTTTAAGAGATTTAAATTTTTATTCATTCATTTTTTTCATCAAAACGTTCAAGATTAAAACCGCAGATAATTCCACAGACTGTAAATATAATAATACAGATATATATATTTCATCCAATTGCCTGTGAAGTACTCCTACTCAGAAATAGATCTGAATTAAAGGAGGACCTATTTTGTATTATTATTATTATTATTATTATGTATATTATTATTATTATGTATATTATTATTATTATGTATATGTATATTTTTATCAAGAGTAATAGCCACAATAATTCATGCAAAACTCTGCAGTTATTTTAAGTGGGATACAAAGCAACCGCGTGAAGATGTGCAGGCTGCCATTAGCAATAGTAGTTAATGTAAATAATCACTCACATCGTGGAAGATGGTTAGTCCCTGCTGCTGCTGCTGCTGCTGCTGCTGGAGGTGCTTGTGTTTGGCAGACTGCAAACACATGGTGATTATTTCTGTGCACGCCAGCATCTCAACGCAGAGGATGGATGGACAATAAGTGCAGAATAAAAAGGAAAGTCCGGGAGCGCAGGAGGAGAGAGAACAGACGCCGAGACCAGAGTGAGCGAGAGCAGCGAGAGCAGAGGAACTTTGTGCCAGTGTGCGCGGAGAGTAGAGGCAGGTGAAAGCGAGTATGGGAGCAGGATGGGCGCCCCCTACTGGACGACAAAAACAGTGCAATAAGATCAGATCAGATAGACTTTATTGATCTCACACTGGAGAAATGTACATATCACATCTGGCAAATATAGAATCACTCAGATTGTGCAAAGACAAAAGTGTGCAAACGTGTTAAAGGTAAAAAAATATAGTCTGTGCAGGGTATGATTATAGATAGATTGATTCTTTATTGATTCAGGTATCCAGCAGCTGAATACTTTTGTTGTTGTTGTAGTCAGTCAGATTCGTTGTACAGTCTGACAGTCGAAGGAACAAAGGATTTCTTGAAACGTCCAGTTCGGCAGCGTAGTGATAGGAGCCTGTTGCTTTGATTAGCGGCCATACAATAATATAACATTGTGTGTATTCATGTGCATTGAAGTTCCGTTGAATTGTATGTATTGTGTTATGTTGGTGTTGTGTATACGTGTTGTTATGTCTATCCATGTTAATAAAAGTATATGTATTTATTTGTGTAGGTTGTGCTGATTTATTTACTCACCAGCACACACACCTATACGTCATATTTAATAAGTATTTACATCTGAAAAAGTAGCATCTGTATTTTGAAAACTTAGAACATATTTATTTAAACTTTTAATGAATATTTTTTTATTATGTATTTTTATCGTAAATTAATGGTTATCAATAGAAATCAAACTTCTTCAACAGCTGCCATTTAACAAACAGGAAAAAAATAGAATCGCAACGCAAAATAGTAACTGTAAAGGAATACAGTTGTGGCGATACATGTATTTTGTTACTCCCCAACACTGTTATATTTTAATATTTATAGTTAGAATCCTTCCAGTGTTTATGCTCTACTTTGGTTTTCACATTCCTCGATGATTCACCTTTTACTTCTAGTAGTTCTTTGAGTAAAGGTCTTTTGTGTTCTTTGTAGCAAGACAAATATTTGTATTTACAAGGATTTCTATGGAACAGCATCAGAAGACATGAGAAGAATAGCAGAAGATTTGTTTGTATTTACTCTGATATTCAACATCTCTATGCTCTCTACAGACTATAATTGGTTAAACATCGCCACCTGGTGGTTACGAGGCGTATCCGGTTTCCTATTTAATGTTACGGATAACAGAAGCATACTTTAATTTATGTTTTTCTTCTTTCTTACATGCAGTAAAATAAGGCCATGATCCAGACTTTATTGAAAAAAGAAAAATCGATATTTCCCGAGCTGTGGGCGGAGCAGTTTCCAAAATCCAACCCTTCTTCCTGTATGTTGTTAGTTTCGCTTTCCGTCAACCCAAAGACAGCGATGAAAGTGAGCTCCTGTGCTAAGACAGAAGCGTCTCCTTCAGCCTTAGACTGGAATCACTTCTATAACTTTAGCACAAATTACAGCTTTGTCCTAGATTGGCTCCGCCGCCTCCGAGCGTCTCCCGCAGACTGTGCGTAAAGTTCAGGAGCTGATTACTCTGATTACTCTGGGTGTGTACTCTGTTCTTATAAATACAGCTTAATTACCCTAGACTTGCTCAGTTTTGATTCAACATTAAATATAATGTTGCTGTTTTAAAGGATGACTTCTGAAGCCGACACTGTGAAGGAGGGTGAGTCAAAATACACACATTTTCAAACTTTTAAACTTTGAAACTAAAACCTGTTATAGTTTAGAACAACCAGTTTTGTTCTAAATGCATTATGTAGTGTTTTAGTTTGTTTCTTTACGACCAGTTTGTATGATATGATGTTGTTTATGCTTTTTGGATACTAACACAAAGTGAAAGTAAATTTAGAATAATCGGTCACGTGATTCTCTTCCCGTCTTGTGTCGTCAGCGGAGGACCTGGCGCGGTCCCTGAGCGATGCCCTGAGCTCTGGAGATGGGGACGAAGCAGCCAGACTGTGCCTAAGGCTGTGTGAGCTTTCTGTTCCAGTGTCTGTGGCCATCGACAAGCAGGCCTACCCTCAGGAGTCCATCAGGTAGGCCACTCTAGCACCTGCTGAAGGACTGTCCCCTCTAGGACCTGCTGAAGGACAGTCTCCTCTAGGACCTGCTGAAGGACAGTCTCCTCTAGGACCTGCTGAAGGACAGTCTCCTCTAGGACCTGCTGAAGGACAGTCTCCTTTCTAGGACCTGCTGAAGGACAGTCTCCTCTAGAACCTTCTGAAGAACCTTCTATAAGAAGAGCAGGATGCACAGACTATAGGAGGATCTTTGTTTACATCCACGTGCGCATGCGCCCCTCGCTGTGTGGCAAGAAGACAGAGCGGCACATACTGAAGCATGGACGCGACTACTACTTTGAAAAGACTCAGTGGGAGAATAGCACTGTATATAAGCACTTTAAAGCAAGAAGATCAGAGGAGATATAAATATAAGCTAAAAATAAGTATGAGACCAAACTGAACAAATCCAAAGCCCATATGAGACCTAGGATGACGAGAAAAACATTGCTCAGACTCACCTCTTTTGGCACCGATCTGCTGGGACTGGGACTGGGAGACATTTATTCTTACTTCATAGAAAACCCGGTACCCGCGTTTCTCACCGCAGTAAAGTGGCCCGGCATTTCGCCCTTGCGGTAGCCTCATGTACAGCCTCATGTACAGCCTCATGTACAGCCTCATGTACAGCCTCATGTACAGCCTCATGTACAGCCTCATGTACAGCCTCATGTACAGCCTCACGTACAGCCTCACGTACAGCCTCACGTACAGTCTCATGTACAGCCTCATGTACAGTCTCATGTACAGCCTCATGTACAGCCTCATATACAGCCTCATGTACAGTCTCATGTACAGCCTCATGTACAGCCTCATGTACAGCCTCATGTACAGCTGCATGTACAGTCTCATGTACAGTCTCATGTACAGCCTCATGTACAGCCTCATGTACAGCCTCATGTACAGCCTCATATACAGCTGCATGTACAGCCTCATGTACAGCCTCATGTACAGCCTCATGTACAGCTGCATGTACAGTCTCATGTACAGCCTCATGTACAGCCTCATGTACAGCCTCATGTACAGCTGCATGTACAGTCTCATGTACAGTCTCATGTACAGCCTCATGTACAGCCTCATGTACAGTCTCATGTACAGCCTCATGTACAGCCTCATGTACAGTCTCATATACAGCCTCATGTACAGCCTCATGTACAGCCTCATGTACAGCCTCATGTACAGCCTCATGTACAGTCTCATGTACAGCCTCATATACAGCCTCATGTACAGCCTCACGTACAGCCTCATGTACAGTCTCATGTACAGTCTCATGTACAGCCTCATGTACAGCCTCATATACAGCCTCATGTACAGCCTCACGTACAGCCTCATGTACAGTCTCATGTACAGTCTCATGTACAGCCTCATGTACAGCCTCATGTACAGCCTCATGTACAGCTGCATGTACAGCCTCACGTACAGCCTCATGTACAGTCTCATGTACAGTCTCATGTACAGCCTCATGTACAGCCTCATGTACAGCCTCATGTACAGCTGCATGTACAGCCTCATGTACCGCCTCATGTACAGCTGCATGTACAGTCTCATGTATAGTCTCATATACAGCCTCATGTACAGCCTCATGTACAGCTGCATGTACAGTCTCATGTACAGTCTCATGTACAGCCTCATGTACAGCCTCATGTACAGTCTCATGTACAGCCTCATGTACAGCCTCATGTACAGTCTCATATACAGCCTCATGTACAGCCTCATGTACAGCCTCATGTACAGCCTCATGTACAGCCTCATGTACAGTCTCATGTACAGCCTCATATACAGCCTCATGTACAGCCTCACGTACAGCCTCATGTACAGTCTCATGTACAGTCTCATGTACAGCCTCATGTACAGCCTCATATACAGCCTCATGTACAGCCTCACGTACAGCCTCATGTACAGTCTCATGTACAGTCTCATGTACAGCCTCACGTACAGCCTCACGTACAGCCTCATGTACAGTCTCATGTACAGTCTCATGTACAGTCTCATGTACAGCCTCATGTACAGCCTCATGTACAGCCTCATGTACAGCCTCATGTACAGTCTCATGTACAGCCTCACGTACAGTCTCATGTACAGTCTCATGTACAGCCTCATGTACAGCCTCATGTACAGCCTCATGTACAGCTGCATGTACAGCTGCATGTACAGCCTCATGTACAGCCTCATGTACAGCTGCATGTACAGCCTCATGTACAGCTGCATGTACAGCCTCATGTACAGCTGCATGTACAGCTGCATGTACAGTCTCATGTACAGTCTCATGTACAGCCTCATGTACAGCCTCATGTACAGCCTCATGTACAGTCTCATGTACAGTCTCATGTACAGCCTCATGTACAGCCTCATGTACAGCCTCATGCACAGCTGCATGTACAGCCTCATGTACAGCTGCATGTACAGCCTCATGTACAGCCTCATGTACAGCCTCATGTACAGCCTCATGTACAGTCTCATGTACAGCCTCATGTACAGCTGCATGTACAGTCTCATGTACAGCCTCATGTACAGCCTCATGTACAGCTGCATGTACAGCTGCATGTACAGCCTCATGTACAGCCTCATGTACAGTCTCATGTACAGCTGCATGTACAGTCTCATGTACAGTCTCATGTACAGCCTCATGTACAGCTGCATGTACAGCCTCATGTACAGCCTCATGTACAGTCTCATGTACAGCTGCATGTACAGCCTCATGTACAGTCTCATGTACAGCCTCATGTACAGCCTCATGTACAGTCTCATGTACAGCCTCATGTACAGCCTCATGTACAGTCTCATGTACAGCCTCATGTACAGCCTCATGTACAGCTGCATGTACAGCTGCATGTACAGTCTCATGTACAGCCTCATGTACAGCTGCATGTTCAGGCTCATAGACTCAAAAATCTGTATTGTCGTGAGTCTGATTGTTCCGGCTGAGTTCAGTGCAATATTGTTCTTGTTTTGGACTCACTGACGTCTGATTCTTGATCCGGTCTGATACAGTGCCTTGCGAAAGTATTTGGCCCCCTTGAACCTTTCAACATTTCTCCACATTTCAGGCTTCAAACATAAAGATATAGAATTTTAATTTTTGTGTCATGAATCAACAGCCAAGTGGGACACAACCGTGAAGTGGAACAGAATTTATTGGATAATTTAAACTTTTATAACAAATAAAAAACTGAAAAGTGGGGCGTGCAATATTATTCGGCCCCTTTACTTTCAGTGCAGCAAACTCAGTCCAGAAGTTCAGTGAGGATCTTTGAATGATCCAATGTTGTCCTAAATGACTGATGATGATAAATAGAATGCCCTGTGTGTAATCAAGTCTCCGTATAAATGCACCTGCTCTTTGATAGTCTCAGGGTTCTGTTTAAAGCGCAGAGAGAACCATGAAGACAAAGAAACACACCAGGCAGGTCAGAGATACTGTTGTGGAGAAGTTTAAAGCTGGATTTGGATACAAAAAGATTTCCCAAGCTTTAAACATCTCAAGGAGCACTGTGCAAGCAATTATATTGAAATGGAAGGAGTATCAGACCACTGCATATCTACCAAGACCCGGCCGTCCCTCCAAACTTTCATCTCAAACAAGGAGAAGACTGATCAGAGATGCAGACAAGAGGCCCATGATCACTCTGGATGAAATGCAGATAACTACAGCTGAGGTGGGAGAGTCTGTCCATAGGACAACAATCACTCGTGCACTGCAAAAATCTGGCCTTTATGGAAGAGTGGCAAGAAGAAAGCCATTTCTCAAAGATATCCATAAAAAGTCTGGTTTAAAGTTTGCCACAAGCCACCTGGGAGACACGCCAAACATGTGGAAGAAGGTGCTCTGGTCAGATTAAACCAAAATCGAACTTTTTGGCCACAATGCAAAAGGATATGTTTGGCGTAAAAGCAACACAGCTCATCACCCTGAACACACCATCCCCACTGTCAAACATGGTGGTGGCAGCATCATGCTTTGGGCCTGCTTTTCTTCAGCAGGGACAGGGAAGATGGCTAAAATTGATGGGAAGATGGATGGAGCCAAATACAGGACCATTCTGGAAGAAAACCTGTTGGAGTCTGCAAAAGACCTGAGACTGGGACAGAGATTTATCGTCCAACAGGACAATGATCCAAAACATAAAGCCAAATCTACAATGGAGTGGTTCACAAATAGACGTATCCAGGTGTTAGAATGGCCAAGTCAAAGTCCAGACCTGAATCCAATCGAGAATCTGTGGAAAGAGCTGAAGACTGCTGTTCACAAACGCTCTCTATCCAACCTCACTGAGCTCGAGCTGTTTTGCAAGGAAGAATGGGCAAGAATTCCAGTCTCTCGATGTGCAAAACTGATAGAGACATACCCCAAGCGACTTGCAGCTGTAATTGCAGCAAAAGGTGGCGCTACAAAGTATTAGTGCAAGGGGGCCGAATAATATTGCACGCCCCACTTTTCAGTTTTTATTTGTTAAAAATGTTTAAATTATCGAATACATTTCGTTCCACTTCATGATTGTGTCCCACTTGTTGTTGATTCTTGACAAAAAATGTAATTTTTATATCTTTGTTTGAAGCCTGAAATGTGGCGAAATGTTGAAAGGTTCAAGGGGGCCGAATACTTTCGCAAGGTATATTTGCTGTTGTCTGTCCCTGTCCTGTCTTTTTAATGTCTATGGACCATTTGGATTCAAAATGAAGCTTAATAATATACTCTCAGAAGAAGAAATTATTAAAATACTTTCATACTGTAAATAACATAAGCTGTCTGTACTGGATTTGAACATGTTTAGACAAGAGGCCTGATTTGAGCTGCTTAATTTGAAACGCTGGCGTCTTGAGTCGGACGGATACGACTGGAAAGTTTCAATGACTGAATGTGACCTCGGAACGACCAGTGTCATTTCATTCTGGACGTTCATTATTACAGCGAGCCCCAACATTTCCTTTTCCGAGTGGAGCCCAAAGGGGACATTAAATCAAGATTCACAATATCACCAAGGCCAAACAAAAACACACAGACTCTGGAGCAGAGGGTGAGAGATCAAACCAGCAACCGGATGTCCTGAGAGAAATCTTTATTTATACAGACATTTCACAAATCCAGGTCCATTTGTATTTTCCATTCACTCCTCTCTCTGTGATGACAACAATACTTATGTTTAATTCAAGATTCTGACTGTGGTTTTAATTTACAATATATAAATAAACAGCCTGTATTGGCAAATCTCAGTTTCAAACATTCACACATAAAATACTGCTAATATTTTATGAATGTTTTTACCTTATCCATTCTGTGCTGGTTTTGCTCACAAAGATCCACTAATGTTGCCATTGTGATTTGATTGTTGTAATTATTCTGTGCTAATTCCTTCTTTCCCTGTAGGTTGAAAGTGGGCGTGGAAGACGGCCAGTCGGACAAATGCATCCCAGTGTTACTTGATGTTTCCCCTCACATGACTATTGCACAACTCAAAGATAAGGTACAGTTAGTCCATAATGACAAACGGTTTTCACAACAGAAAGATCTGCATTTGAGTCAGATATTATTAGAAGGAAATAAACAATCAACACAGACACACATACTGTACCTACACACAGTCATATCAAATGAGTAAATGAAATGGGTTCAATCATGAAAATACTTAAGGCTTTGTGCCGGAGTAGCCAGCTGCAGACTCACGGCTCCAAATGCTACAAAATCTCTTCTTTTGTTCATTAACAGTTTTCCTTTCCTTTTTCTTTTCTATAGTTCAGTGCTGACTTTCGCTTCCACACGTCGCTGCAGCGCTGGGTGATTGGAAAGCGACTCGCCAAGGACCAGGAAACACTGTACAGCCATGGGATACGACAGAGCGGGGACCAGGCCTTCCTCTTCATCCTTTCAGCCGGCGCCGCCCACCTCACCAAGCACCAACACAAACTGCACCAGGAGAAGCAGGTTCTAGAAGGTCCCCGTCACCACATTCTCTCCATTCCTCTCTGGTAGTGCACCGCTTTACGTGTTTTACTGATGTCACAGGGATAGTAGAATCCATGCACGCCATGCAGCTTTTGCCCAGAGGAGGGTTCGAGGAAACACGGAAACGAGGACCTCCTGTTCCTCCCAAACCTCCTCATGCTGCTCGTCCTCTGCCCCCGCCCCCCCAGGTTAGAATATATGTGGTATATACAGTAAATGTATTGTGCTTTGGTCAAGTCGCAAACTAATGAAGCTGGTGATAGTCAGATATATTGAAAAATTTTGTTTTAGATTTCCATAATTATGATTTTTATTTCAAGATTATTTTTTTTTCAATTCAAAACTGAATGTACAATTTGAATCAATTTAGATCGCATTATAAAAAAAATTGTTCTAGTTTGATATTCATGATACTTATTCTTTTTTTTAACTGATATTTTTTACCACTCAAATATAATGTTTAGAATATATTAAAGGGATAAAAGCTGTATTATTTTGATGTTTGATCACCATCCTGGTCAGAACAGGGTCTTTCTGAGTGAAGTTTGCATGTTCTCCCTGTGCTTGCGTGGGTTTCCTCTGGGTACTCCGGTTTCCCCTACCACTAAAAACGTGCTCACTAGGTTAAATCCTCCAGCTCTGGTCCTGACCGAGCCGAGCATCCACATCTGGAGATGGGTTCCCGGGCGCTGTTACTACGGCGACCACTGTCCCTGACGTGAGCCTTAGCGGCATCAGGATGGGTCAAATGCAGAGAATGAATTGCCCAACGGGGATTAATAAAGTGCACCTTTACCTTTACTCTACCTTTACCAAAACATACAAGGTATACACATTCAAAAATAATCCAAGATATGTAAAAAGTATGAATTTTTAAGGTTGAAAACGATATAAAGTAAATGTTTTTTTGTATGAGAGAACAGATGAATCCTGGTTTTTTAAAAGCTTTAATGTGAGATCTGGCATTTCCATCTGCACATGACACATTTGTCTGTCTCACACTTCAGAAGTTCCATTTTAATGAAGAAGAAATATCTAAACTCTTTCCGTTTCTGCTTTTGACATCTGCAGTTAATTATTTACTCCTTCAAAATCCTTGCCCTGATGCTGTGTGCTCCTCATTCCTACTGTTCTGTAACTTTTGATGCAACACTGACATTTCTCTTCTATGGTGTCTCTTAATGTTAATCAATCAATCAACTTATTTATATAGCACAGTTCATACAGAATGCAACCCAAAGTGCTTCACATTGGCAACAGTTAAAACCGAATTAAAAAACGCACTGTAAAAACACATACAAAAGACAATGTAAAAATAAATAATTCTGTAATGTCTGTGTCCTGTAGGAAGGGTGGACCTGCTCACGGTGCACCTTCGTGAACAAACCCACTCGTCCAGGCTGCGAGATGTGCAGTGAGGCCAGACCAGAGGAGTACACGGTTCCCAACATGTATACACCGGACACGGAGGAGGCCGTGAGGATGGAGCAGGAGGAGCTCGCCAGGCTGCTCTATGAACAGGTGACCGCTGTGCCGCTGCGTCGATCAGATACTTATGTTATTATCATCACATCCTCTACACAACATTGTTCCTCTTATTTTACACATTATTTTTTCCCTTTCCCTTCTCCCTGTGTGCCCCTTGTGCACCAAATGAATCCAAAGTGAAATTAACCAAAAATGCATGAATGAAAATAAAAACTTTTAAAGCTGCACTAACTCACTTTGTGAAATTCTCGAATGTGAGCACTGGCCTCCCTCTTCTGCTCGCCCTCCCCGCACGCATGGAGCTATCGTAGTAATAGTAGTAATCTTTATTTATATACCGCCTTTTCACTGCACATCGGAGTCTCAAAGCGGTTTACAATTGTGATTTTTGGGAGTGGGGCCAGTACAGGAGGCACATGCACAGTCCTATTGTACATATTTTTAGTGGTAGGGGAAACCGGAGCACCCGGAGGAAAGCTGCGCAGACACGGGGAGAACATGCAAACTCTAATCAGAAAGGCCCTGGTCCAACCGGGATTCGAACCCAGGTCCTTCTTGCTGAGAGGCGAGAGTGCTATCCAGCCACCGTGCCGCCCCCCACTAACCCCCTCCCACTCAGCCTTTCATGTGCTAACATCTCACAATACAGTATGGATCGCACATTTGAACGTGGATGGCTTGACCATAGAATGATAGAACCGAGAAGCGCGGAGTATGAGACTTTCTTTTGGCTGTTTCGCTGAGTAAGCAGTAACCAGTAACGAAGACACGGGAAGTTTCAGGTTAGCCTCCGCTGCTTGTTTACCTCAACCGTCTGTAGCTTTTCTCAAGAAAGTGGGGCCAGTGGTCCGCCGTGATTGGTCACAATCTGTTTCGGGATCAGATTGTGACCAATCACGGCGGACCACTGGCCCACTGGCCACGCACAAATCTGCGCTACTTATTCTTCAAAAGGACGTAGATCAGACAAGATAAGATATTCCTTTATTTGTCTCACAGCGGAGAAATATCCCAATGCACCTCATGGATTTGGATTGAATTTTCCTAATGAATACAAAAATAAAGTGAGGTAATGCAGCTTTAACTAGGTTGCGAGATGGGGGAAATGGTTGTGGAGTTTCAGCCTCTTTGAATACCACATGGCTAGCTTGCAGACTGGGATAGGCGCCATCTGCAGGTACTTCAGGGTAAGACAACAGAAGAGATGGTGCCCCCCCCCCCCCCCCCCCTCCTTGTCTTTGCCACTGCTTGAACTTGTCGATGATCCTATTTTTAACAGTATTTAGTTTGCTATATTGTTATCATTTTATTAAACAAAATGCAGAAAATATACAAATGCATATCTATACTAATTGTTTTTGTACAAATAATGTAAAACTCACTAATATATGGGACATACGTTTTTATTTCTATTATTTTATTATTTTGTATATTTTATTAACTGCAAGATTTTTAGCCTATTACAGCCCAGTTTGTGATGTTTGGTCGAAAAACATATTTTTATTCTTTAGATTATAAATTAATAACTAAAGCATACACAAACATATAATACTTACACATTCACAGCATCATGCAGAGGGAGGAGAACAACGAGGGGATAATTGTTATGGGTATTATTTTATGTACATATACACACTTGTTTACACATTCAGTACATGTGTGTGTGTAAAATGAGTATGTTTTTTTTCTCCTCTTATTTTCATATAAGTAGTAACAATTTTCCTATCTAACAAAACCATACATTCTATACTCCTTTGGTAGAAAAGAACACAAAAATTAGAGAAAAAAATATCAGCACGTATAGAGAATTATTTTATAATTATGAGCAGTGCGTTTCAAGCTGCTCCAGGACAAAGAATGATTGGCAATTATCCAGAAGTATTTGCAATGGTGTCTGTGCAGCTACGTGCTTCTTATGCCTCGTCGCTGAGTCCAAATCAAACCAAACAAACCGTAACCACAGCAAACTCACAGGACGTTGTTCAGATCATCCTCATGTCTGTGGCTTGTGTCATAATTTAAAACCTCATGAGACTAAAACGCCTCTAAGTCTGCAGCCGGTTTGAGTCGTCAAACCAGTCCTGCCAGATGCAGTACACTACAATCAGTAATGCTTCAAGAATTGGGACAAATAGATAGATACTTATCATTTCCTGTGGGAGAAATGCAGGTGTCCAGTAGCAGCAGAAACACATTCATACAAACAACAACCCATTGTTTATTTGAATGAATATATTAAAATAATTTGCCTGATATCAACACAGCTGTTGTTATGTTATTAGTAAAGTAACGTTAGAATCAGAGACTGTAAATATGAACGGACGTAATATGTGGAAAATGTGAAAAAACACATTTGCGCATGCGTTGACACTAGTCGACACTAGCCCCATTAATTTAATGAGTGCATTCAAAAGTCCACAGCGGCTAAACTAGACTGGTCCAAAAAAAATCCTCCCCTCAGCATCAACAACATCTGGAACGTAGCGTTGGACCAAGAGCCACCTTTGGACGTCATAGAAAAGCATTGGTTAGTTCTGTTTCCGGGTACACCCCCACCAGCGAGGCATGAGATGGCAGCATGTCAGGGAAAATGCTCATGGACCTTTTGGAGCCGGGAAAATATAAAAAAAGAAAAAAGAAAATACACAGAACTACAGTAGGTCCCATTCCGTTTTGTCGCCTTTCACGCGTGAATCACACGAGACTCACGTGTGATTCACGCGTCTTTTATTTTCCCCCCTCCCAGTGACGTTGCAATGACCAAAACAACCACCAGGTGGCACTTGTGAGCAGGGTTACATTGGCGAGTTTCTGCCCCGCGCACAATCAATCAACAATGGTTAAAACGGGCAACTCCTTGTAGCAGGCCAGTCTCTGGAATAACCCGCAGACATTAAAACTACTGCATATAACGTAAACTTTTGCATCACGTTGGTGATCTTTCCAAAAAGAGAGAATATCGTTATGGAAAGAGAAACTATTGGTAATATAACGCTGAACGTTATCTGACTCAAACAGCTCCGCTGGTGTCTCCTCCCACTCAGAAAAAAAGCAGACGCCTTTTCTCTGGCATCTCTAACATTTATAATAAATACATAAATATAACAATCATAATGAAGATGCTTTCAAATAATTTAGCAAGCTGTAATTCATTTATTTTAACTCCCTGCCAAACTTCTCTCGCTGCTCTCTCCTCCGCAAACCACTAAATGAGGAAAAGGGAATATTCACTCAATCTATTTTGAATGTTACACATACAATATTAATATAGTCTAAGCACGTGTACCACCTGTAGCGCGTGTATTTACCACAGACTGTAAGTATTAAAGTAATGAGGCCCCTGCTTTAGGCCTCTGCTGTGAGGCCCACACACTGTAAATCCTTATATCCGCCTCACCTAAAATTATTGATCATACTTTACTTGATTTTTCTCCAAGTTTACTGTTCACCCACACACTATTAGTAACCTTTACAATTCATGTCAAAATCTAACTTTTAAATGACATAGTTGAATTTCATTTCATAAGTGTTGGTGTGTATCATCTATGGTATTTCTGCATCAGACAATACTTGAAAGGTGTCTGTAAAGTCAGTACTTTACTTAAGTTAATAAACAAATTGATGCGGGAATTACTTGAGTAAGCTTTTACGATATGCGCAGTTCAGTTTTTCACCTCATGGCTACGGTCACTTCCTGCCTCAGCGCCATCCTGTGCTTTTACACCTGTGCCTTCTCACCGCTCTGTATACAGTTATACAGGGAGAGCAGAAAGCAAACTCTACATTGTAATAAGTGAATCAGACCAAACCTTGATGTAAAATATTTAAGTAAATACTATATACTTCATTTTCCACTGTTTTATATTTTTGGTTGACAAATAAGTACTGTATAATATTATCATAGCACCCTGTACAATACTGATTTTATTGCATTAAGTGAAAATACTTCTGCTGTAAGCCTGTTGGTCCATTAATGACAAAACAAATATCATGTGTTGATTGAAAACAAAATGTGGTGAAGCAGTGATGCTACCCAGAATGCATTGCAGAGCAAAATATAAACTTCTTAAAACAGGAGCCCTCTGGAACAGTCTGAGGAGGAGCTCAGGGCCGCAGAGAACGTTCATATATTTAAGAGTAGGCTCAAGACGCACATTTTTAGAGTAGCTTTTGATTAGTATTTATTATTTATTATTGCTTTTTAGTACATCTATTTATGTTTTTAGACACATTCTATTTGTATTTATTTTTATCATTTACTATTTTTAATTATTTATTGTATCTACCCATTTACTATTGTTATTATCAATATTAGGCAGCTGCCATTTTTCTTTTTATTGTCACATTTTATTGTTCTACTTTCTATTGTATTATTGTATTGTTTTAGTGTCCCCAGTGTTTCCTCTGGAGGAGCCCTCTGCACTGAGAGCTGGGGTCTGCTGTGGCTTCGGGGGTCTGGCTCTTGGATCCGGTGGGGGTCTGGGGCCTCCTCTCTCCTCTGGGTCCTATGGGGTCTGAGTCCTGGGCCTGGTGGGGTCTGGGGCCCCTCTCTCCTCTGGGTCCTCTGTCGTTCCCTGTGGCTGCAGCCGGCTCTCTGCTCCTGGTGCAGATGGCTCCTTGGATGGCGCTTCTTCAGCCGGTTACAAAATTCTGTCAAAAGTAGCTTGCTATATAGAAGCTATTTTCAATTAAACAAACTGCAGTTCATGCAATTTTATATTTTCCTGCATTAACATGTTTGCTCATTTCTTATTTTTTGCACAATTCTTGAGTGTTTTATCCATGCCAAATGTGACATGTACATTTCTCCTGTGTGAGATTAATAAAGCTTATCTTATTTGAGATAAACTGTCAGTCAGATAAAGGTTGCCTGGCTGTGGTTCATTCTGCAAAAAACAATTAAATCCATGAATACAGGTGAATGCTGAAACATTTGAAAATCATGAAAAATGTAATTATGTGAAACTAATACATAAAAAGAAGGCAAAACATTTTTTTCTTCTTTTTTAAAGTCAGATGGAGGAGAATCGACAATGGAAAATGGACAAGGAGATCTCGAAAAAGGAATTTACCTTTGCAACATAATTACAGAAAGATATCAGGACCAAGTCCAGAGTCAGGACAAAGACTGCATTTGTGGTTTTTACAAGCAAAATAATGCAAGTTAGAATAAAGGCATAAATAATTGGCACTAGTCACTTTACCATAAGTCCATAATATATATTACTTCACATTTTAAGTTGTGAAAAGAATGTACTTTGACACACTATTAAAATTACTCAGGATTCATCATTCACTACAATATAATGTAAAACATGTAAACAAATGACATACCTCTGACAGTCCAACTGTAGATGAAGCAATGGCTCCAATAGGGCACTGTCCGGTTTCCGAAATGTGCTAAAAATAGCTCAGATGACTGCGCATGCGCGCATGTTTCGGACAAACATTGTGTACGACTCGTTGAGTTCTACTGTGTTCTCCTCATACGCGTGTGTATTTATTTGGGCTAAATCATTGAATCATGGTGACAACAAAACACTGCAGTTATGGTGCTTGTCGGAGCGATTTCAGATACTCTGAAAAGGACTATATGAAAGTAACATTCAACCCGTTCGTTAAACCACAACATCGGACCAGACCAGGACCAGACCAGGACCAGACCAGGACCAGATCAGACCAGGTGGGTGCTTGTGGTCGGCAGAATTTCTCTCATGAAAAGGTTAAAAAGGGCACATGTTTTTTCAAAACACTTCGCTGGACCAACTGTGGAGCCTCCAGATCCAGTCCTAGCTACGTTTAGCTGGGACTGGATCTGGACCGCTGTATCAGGTCCGTCTGAGCTCTTCTGAATGTAGTTAGCACAAACTTTCTCTCTTACACCATTTACCCCCATCAATCCATATTAGTATTGTTTGTCCTAATCCAGAAAGTATACAATTCTCACACCTGAAGAAAGATGAGAGGGATTTTTTTCAACTTTGTGTCTGCTTATTATACGGCTTTGTACCAATTGAACACACAAAATAAACGTCATTCACTACTCATGCCGAAAGGTTTATTTAATGAGTGCAAAGAAAATAGTTCCCAAAGGTTTTCCCGTGGCAGGCGAGTAACAGTGAGGATAGTTAACCTAAAAGCGATCGCTTTAGTCGCATTAAAAAAGTATTTTTGTCATGAAAACCTGAACAGTTAATTCTGAAAACCTCCGTGCACTTGTGTTATGAATGAGTATAATGTATTCTCCCATTAACATTTAAATGTGTTGATTGATTGTCATTTGCGTTTACTGAGTGTGGCTAGCTCTGATAGTTTCTCTCTGCAGAGACAGTGGCGTAACCCGTTGTGATCATGGATTTATTATAATATCAGCTGACTGTAGCTAACTAATGATCAAACTAATTACAAAGTGGATAGTGCAAAAACAACTTGATAAATGGAAGTTAATCACAGCAAAACAAACAAAGAAGGCGCTAGCATTGCAATTTAAATGACTAGATAATGTTAGCATAATCCTCACCATTATCTTTTTATCAATTCAAACTTTCTACCAGTTACTGGAAGACCACGACATTCAAGCCAACGTTATAATTGGTCTACACTATGATCCCTGATGGTTTGATGGTGGAATTTTGCTCCTGGTATATCATTTTCGTCTAAAGTGACAAGTGGTATTTGATTCATTTCGGCAGTGTTTGTCCGAAACATGTGGGCGGGAGTTGACAGACGGCGGGGGCGTGTCTTAGTGACGTCATTTAGATAGTTCGCTATTGAAGTTGAACCCGAGGGCTGGTTCTTAGGAAGGAAAAACAGTAAACAGATAAAAGTTGAGGTTACAATAAGAAATCAAAAATATTACCAATAGTTGAACATTACAAACCTGATATTCCGAAGTGTATGATTTAAATGAAATTCTGTATTTGTCAAGGTTCTGGACAAGTACATTGACATCCGCATCAGTAAATTCCTTAAAATCTTCACTGTATATTTGAACAGAATGAAAGTCGGCTTTGTCTGTTAAAAAGCCCGGTTGGACCAGGGCCTTTCTGAGTGGAGTTTGCATGTTCTCCCCGTGTCTGCATAGGTTTCCTCCGGGTGCTCCGGTTTCCCTTACCACTAAAAATATAGTATATTAGAGCTATTGGCCAGACCTATTGGCACATGCCAATAGGTCTGGCATGTGCCTCTTGTACTGGCGCCACCACTCCCAAAAATAACAATTGTAAACCGCTTTGAGACTCCGATGTGCAGTTAAAAGGCGGTATATAAATAAAGATTACTTACTTACTTACACATGACATCACCCCAACACCTATGTCCAATTCTGTTGCTTTCTGTTTTTAATAATGCTTTTAATACATGCATTAAGAGTTCTGAGCTTCCTGCTCGACCGCACGGCATTGTGGGTAGTTTTCTTAAAAAAGTGGGCATCAAATCACTCTGCCGTATTGGATTACATGTTGTGAACATGATCTCTCTCTTTTGTTTTCAGCCCATGGATTGTTTTAATAGTTTAAAAATTCACCAATTTCAGACATTTGAAAGGTAAGCTGCGTGTAGCTCTATAGTCAGTCGGTTGTGTTTACATCTAAAACCACAAGAAAAAAATTCATTGCTTTTTTGTTACATGAAAAAATCTTTACCTTACCTTTGAAATGTCTGAAATTGGTGAATTTTTAAACTTTTAAAACAATCTATGGATTGAAAACAAGAGAGAGAGATCATGTTCACAACATGTAATCCAATACGGCAGAGTGATTTGATGCCCACTTTTTTGAGAAAACTACCCACAATGCCGTGCGGTCGAGTCGGAAGCTCGGAACTCTTAATGCATGTGCTCTTAATGCATTAATGCTCTTAATGTGCATCACCCTGTTTTTAACCATGCTTGTACAGTATCTTTGTGTGTTTTTGAAAAGCGCTTGTAAATAAAATGTATTATTATTATTTTTATTGTGGTCTGAGTGAAGAGACTGAATAAGCTAACTCATTTGGACGCAGGCTGAGGAGGACCAAAGGCAGAAAAACTACCTCAACCTGTTGGAAACGGACAGCGTCGATCTGATCCCCAACCGAGAGGAGGTGGACTGCCCCATCTGCTTTACCCCTTTGGCACCTTCAGAGGGCGTCGTTCTCCGAGAATGTCTGCACACATTTTGCAGGTTTGTTGAGAAAGATGTCCAAGATTTTTAATTTTTTTTAATCATACGGTTTTTTGTCTGGTGTAACTTTATTTGACTCTGTTATGTGCCAGGGAATGCCTCATAGGGACCATCGTGAACAGTCAGGATGCAGAGGTGGCCTGTGCTGACACCACATGTGAGAGCAAGCTGTTGGACAGAGAGATCAAAGCAGTAAGTTCAGACTGACACTTCACTCCAATCCAGTCCAATTTATGTATATAGCACTTTTTTTTTAAAGCAAGTTTCCAAAGTGCTTCACAGAAATACAATTTAACATATTTAAATATGCAGGTTTTCCAGCTTTTATATGTTTAAAAAATCAAAGTAAAAATAATAAAATACCAGTTAACAATAAAAATGTGGATGTTTATGTTCATTTAGTTACATTTATACAATTTAAATTTCTCAAAATATCAAAACACATACATTTAATTATTTAGATGATGTCAAATGTATTTTCTTGTTTAGTTTTTAAGGAGGCGCGTGTTCCACTAAGTATATTGAAGGGTGTGTTTGTGATGAGCACTCTTAGTGATCTAATGAAGTCCTTATAATTACAATCCACCTTTTGTTGCTGGAAACTTCCAGTCTGTGACATACAGTTTGTAGCTCCATAACAACAGTTACTGATGGAATCCACCTGCTGGGGTGTAGCTAGAAACGATACAATATTTATATGTAATGCATTACTACTTAATTTTGTATCTGATTTCATTTAGTGTGTGTGTGTTTGTGTCTCTGTCTGTGTCTCTCTGTGTGTGTGTGTGTGTGTGTGTGTGTGTGTCTCTCTGTGGTTGTGTGCGTGTGTCTCTGTCTCTCTGTGTGTGTATGTGTCTCTCTGTGTATGTGTGTGCGTGTGTGTGTTTGTACAAAAGATGGGGCCAAGATCAGCTAAATTCCGCCTAACAAACTGGCAACCTGAATGTGGTGTTCATTCTGCTCTCTGATTGGATAATTTGCCTAAACCCATGTAAATTGTATTCTTAATCCAGAATCCTCTCCTTTTGCCTTTTGTGATCGTTGTGCATTTGATCTGAGACATTTGAGCCTCTTCCTCATGTGTCCAGCTTCTCACAGACGCACAACTACAACGCTTTTTGGAGCTGCGCCTCAGTATCGCAGAGAGCCGCGCTGACCATAGCTTCCACTGTCAGACGGCCAACTGTCCGGGCTGGTGCATTTACGAAGACGAAGTCAACGAGTTTCACTGCGACATCTGTGACGAGACCAACTGCATCCTCTGCCGGGTAAAAACAGCAATGTATCATTTAATCTCATGTTCAAAATAAGGAAAAGGCTGAATTGTATTTTTATTTATTTGATCTCCATTAGCTGTAACAAGTATAGCTATCCCCCACACACACCATACATACATATATACACAACATACACACACACACACACACACACATAAACACACACATACAAAGATATATACATACATACATACAAAGATACATACACACACACCACACTTAAATACATACACACACACACACACACCATACCTACAGTACATTACATACACACATACACACACACCACACTTAAATACATACATACACACACACCATACATACAGTACATTACATACACACATACACACACACCACACTTAAATACATACATACACACACACCATACATACAGTACATTACATACACACACACACCACACTTAAATACATACACACACACACACACACACCATACATACAGTACATTACATACACACATACACACACAGCACACTTAAATACATACATACACACACACCATACATACAGTACATTACATACACACATACACACACACCACACTTAAATACACACACACACACCATACATACAGTACATTACATACACACATACACACACACCACACTTAAATACACACACACACACACACACACCATACATACAGTACATTACATACACACATACACACACAGCACACTTAAATACATACACACACACACGCACACACACCATACATACAGTACATTACATACACACATACACACACAGCACACTTAAATACATACATACACACACACCATACATACAGTACATTACATACACACATACACACACACCACACTTAAATACACACACACACACACACACACCATACATACAGTACATTACATACACACATACACACACAGCACACTTAAATACATACATACACACACACCATACATACAGTACATTACATACACACATACACACACACCACACTTAAATACACACACACACACACACACCATACATACAGTACATTACATACACACATACACACACACCACACTTAAATACATACACACACACACACACACACCATACATACAGTACATTACATACACACATACACACACACCACACTTAAATACATACACACACACACACACCATACATACAGTACATTACATACACACATACACACACAGCACACTTAAATACATACATACACACACACCATACATACAGTACATTACATACACACATACACACACACCACACTTAAATACACACACACACACACACACACCATACATACAGTACATTACATACACACATACACACACACCACACTTAAATACATACACACACACACACACACACCATACATACAGTACATTACATACACACATACACACACACCACACTTAAATACATACACACACACACACACCATACATACAGTACATTACATACACACATACATACACACACACACACACACACCTACCTACATAGGACCTGGAAATATTGATTGACAGATGAACATATGTTTTAGGCAATCCACGCAGACATGAATTGTAAGGACTACCAAGATGACCTACGGATTCGAGCAGATAATGACCAAGCAGCTCAGAAAACCAAGCAAATGGTGGAGGTAAGTGTTGAAATATATTATATCTATTGAATAATGATCATTTGTTAATGGGCGTGTCTGTTTCAGGACATGCTGAAAAATGGGGAGGCCATGAAGTGTCCCAGGTGTGACATAATAGTCCAGAAGAAGGACGGCTGTGACTGGATCTGCTGTGTGATGTGCAAAACCGAAATCTGCTGGGTCACCAAACAGGCACGCTGGGGGCCAAATGTAAGTACAGGACATTTTATACACTGCTTTAATGTCTTAGTAGTAATCTTAAAATAAAAACATACACAATTTGAAAAGGAATTGGTAGAAGTAAAACCTGCCAACAGCTCATTACAGGCGCTTTCTTTTTACAGGAGTCCAAATGAATTAGTTAGATTTAAATATCAACATTAGACATATCTCTCACTAGTTACCATAAATAGTCATTTTAAAGGCAGATTAATCATGTTTTAGGGTCTGGTTGTGAGACACTATTATGCCCTTTCTCTTTAAAGACCTTATGACGGGTTTGATTTATTTAGAAATACAGTTTTAATACCATTTTATATTAGAAGAGAACTACTAAAGGTTTCAAAATCAGTTGTTTTTTTTGTCTGATCCCCCCAAATCGAAATAACCCCATAGCAACGCCCTTAGAGACGAAAAAACTTCACAGCCCTTGGTGACGTCAGAGTGGGTACGTTTCAACGCTGTAAGTTGTTTACAATTTGGTATTCGTTCTTTTTTCGCGTATATTCAAGATGACAAGACCGTGTACAGCGAGTCTAAGATAAATACTAGATTGTACTCTTCTGTTGTCACTGAGATAGTCCAGTGGTTGTGTCGATGGACTTCCAATCCAGATACTTGGGTTCAAATCCCACCTCAGACACTTTTTCACACTCAAAACGGCAATTTATGTGTAGTGATCAGTTGTGACCTGTAGAGGGCAGTATTGTGTTGGGCATCAGTGGAGAGAAGAGAGAAAAGGCAGTCCTGTGGCATAGATCCATGGTTTTCAATGCATGGGCGTTACCCGCTGTGACGTCACACACAGGTTAGAGCATAGACAACTTAAATTCATGAAAAACACGTTCTTTTTATAAAATATAGGATTTTTTTTGCCGGAATCTCTTTCAAATTGACATTGTCATGCAATTTTGATATCCACTATATTTTTTTTAAAAACCCGTCATAAGGTCTTTAATTGTAACGAGTATAATGTGAAAGTGAAAATGTGTGCAATAGCGCCTCACATTTTCACGTTTACATTTTACTCGTTACAATAAATACATGTACTGTATAAATGGACAGCTCTCATACAACGTTCAACATTCTTTGCAAGGACTTTTTGCGCCAGAGTAACATCTTGGCAGTTATTCACTTTGTTTATGAGATCACTGAGATATTTATATATAGAGAGGTCCCTTTTAATCCAGAAATGTATTTTTCTTGTATAGCCGTATGGGTCATTACTTTTGGAACTGACATGGTGATCAGACATGTCAAATCTACCTGGACTTTGACTGAGACACTGTTTTTACTCGTCATTTGACACTTCTGACTTTTTCCCATGAAGTATAAATCAGACCCGGATGGCACTTTGTCCCATGATGCCACTGTTGGGTTTGACTTCCACATCCAATCCATTCCAATCCCCTTTTTTTACGTAGCACGTTTAAACAACAATCACGTTTCCAAAGTGCTGCACAAACAAGTATGATTCATAATATATATAATATATAAGATATAAAACAGATTAAAACCATAACAGAGGGCCACACAACTCATGTAGTGTTAAAAACCAAGGAATAAAAGTGGGTCTTAAGACGAGACTTAAAACACTACACTGTGAGGTCCGAACATGGAGGGAAAGGGCGTTCCAAAGCCACCCACAGAGAATTGATTATTATTTATTTGAGCAATTTTTACACACATAGTTTGCATTATTACAAGATTACAGTGTTATAAAGTAGCTCAAAAGGAGTAGGCTGAAGCAAGAAAGCTTATTAGTGCCTACCCCTGCTCCGAGTGATCACTTTCAGCTGCAGTCAATAACGGTTTACATACATTAAACGGTACAAGTTCCTGAGTTACCCAGGCACATGCACATCAGAAGGTGCATGTGCCTGTAGCAGTTAATGAATGATACTTTCCATACATAGGCACACACAGAATGAGCTGAGTGCCTCCTGACATGTGTGACCGTAGATTCTCAGCTCTTCTCTGACCCTAGTTTTAAATAACTTCTCTCTGTTGTTTTTGGAAGCCCCCTCACACACTGTCTGCCGGTCAGTGGGCATTTTCCCTCATGGACATGATTTATGTGGAATTGTCGCAGATAGTTTATAGATTTTTCTTTGATTCTTGTCTTCCAGGGCCGAGGTGACACGTCAGGAGGTTGTGGATGTCGGCTGGATCAGAGGCCGTGTCACCCCAACTGTCAGAACTGCCACTGACGCTCTCCCGAACACACACGGAAGCTCTCTCAAACACACACAGACGCTCTCCTGAACACACACGGAAGCTCTCTCAAACACACACCGACGCTCTCCTGAACACACACCGACGCTCTCCCGAACACACACCGACGCTCTCCCGAACACACACCGACGCTCTCTCGAACACACACCGACGCTCTCCCGAACACACACCGACGCTCTCCCGAACACACACCGACGCTCTCCCGAACACACACACCGACGCTCTCCCGAACACAGACCGACGCTCTCTCGAACACACACACCGACGCTCTCTCGAACACACACACCGACGCTCTCTCGAACACACACCGACGCTCTCCCGAACACACACACACCGACGCTCTCCCGAACACACACCGACGCTCTCCCGAACACACACACCGACGCTCTCCCGAACACAGACCGACGCTCTCCCGAACACACACACCGACGCTCTCCCGAACACACACACCGACGCTCTCCCGAACACACACCGACGCTCTCTCGAACACACACCGACGCTCTCCCAAACACACACACCGACGCTCTCTCGAACACACACACCGACACTCTCCCGAACACACACACCGACGCTCTCCCGAACACACACACCGACGCTCTCCCGAACACACACACGACGCTCTCCCGAACACACACACCGACGCTCTCCCGAACACACACACCGACGCTCTCCCGAACACACACACCGACGCTCTCCCGAACACACACACCGACGCTCTCCCGAACACACACACCGACGCTCTCCCGAACACACACACCGACGCTCTCCCGAACACACACCGACGCTCTCTCGAACACACACCGACGCTCTCCTGAACACACACCGATGCTCTCCCGAACACACACCGACGCTCTCCCGAACACACACCGACGCTCTCCCGAACACACACCGACGCTCTCCCGAACACACACCGACGCTCTCCCGAACACACACCGACGCTCTCCCTAACACACACCGACGCTCTCCCGAACACACACACCGACGCTCTCTCGAACACACACACCGACGCTCTCTCGAACACACACACCGACGCTCTCCCGAACACACACCGACGCTCTCCCGAACACACACCGACGCTCTCCCGAACACACACCGACGCTCTCCCTAACACACACCGACGCTCTCCCGAACACACACACCGACGCTCTCTCGAACACACACACCGACGCTCTCTCGAACACACACACCGACGCTCTCCCGAACACACACACCGACGCTCTCCCGAACACACACACCAACGCTCTCTCGAACACACACCGACGCTCTCCCAAACACACACCGACGCTCTCTTGAACACACACCGACGCTCTCCCGAACACACACCGACGCTCTCCCGAACACACACCGACGCTCTCCCGAACACACACCGACGCTCTCTCGAACACACACACCGACGCTCCCGAACAACACACACCGACGCTCTCCCGAACACACACGGACGCTCTCCCGAACACAGACCGACGCTCTCCCGAACACACACCGACGCTCTCCCGAACACACACGGACGCTCTCCCGAACACACACCGACGCTCTCTCGAACACACACACCGACGCTCTCCCGAACACACACCGACGCTCTCCCGAACACACACACCGACGCTCTCCCGAACACACACACCGACACTCTCCCGAACACACACCGACGCTCTCTCGAACACACACACCGACGCTCTCCCGAACACACACACCGACGCTCTCCCGAACACACACCGACGCTCTCCCGAACACACACCGACGCTCTCTCGAACACACACCGACGCTCTCCCAAACACACACCGACGCTCTCTTGAACACACACCGACGCTCTCCCGAACACACACCGACGCTCTCCCGAACACACACCGACGCTCTCCCGAACACACACCGACGCTCTCTCGAACACACACACCGACGCTCTCCCGAACACACAGCGACGCTCTCCCGAACACACACGGACGCTCTCCCGAACACAGACCGACGCTCTCCCGAACACACACCGACGCTCTCCCGAACACACACGGACGCTCTCCCGAACACACACCGACGCTCTCTCGAACACACACACCGACGCTCTCCCGAACACACACCGACGCTCTCCCGAACACACACACCGACGCTCTCCCGAACACACACACCGACACTCTCCCGAACACACACCGACGCTCTCTCGAACACACACACCGACGCTCTCCCGAACACACACCGACGCTCTCCCGAACACACACCGACGCTCTCCCGAACACACACCGACGCTCTCCCTAACACACACCGACGCTCTCCCTAACACACACCGACGCTCTCCCGAACACACACACCGCCGCTCTCTCGAACACACACCAACGCTCTCTCGAACACACACCGACGCTCTCCCCAAACACACACCGACGCTCTCCCAAACACACACCGACGCTCTCTTGAACACACACCGACGCTCTCCCGAACACACACCGACGCTCTCCCGAACACACACCGACGCTCTCCCGAACACACACCGACGCTCTCCCGAACACACACCGACGCTCTCCCGAACACACACCGACGCTCTCCCGAACACACACCGAGGCTCTCCCGAACACACACCGACGCTCTCCCGAACACACACACCGACGCTCTCCCAAACACACACCGACGCTCTCCCGAACACACACCGACGCTCTCTCGAACACACACCGACGCTCTCCCGAACACACACCGACGCTCTCCCGAACACACACCGACGCTCTCCCGAACACACACACCGACGCTCTCCCGAACACACACCGACGCTCTCCCGAACACACACCGACGCTCTCCCGAACACACACACCGACGCTCTCCCGAACACAGACCGACGCTCTCCCGAACACACACCGACGCTCTCTCGAACACACACCGACGCTCTCCCGAACACACACACCGACGCTCTCTCGAACACACACACCGACACTCTCCCGAACACACACACCGACGCTCTCCCGAACACACACACCGACGCTCTCCCGAACACACACCGACGCTCTCCCGAACACACACACCGACGCTCTCCCGAACACACACACCGACGCTCTCCCGAACACACACACCGACGCTCTCCCGAACACACACACCGACGCTCTCCCGAACACACACACCGACGCTCTCCCGAACACACACACCGACGCTCTCCCGAACACACACCGACGCTCTCTCGAACACACACCGACGCTCTCCTGAACACACACCGATGCTCTCCCGAACACACACCGACGCTCTCCCGAACACACACCGACGCTCTCCCGAACACACACCGACGCTCTCCCGAACACACACCGACGCTCTCCCGAACACACACCGACGCTCTCCCGAACACACACCGACGCTCTCCCTAACACACACCGACGCTCTCCCGAACACACACACCGACGCTCTCTCGAACACACACACCGACGCTCGCTCTCGAACACACACACCGACGCTCTCCCGAACACACACACCGACGCTCTCCCGAACACACACACCAACGCTCTCTCGAACACACACCGACGCTCTCCCAAACACACACCGACGCTCTCTTGAACACACACCGACGCTCTCCCGAACACACACCGACGCTCTCCCGAACACACACCGACGCTCTCCCGAACACACACCGACGCTCTCTCGAACACACACACCGACGCTCTCCCGAACACACAGCGACGCTCTCCCGAACACACACACGGACGCTCTCCCGAACACAGACCGACGCTCTCCCGAACACACACCGACGCTCTCCCGAACACACACGGACGCTCTCCCGAACACACACCGACGCTCTCTCGAACACACACACCGACGCTCTCCCGAACACACACCGACGCTCTCCCGAACACACACACCGACGCTCTCCCGAACACACACACCGACACTCTCCCGAACACACACCGACGCTCTCTCGAACACACACACCGACGCTCTCCCGAACACACACCGACGCTCTCCCGAACACACACCGACGCTCTCCCGAACACACACCGACGCTCTCCCTAACACACACCGACGCTCTCCCTAACACACACCGACGCTCTCCCGAACACACACACCGCCGCTCTCTCGAACACACACCAACGCTCTCTCGAACACACACCGACGCTCTCCCAAACACACACCGACGCTCTCCCAAACACACACCGACGCTCTCTTGAACACACACCGACGCTCTCCCGAACACACACCGACGCTCTCCCGAACACACACCGACGCTCTCTCGAACACACACACCGACGCTCTCCCGAACACACACCGACGCTCTCCCGAACACACACGGACGCTCTCCCGAACACAGACCGACGCTCTCCCGAACACACACGGACGCTCTCCCGAACACACACGGACGCTCTCTCGAACACACACCGACGCTCTCTCGAAACACACACACCGACGCTCTCCCGAACACACACCGACGCTCTCCCGAACACACACACCGACGCTCTCCCGAACACACACACCGACGCTCTCCCGAACACACACACCGACGCTCTCCCGAACACACACACCGACGCTCTCCCGAACACACACCGACGCTCTCCCGAACACACACACCGACGCTCTCCCGAACACACACACCGACGCTCTCCCGAACACACACCGACGCTCTCCCGAACACACACACCGACGCCCTCCCGAACACACACCGACGCTCTCCCGAACACACACCGACGCACTGAAGGAATGTACGTTAGTTATGTTATTGCTCTGAAGAGACAGCTTTTGGAGTCTTTTCATGCTGATGGAGGGGGATAAAAATGGTATTATAAGATAGAAGTTATATTAAATGAGCATTTATAAATGAGGCGTCGTTAGTAGCCTCACTATTTGAACCAAGTACTTATTTCTGTTAAATTTTGTCTTTGCTTTTTGTTGTTGTTGAGTAATCATAAAATGGTGAAGGATGTCGGATAAGATGTTTACAAGAAAATACTATTAACTTGCACAATGTAGCTGGGGTCTGCTGCCTTCAGGGGTGTTCCAGAGTAAAGCGTTAAACCTATCACTCTTGTACTAAATCGTTTGTTTAAAGTTGAATAATAAATAATGATTTGAAAACTGTTTGTCGTGTGCTTCATCTTAGTTCTGTTTATTTCTTCTTCAGTCACCACATTCAAAGTTAATATTACTTATAGATATATAGTTATATACATGAACGACCGAAGGGGTTTAGGCTGAAGAATACATAATCCACGGATACTCACCATCAGTCTCAGATCTGACCTGGGACTGAACACCTGATGGTGGCTCCTCAAATAGAAATGAAACCGTAACAGTATTTTACGCACTATAAGCTGCGCCGCACGATTATAAGATGCACCTGATTATAAGCTGCTGCAGGCTCTAATTTTTTAGAAATAAATTTAATATTGTATTTGTACCAGCTGCACTGTCCCATGTTGTATTATTGAGAAAATTAGCTCAAAATCGTTTTACTGTGAGTGATAAGAGAGAGAATTGAGTCACTTTCATATCTATATAGATTTATAATATTAAATATTCACACAAAGATATAAGTGAGGAACTTTTTTATTCTGATTGATTAAAATATCTTACAATTGAGTTGGACCTCTGTGAACTGCTCAAAAAAATATTTTTGTCGGCACAAAAATTAAAATTAAGCCAGTCTTCAAAATGCTGGAATTAAACTGCGGCTTAAAGTCCTGGTAATCCTTTAAAAAAAGAAATTCAAAATCTGTAGAAAGTGTGATGTGTCTTGTCTATTTTTGTTCTGGAATACGAGTCTGTGATAAATCTCTAACATACAATTATATCTGTTGTATGTTTTCTGACATTTACCTTGACATCACTTTAATACAGTTTGCCATTTGTATTGACTGTTTATTATACATATTATTATTATATATATTATTATTATACATATTCTCATGAATCCGAATGTGGAACGTGCTGATAAACAACCACACACCAGCATTATGTCTAGTTTATTGTTATGACTCTGTACAACATGAAATCAATAAAACAAATACAAAATAAAAATGCAATGTTAGTGCAATAAAATGATAAAGTAAAAACTGGGTGCAAATGTTGCGACCTTTAAAACCATTTTATTTATACATGAAAAAAACTCAAACCAGTGTCAGACTAAGGCAACACTAAACAGCTTCAGAATCTCGCAACAAAAACAAGTGACAAAAGTGCGTTGTTAAACTTTGCATTTTATAATTGACATTTATATAACTTTATGTTCGTGGAATAGCAAAGTGCTGGCACATGATTACTTTAATGTTCAAGAAGCAATGGTTCTCATTTTAATTGCAAAATACACTTCAAATGCTTGTAAGGTATCTATCATTTAGTTCTATAACAATGTACAAAGAAAATGCTTAAAGGTGTAAAGGAGGATTTTCTACTACCGGGTGGATCATCAACACTATTGGTTCTCCCAGCTGTCAATCATTCTGGTGATACGTCAAATAAGACCAGAGTTTAGTTCAAAAAGTGGGCGGTTCTTCACAAAAATTTGGGAAAATCCTCGTATAAACCTATTCCACTTATTCACAAATTATTTTAGCGAGTGTAAAAACTATACTTGTAAACAATATGCAGAGGTGCTGATTTGAAAGTTTGTGAGACGAATGCTTTCAACAAAAAATAACAGCATTTGAAAATTTTGGGTAAACATTAGAACGACTGTTGAGAATGTAGTTTAAGCCAGACTTGTCAAACTCAGGCTCGTCGGCCAATTCTGGTTTTGAGCATCGACGGTTATGAACTACCAAGGCATGTAACAATATGAACGCTAAACATCATTAGCAGCTATGTAGTTAAATATAAAACAATGTGCTTAACTTTATTTTTGATCCAGTTTTGGTTAAATCTAAACACATTTTGTTTTGTTTTTTTACCAGAAGAAAATACTGAAAATTAAGTCACATATTGTACCATATACGTCCAAATACCTTCATAAATTAAAACACTATTTGTTCTTTTGGCCCCCAATCAGGTCCTATTTTTCTTATTCGGCCTCTGACCAAAAAAAAAAAAAAAAAAAGTTTGACAGCTCTGGTTTAAGCATCCTCTACTGTTTTCAAGTCCTCAAAAACGCAGACCTCTTTATAGCCACTTACAATGTCAAATTATACATGTTTCTGATGTTATTTTGTACACCAAAGCAGCTTATGTCAAGGCGACTTGAGTAAATGTGAAATAAAATGTATATTCGTTAAAGCGTGGATATACATTTTTATACATTTGCCCTAATGTCTGTGCCTATAACGAAAACCAGCAAATATAGACAGATGTTGCAGTAAATAACAAATTAGAATCACACACACACCATTCATACTCAGCATCTTTAAAATGGCAGCGATTTCAAGTCTAAGCCATCGGCATAAATCTCTATAAGCATTTGTTAGAACCAGTATAGCTTTTTCTTTGCGATACTTGGTACAAATAGTCGTCATTTTACATACAGTATCAGGTTGGACACAGACATCAAAAGACCCTGTTGCTCTGCTGCAGACTTTTACAAAGGATCCTCAGGCGTCCTAAGGGAGGGGAAAAGTCACCCACAAAGACTAAATGTAGTTTCTGGAGCCGTGTAGATGGAATCAGATTCGATCAGAGAAGTTACTATATAAAACGGCCATACCTGCTTTAAAAACACTGTAGGATCATTCTAGAAAATATCCAGTGAATGACACGACATGTACTGAAAGACTTCTATCAGGATCATGGAGCAGTTTACATTTGTTTAGGGAAATACTTTAAAAGGACCGCACATTTTTAGTATTTTTTTAACAATGGTTGGTTTAATTTATTCAATACAATTACAATCTAAACGTTTCCAGTTTCATGCCCTAATATTCTAGATGTTAAACACACACTCCTCCAGTTGTGATGGATATAGCCTGAGCTGCTGGGGTTCAGGCCGTGACCCAAACCGCTGGATGTCACCATAGAAACTGGCACCCATTATTCTCTGAAGTCTGACTGGATTCGCTTGATCAACAATTTGAAATCTTGTGGATATCGTTTTCATTGTATTTTTCTTAATTAAATATGAATAAACATTTCACTTTTGACTTACAGGCTTAACTAGTTTAGCAGATTTGTAGATTTTAATTAAACTAAAATAATACATACTGTCCTGTTAAATAATTATCATCCTTTATAGATATATCACTTAATAATGCACATGTAAGAGCAGGGTGTTTATTTCAGGTGACTGAGGCGACTCCCAGATAGTTGCCATAGTCACACATGGCAAGTGTACATAATATAATAAGACTTTACAACCAAAGATGACATCAGACAGATACGGTTTATCTACAGAGAAATGAAAGAGACTGGAGTCCTCTGTGCGGCATTGGCCTCGGAGTGAATGAGCACCAAGAGAATCTTTAAAAAGCCCACGCAGCAAGGACATGGGGGCACATTTTTACCTTTATAGCCTGTACCTGATTTTGTGAAATGTATTTGACCTCAATTGTCCCAGCCCTTTAGGTTGTAAATGCTGATTTTGAAGCAATCGACCATTTCTTCGTTTAATCTGATTATTGTCAGTGAAACCCGACAGGAACAATGTTGTGAGGAAAAACTTCTTAATCTATACTCATCACGTACAGGGTCTTTATGAGATGAGATACCGTGGGCTGAAAATGGACGCATTTGCTTTCTATTCTAACTAAATGGTCAAGAGTGAAGCAGTTCAAGGAAACAGGTCGAGCTTGGGGGCCCACTCCAGGGCAGTGTTTACAAGAGTGAGAGCGGCCGCCCCAAGAGCCACAGTCAGCCCCATGACGGCCAGTCGGACGAAGCGCCGGGCAACTGAAGGCCGAGCCGCCACCGCCACTGCCGAGGGGGCGAGGCTGTCTACAGGACCCGCCCCCTTCTGTCTGCGCCGGCGCCGAAGAACCGAGTCTGGTCTTTGAGTAGAGGCAAGCTCAAAGTCCTTAAAAGTTGTGGTAGCCATGCTTGGTAAGACAAAGAACAAAGAGAAAGAGGGAAAGAGTGCATGTTAAAAAGGTGATGATGACCGTGAACATGTATACAGACAAAAATGTGTTAGCACAGGGCTAAACTGGACGCTAGAGCAAAGATTTGATGGAGGTTGTTATTGCTAACCTTTGCTGGCAACATCCAGTTTGAAGTACAAAGGGATTACAGTATTCTATCAAGTCAATGACCTCCACATTCCACTTCTCAAGGCCATTCACAGACTCTCAATCTTCACAGACTCTCCTACACCATCTGCCTCTCTCCTTTTCAACATTATCTACCTCTCTACCCTCAGCCTCTCCCATCACTCCCCTCTGACAGTGCACTTGGGCGGGGCTGATCAGAGTAATGTCCAATCATAAAGATCCAGTGTGCTTTTCAAACAATGTCTGTGTGTAATGTTTGCTTTGCTCTCTGCTGTTGAATAATCGGTCATAAAGGAGCACGGATGTAATTGCCGCAGCACGTATCTTGATGTTTGTTCATTGAACTTTAGCTTCTCCACTGTGGGACTAATAAAGCCCTCATTCATTCAGCAAAGTAATCAGTTATAATGCATTAAAAAAATCAAATTGGATGAAGTCCTGGTTTTGCCCTGACTTAACCCTATTATTCAACATCTTCCTTCAGAAACTCAGATAAAGTTTGCTTTGTCAATAAGGGGAAAATGGCCCCAGGCTGTGCTGTGCTTACGTACACATGGAAACAACATGCCTGGTTAAAATGTACCTGTCATGGGAGGCAGCCTCTTTGGCCAGTTCAGAGGGAGGGAACTGGACAAACAGGTCTCCAGCCTGACTGATCAGGGTCTCGTAGGGGAGGTCCTGAGGGATTTGAGACAGCAGGTGATGCACCATGGCCATGTCACACTCGCACTCAAGTACTTCTTCCTCTCTGTACAGAACAATCTAAAAGTAACACGACAGGTCAGCTTCAAATACAAACGGTGCATTTTATCGTCACAGATGGAATACTTACTACAGCAGCAAAATAGATGGGCATTAATGGATGGCAGGCGAGGAAGAAGTCATATAACCGCACTACGTGTCTAAAGTCTGACAGGACGTGGCCGAACCAGGTGATCAGCCAGCTTAGTGCGAAGACTGTACCCACCTCTGACCTTGAAAAAGAATAAAAATAAGTCATAGAAAAAGTACTGACAGACAATTGGAGAAATTCTAAGTCAAGATAAACCCACTGTTGCATATAATCATGAACTTCAGTATTGACCCTTTCAATAATGGGCATCAGATAGTTCAGTATATGTTTTGTATTGTCCATAGTGGGGTCCATGAAGTCCCTGGAGAAAAATGCAATAGCTGTTATTAGAAAATCTGCATTTGAAAGAACTCGGATCGTACCTGAGGTGATGAGTGGACAACTTTTCCACCAAAGCCGTTGCTCGCTGCTCTCCAACAACTAATAAAAACGTGACAACAATGTCGTGGTATCCTTGATAGTAGTGCAACTGAGGATTCCGTTTCAGCACTCGAAGGATAATGTCTATTAGCTCCTCTTGCAAACCCTCTCTCTGCTCATCTGGCATACCTGCAAAAAAACATAAAATAACATACAAAAGTACAGTATATTATTGTGAAGGAGAAAGACTCAAATACACAATTATTGAGGAAAACCATCTGCAGAAAGTGAAGCTTGTAGGTCATGGGACAACGCTTTATAATGACGGCTTATTAAACGAGCGCGAGGTCTGTACAGAGAAATATCAGACCGCTGTCTTTTTGTTCTGTGCAAAAGATAATTCTCTGTACAGACCGAGCAGGTGAGGTAAATAAATGTTTTATTATATGATAAAACATATGCATAAATTAATATATATTTAATTTATGCAAAGAGATGTTCTCCATCACTTCTGTATTTTTACCAATGTTTTATAGATATTTGTGAAGTATGTTCATGTCCGACTTGGTTTTCCTAATCGTGTTTTTACCTTTCTGATCTGTAACGAAGTTGTCAATCTCTTCTTGACTGCTAGGAGTTGTGTTTTCGTCGTTATTTGCTGTTTTTGTACCTCCTCTGGATCTTCGAACTCGTCCGGAGAATAGAATTCACTGGAGAATGCTCCCAGTCATCGCTCATTATTTATTTATTATTTATGTAATGGTCCGAGATGGGAAAATATCAGACCGCAAATCAGCGTGTACGATCCAAGTCATATAATAATACTTCATAAGAGTTGGTTCAAGTATTTGTATGTGTGTTGCGGTAAAACTACTAGTGCTGTTACTATGGACACCATGATACGCAGTAAGTGTCAGCTCCCCGTTCAGGCAACAACTATGAATTGTCAATAACTGTGGTAAAAACCAAAAGATAAAAACCTTAAAGATTATCAGTCATGTGCAAAATTCCAAAGGTCACAAATCAGACAAAAATACAACATCGAGGAATTGAAAAGCAGCAGAAGCAACTGAAATAACATTGAGGAGGCACATGAAGACCCAGACCCATAGACCCCCTCAGCCCCTCCCTCCTCGCTACAGCAGTTACTGTGTAGAGTCAGCACAGATGAAATGATCATAGTATTAGTGTCCTACATGTGAAGTGAAAGCGTTCTGGGCAAATATTTATGGGGATTAATTGGATTGTTGTTTTTTTGTTTTTTTATCGTCATAGAAAAGAGACACGATTTCAAAAGAATGTGTTACTCACCTGGGGGAAATCTCCGCAGTGAGCGCTGAACATCCAGCAGCACCTGGTTGTAATCCTTGTTGTTTTCCCGATCCACGGTTTCTATGGAAGTTGTGTGTTTCCATTAGACACAGACAAATATGACAGTAAAAAATCTACTCCAATTAGCTTTGTCCTCTTGCAGTGATTCATTCATAGTGTTTTGGGTTAAGTTTGGGTCAAACAAATGGCACGCTACAGGGAAATGCTATTATAAGAAATCTCGTGATCATAGTGTGATTACGGGAATATAGACTCTTTTCCTTTGACATTTGCTACGTTTGTACTTTTGAATGTGATTTTCTAATTGTACTGTAATTTGGGATGTCTCTGGTGCAAACTGGGAGCCTGGAAATGATGAAAATGTTAAATAAAGACCTATGGTAGTAAGAAATGCATGAAAACGTGTTAATTTGAGGTTACAGATAATGGGTAAAAATACACATTTCAGAATGTAGAATAGATTTGTGTCCTCATCTCAAGTCCAAGACAATTCTTAGTGAATTTCTCCCTCGCAAGTGCTCTGTCCTTGGACTCTGGTATGTACCTCCCATGCCAAATAAGAGCAAGTATCCTTGAGAGTGGGAAATTTATTATTTAATTGCTTTTTCCCACCACTTCACTGAAATTAAACTTCTGATTTTGAAGAAAGTAATATAAATAAATCTATTACTTCTCTCAATATTGTGACACTGTTGAGCCTTTTTACATGAGGGTTTCTACTGTATATCAAACTGCTAACCATGCTAATAGCTAATTCATGTTTTGATCTGTGCACATACAGTACATACTTCATTAATGTTTGAGTATTTCACTGTATACCTGTGTGCTTTACCTCAAATTGTCAAATGCAGATCAGACTCACTGTTGTCTACTTGCCTAAACAAGTAGATGGGAATGAAAATGACTACAGAAGTTGAGTGACCGTAACTTTCTATAGGTGTATGCAGGCTGGATCCGATCGCTATAGAGACAGATATTACCATACATACATTTCTACATACTGAGAGTTAGGTTTTATGTTGTACTTTTATGTCTCAGTTAAAGCTATATAGAAGGATTTTCCCATTTTTTTAGGAAAGAACCGCCCTCTCCACTTTTTGAACTCACTGGTCTTATTTGACGAGCATGTATCACCAGAATGATTGACAATTGGGAGGGCCAATAGTCTTGATGATCCACCCGGAAGTAGAAAATCCTCCTACAGACCTTTAAGACACGTTTTCTATGTTTTTTGACCCTACATTGCCATAATTTTTTTTTAAAACCACAGTGGGGCTATGAGTAGCTTTTTGAAGCAGTATCTTTTACTTGTAGCCACATGACAACTTTAACTGGAGTGAGCTTTTGCCTTTCTTTGTCTACTACTGGTAATAATGTCTCCTGTTTAATACCTGGTTGTTGTTCCAACACAAGAGGCGGCACGTTGAGCAGCCACGGCCACACCTGACAGCGGATCTGGTCAGTCAGCAGACCTCCTTCACTGATAGCCATCCTCCTCAGGGCTGCTACATCCACAGGACTAGCACTGAGCGCTTGTGTGATGTCCGCGATCTTCCTCTTCTTCTTGCCGTCTTGATTTAATAGAATATACAAACAATTATTTACAGTTAATACAGTTTTAATTCAACACACAGCAAAGGCCTCATTTCAAAATGTCTATTAAAACCATAGACTGTATATTGAAACTCTTCTCCTCTTGTGTAACCCACACAAGAGGAGAAGAGTTTCAATATACAGTGAGGGTGTCTTTGTGCGCCTGTATATGTATATATATATATATGGCTCACTCCACTTTAAACAGTAGCAATGCGTTACATTTGGGTCAATGAGATAAAAAAAGTCCCGAAATGTCTGCGGCCGCTACTGCTGAAAGTTCACAGACTCTTGTTTTGTTCCTAATCTGTCCAGTGAAGGGACAAACTTAAACACTACTTAAACACAAAATTGTTCACGCCTGTTCTATAGACAATTTAGACGCAATATGTTACGTCCAAAACACCCAGTTTGTCTGCAGTTATAGAATCATATTTGTTTTTGCAAAATGTATAATCTATAATTAGAGATTGATTAGTTATATCCCCGACCATTATCCATTAAATAGTCTTCTCTGTCCCTATAATTCTTCCATTCACAAAGCCTCCAACATGACACCTCCTGTAAATAACTATTATGTCCCTTAAGTTCAAAACCATTTTTTGAAAGACATACATTTTTCATGAAATGGTTTTGAGCTGCCATCTGATAATATCCTATGTATATCTATAAACATAGTAGAAAATAATTGAGGTACATTTTTTGGTTCATACATTTATTTGATTGCTGTTTGAAGTAAGATTTGTCGCATTGTGTTTAGCATGGAGTGAGGTGGGTTAGGGCTGTGCAGTTTGTTGGCCTCACTGTTGTTTTTGTCACCACTTTTGTCCCCTTTGCATCCTTGGTGCATCTAATATTATTGTATTAAAGTTATTATTAAGAGTAGTGACGTAATGAGAATAATAGTTATAATTAATAATGATCATCGTTATTAATGGAATGTTGACATTATCTAGTTTGAGCTAATTTTGTATTTTTAGTGACGGTTAGGTGTCTCTTTGAACATTTCCTTATACAAGAATAAGGTTTCTTTTCTTCATCCTACTCCTGTTCTTTTCATGGAATGTATTACTCAATTTCAATTCAATTCAACTTTATTACGGACTCAAGGTCCAAAAAGACTGTTGTATTTGCTGGATTATTGTAGTTTTTTGTTGCATTACCATGAAAAATATGGAACAAACAAATAAATAAATACAAGTCAGCACGGTGGCTGAGTGGTTAGCACTCGCTTCTCAGCAAGTAGGTCCTTTTCTGAGTAGAGTTTGCATGTTCTCCCCGTGTCTGCACATCCATACTACTAAAAGCATGCATAGATCAGTTCTCCTGTATGATGACCTGCTCCCATCTGTGTGAAGTGAGAGCTGTCCACAACATTTGTAAAGACTCTGGTCTGTGAGAGGCGCTATACAAATAAACATTACTTTCTAAGAGTCACTTACAACTATTCGTTATAGTTGATATGGTGTTAGCCAACATTCTGCATCAAATATAAAACACAAACAAAGCAACAATCTGACAAGAAAAGCACGTACCGCTGCATTGTCTTCCAGGCGAGGATGGGCCCGCACTTTCCGATGTCTCCATGTTTCGCCCCTAGCATAAAACATCCCCAGCCATAGCCTTTGGACAGCCCGAACTTATCCTGTATCTATTGACACGCTGTTTGATTAGCAACATTAGCAACATTAGCAAGACGCCGCTCATGACAGGCCAATTCAACTACACTGTGTCTACCGTTTTAAACATCTGTAACCAGCACAATTACAACACACTGAACAGCGTAAAGCGTCGTGATGGATGAAAAATGGAAAAGCTGCATGTTTACATTGTTTTAAGGTTTGAATGACGAGAAAGATACGAGAGATGAACGAGCCACATAGCTACAGGACAGGCGATGACGTCAGGACGCAGGGGGAGGGCCTACGTAAGCAGGAAGTCACTTGTTATTACCGTAATCGTTGTTATGATTATTATTGTTTTTATTGTTATCATTGTTATTATTATCATTACTATTATTATTATTATCACCATCACAATCTCTTTCGGTCCTACAGTGCGTTGATGACGTTGGCTTTGTATTTTTTGTTTTGTACTACACTTGATACTATTTGTATGCTCTAATTGAAATATATATTGGAGACATGTAAGCTTGTATGCACCCTTTGTTAATGAAACAAAAAGAAAGGTTATTATCCTTATTCTTATTTAAATATTCCACGCCAAATATTGTGGAACCAGATTTTCTTTGGTTTGACACCCCAGGTGTAGTGTTTGTACAAGTATCATATTTTATCACTAAAAAAGTCTCGTTGGATCTGACTTGAGACCAGGCCCTACATCTCACTTATTATTGTTACTCTGACTGTGGTGTAACATTAATTAAAAGCATAAATAATTCCAGTCCAGTCCAGTTTATTTATATTGCTCAAATAATAATAAAAAAAGGTCTATGGTGGAAAGAGTGTGTGAATTAGGCTTATTCATCGCTATAGACACGATTTGTTTGTAAATAGAAAGTTGAGGTGTTTCGGTAATGGGTGCGGAAACTGTGATGAAACGAAACTAAAAAGTGCTTATAAACGCCCTACCTCCGGTGAGCGAACAGACGCAGTTGTCTTCCACTATCGGACAGTACGAGCCGGGAGGTAAGGGCATTTTATGTACTATGACTATTTGGAAATTAAGGTAGGCTCCTTTTATGTATTTGTGATAGGCCTTATTTAGATTTACGGCTATATTTATCTACTTTTTAGAAGCATAATGAAATTAGACATCGATGTATATATCTTTCTATCTATCTATCTATCTATATATTTAATAGTACTGCCTCTACACTTGCTTACTCTGCCGTAACAATTGTCCCTTACTGTGTTTGTAATCGATCAAATAAACAAAACCTAAATGAAATGTTTCAGGCGAAATGAAAGTAGATCATGTATGTGCATTAGAGATCCACTAGAGGTCGCTCGAGAGTAGGCATGTACATAGATGTGAGTCATTCTGAAAATGATTTAACTTGTAAATCTACTGAGTCTGAATCACAACACACTGAAATGTTGTGTCTTCTGAAGGACTACAAGCAGTAAAGTGATGAATAGAAGCCCAGGACATTCAAGAGGAGACAGCAGAGCGCCAAATGGTGGTAAAGAACCACTCATAAAATATGCATTGGTGTTGGTTCTGTTACGGAAATGTGAATATGTATTTTGATGGGATTTCTTATGTTGTTGTTTCAGGCTCTGGAACAGCTAGTGGACAAGCAGGTAGAGGAAATGCAAGGGCAAGGTCAAATATTAGAGAACCGCAAACTCACACTTATCGACATGGGAATGGAGACAAGACAAAGGAAGGATTTGGGGCTAGGCCTAAGGCAGGGGCTGGAGGGGAAAGCAGAAGGGACACTGGGAGAGGACAAGGCCAGGAGACTGAGAAGAACCAAGAGGCAGGGCAAAGCAACAGAGGCAGAGGGGGGGGAGGTAGAGGGGAGAGAGGCAGAGGGGGGGGAGGCAGAGGGGAGAGAGGCAGCAGGAGCCAAAGTCGAGCTGGAGGAGAGAGACGTGCTGGTGGGTTTGGTTCAAATGGTACCGAAGGATGGAGGAACCTTGAAAAGGGAGATGGAGAGCGTAATAGTTTTGGTAAAGAAGAAAATAGACAAGAGATGAGAGAAAATACAGGGGGAAGAAGGGGAAATGGACCCAAGTCAGGCGGTCCTAAAGGGAATGGGCTGGGATTTAAAGCACTTGAAGAATTTTCTAAAAAAGATCCATCTGAAATGGCCGTCTGCATCTCCTCTCACCCTGCTCTGAAACCTCTCCTGGACGAGTGTGCCATGAGGAAGGACCTGGTGGAACTGCTCTGTCTGGTGCTGAGTAAAGCCTTCAAAGCACGAGCGGACAGAAGCACCCTGCAGCACCTGGCTGGCATCATCAAAGATTCTGGCTTCCTGCGCACTGTCCTGCCACACTACCTGGCAGCTGTCAGCTCAGAGTCTGACGCTGTCCGCAGAGAGAAATATCCACAGCATCTGGACAACATCCTGGCTATCCTGACACAGGTACAGAATATATTAATGTATTAATTAATACTCACTTGTATAAACAAACAACCCACAGTGCAGAATCATTAAACTGATGAAGATGAAGATCTTTTAGCTGCTATGCCCCCATTTTTTTTCTCACAGGCACCACAGGAATGTGATGTTTCAAACTAGTGCCCTTTATCAGCTGTCTGATGAGGAGCTCAGTGGTGTAAGCACTGCATGCTCCTTACTGACAACATAAGAAAGGCAGACTTCTAAATATGGAAACTGGTTTAATTAGCCCGAGCCCCGACTGGGGTAAGGGCCTATTCCTTTAATTACGGTGAATGCAAAGGGTGGCGGTGCGTGACGGACGTGATACAGTATATGGACACACTCACAGATTATACATGTGCTCCTGTTTACACATACAAAGTCTGATTTGTACTAAACTTAACGCGGTTGTTCAACTCCTGGGCCTAGGTCACCTGAAGGTGTGAAATATATAATCGGCTATTTAGCGCCCCCTACTGACTGAGCCAAAGTTTTACATGGGGAGCCAATACGACTGATCATATTCATTACAATTTTACGAACATTGTTCTATGGCTACGGGAGAAAATAATTGTGCCGCGGCGCCCCCTCCTTTACGCAGTGCGGCGAGGGCCGTTCGACGCCGCTTGCGGCTTTAATTCTATATGTACCATCTATATTTACCATCTAAAAACCATTGCCAGGATCAAAAACATAGTGTCTAAAGCAGACCTGGAGATTCTTATCCATGCATTTGTCTCCAGTAGGTTAGACTACTGCAATGGCCTGCTCACAGGTCTGTCCAAACAGGCTGTAAAACAGCTGCAGTACATTCAAAATGCAGCAGCTCGAGTCCTGACTAGAACCAGGAAGTACGACCACATTAGTCCTGACTAGAACCAGGAAGTACGACCATATTAGTCCAGTCCTCAGGTCCCTGCACTGGCTTCCTGTGGCTCAGAGAATAGACTTTAAAACAGCTCTGCTTGTGTACAAATCTCTCCATGGCCTCACACCAAAATATATTAGTGACATGTTAGTCCCATATGAACCAGCCCGGACTCTGAGGAGCACAGGGACTGGCCTCCTGCTGGGACTCTGAGGAGCACAGGGACTGGACTCTTGTTAGTGCCCAGAGTCAGAACTAAACATGGGGAGGCTGCTTTTTAGATTCATGCTGCTAAAATCTGGAACAATCTTCCTGAAGATGTGAGACAGGCCTCCTCTCTGACAATGTTTAAAACCAGGTTAAAACAGTGCTGTTTAGCTGTGCATACAACTGAGGGATTTTATATTTTTATCTTTCTTTTTAATGTTCTGTGATTATTTATGATTTTAATGCTATCTTGTTCAGCACTTAGAGTTGCCTTGTGTATGAATTGTGCTATACAAATAAACTTGCCTTGCCTTGCCTTGCCTTGCCTTATGTATTTCATCTGAACGCTTCGAATTCAGTCAAGGCTCCCTTCACATACCACTATCAGACTTATGGCATATATACTAAATACATCCTTATGATTATTATTTTTTACATCCCAGGTGCTTAGCATCTTTCCGGCTAGCTCAGTCCAGCCTGTGAGCCTGCTTCTGACTCTGCTGCCAGCTGCCCTCAACAGCCTGAGGACTTCGGGAGTGGAAGTTTCAGCTCAGATAGAAGAGGACATGGAGCATCTTCAAGGTCTGGTCAGACACCTTCAAACCAGGTCCAGAGAAGGCACCCTGCGATCAGACAAGGACACCTATGCCTTGCTTCCAACTGCTGATGAAAACCCAGGTAAGATTTTGGAAATGTTTGTACAGTATATTATTCGGCTGGTACTCTCCTTCTCCAAAAACATTTATGTTGTATACAGACCAGCAGGACTTCAGGAACATCCCCATCTACCCGACTCCAGAGGAGCTTCGACATGAGGGCAGACCTTATCTCAGACCCAACCTCACCTCCCAGCGCTACCCAAGCACTCATCTGTACCTGGACACTCACTTTCGACTGCTCAGGGAGGACTTTGTGAGGCCGCTCAGGGAAGGGATCCAGGAGCTGCTCTGGACACAAATGAATATCGGACGAATGGACAACGCTGGAAACCAAGTGAAGACAAAGCGACTCGATGACATCAGAATGTATCATGACACTAAACTGATAGCCCCTCAGTGCACCATGAATGGTCTCGCATACATGGTGCAGTTCAATGTTCAACCACTCAAGGTTAGAATCTACATACACACTTTCAGCACATTCCAAATACTAATTTGATTATTCTTACCCCACAGTTTGTTCGCTGGGAGAATTCAAAGAGGCTGATCTTTGGTTCTTTGGTCTGTTTGTCGTGTGACAACTTTGAAAGCTTTCTCTTTGCAACGGTGTCAGATCGAGACCCAAAAGAACTTCAAGAAGGGAGGGTTCAGATTATCTTTACAGAGGAAAGTAGAAACAAGTTGGCCAGGACTCAGGTATATCATAATAATTTAAATACAAGCAATTTCTAAGACAAGTTAAGTTGAAGTAAATTGTCTTTTGTTTTCAGCAAAATCAAGTGTATTTGATGGTAGAGACCACTGCCTACTTTGAGGCCTATCGCTACGTTTTGGAAGGACTCAAAGAGCTGGAGGAGGATGAGCTGCCCTTTCAGAGGTACAGGTCCTGTGTGTGTGTGTGTGTGTGTGTGTGTGTGTGTGTGTGTGTGTGTGTGTGTGTGTGTGTGTGTGTGTGTGTGTGTGTGTGTGTGTGTGTGTGGGTTACTGTTTGTCAAGGTCATGTTTTTGATCATAAATGAAAATGTTCATTAGTGCAAGAACAAATAAGTCCTAAATAAATTCAAGTAGTAATTTTGAATTCCATAAACAACTGGCCATGCCTTGGTAATAACAATTAATAACAAACTGCATGTATATTTGTGCTTCCATCAGAGCTGTTAATAAAAGTTACTTCAACTTTAATGAATAGGAGTGTGATGACATTGCGATAGTTTTAATCTCTACATGTTTTTGTCATTATTTAGGTACCTTGTAGATTGCAGCCCAGATGTAGCATCTCCTGCATATCTTCGCCGAGGTGACACTTATGACCTGTCTTCTGTGGCTCACCCTGATTTTAAGACAAAAGTCAAGCCGTTTCACTGCCTGGATGCACAGGCCTGGCCAACAATGGAGGAGCTGGGCCTGGATGAGTCTCAGTTCAGAGCCTTTCAGTTGGCCCTCACTAAAGAACTAGTCATTATACAGGGCCCCCCGGGGACTGGTAAGTTTTATCACAATAAAAAAAAGTGTTAAAGAAAAATAACAAAAAACACTTTTCTTTTTCAGGAAAAACATATGTTGGGCTTAAGATTGCACATGCTCTGCTGACAAACCAAGCACTTTGGAGGAATTCTTCTCCCATTCTGGTTGTGTGTTACACTAATCACGCTTTGGATCAGTTTCTTGAAGGTAACACATGCCGTTAGTATTGCATTATTCACGACATTATGCCAAGCTATGTCCACTCAAGACAGGGACGTTTTTGAGTACAGGGCCTAACACATTAAAGATGGAGTCAGTTTCAAAATATTTTTGAAACTGACTTTTTTTTTTTTTTTAATATTGTGGCAAAACGTCCCTAAACCCTAAAAGTATCAAGTTATCATGTGTTTTCAAATGGTAATGGAATTGACCAGATGCCTATAGTCTCCAAAAATTAATGAAAAATATTTGGGAGCGGACAGATACAAATAAACCAATGGGATGCGTTTTCCCTCTTCACCCTCTTCCTGTTTCTCGCAAGTGCATCAGAGTTATCGGATTTTCTAAAACCTAAAAGGGCTGAACAGAAAATGCCAATTTCACGTTTGCTCCACTCTCCCTGTTGTGACAAAGAAAAGAAAATACTGGATGTTTGGTTTGGTGGAGAAGCAATCATTCTGACAAAAGCCACAAACTAATTTAAACTTCAGCATGCTGAAGAAGATGACATAGTCTGGGATCGCGTCTTTAATTCAGACAGAAGACATGTTTTATTGTCGATGGTAGAGACAGCACAATCAAGGCACACGATCACAGATACAAGAGAATGCAAGTGTATTATACAGAGCGGAGGCATGGAGACCTCCAATCAGCAGCTTCCACGGTGCCATGTAGCTTGGCCTTCAGATAGACAAAACATAAAGTGGAAAAGTACAGGCTTCTGCACATTGATAGAATGATGAGTTTAACTTTAACAAAAGTTGCTTCAAAGTGTTATGAAATCTCACATTCCCCCCTCTGGTCATACATTCACGTGTGACCATCAGGATCGATAAACAGCAACATAACATCATAACTCAATACTTAAACTCATAAACTCGGTACTTCACTCGGTACTTCAAAAAACTCAGAACTCGGAATACTTCAAAAACTCATAAAACATGTTCAGATCTTTCATAAAACTTGTCAACAATCTTCAGTAAAATACCAAACTTCATCAGTCGATGGTGGTTCCAGATATTGCTTTGAAAACAGTCTCTCCCACTTCTCCGTGTTGATTCTTCAGGCTGCATTTGTTGTGTCGAGCCATGAATTCTTCTGTGACGTGTCTTTCAATCACACGTTTCAGCTTTAGTGTCCAGATTCAGCAATTCAATTCAGTCCAAATTATTTCCAAATTCAGAAATCCAGATTGTTCCAAATTATGTCCAAATTGTGTAATCCAATTGTTCCAAATGGTGTCCATGCAAAAGAGGACAATGGTGTTGTCCATGTCTCAGCAGCTCACAGCCTGAGTAGAATCAGGGGCTGTGCAGATTGTCCATGTGCTGATCCAGATGCATGGTTTCTCTTGAGGTTTTTCAGTTTCGGCTTGAAAAAAAAACACTTTTTGTGTAAAAAAAAAAAAAGTCTTCTGTTCTCTAGATGTTACAGACAAGGCCCGCATCCTTCCACCACCTGAAGAAGATGACATAGTCTGGGATCGCGTCTTTAATTCAGACAGAAGACATGTTTTATTGTCGATGGTAGAGACAGCACAATCAAGGCACACGATCACAGATACAAGAGAATGCAAGTGTATTATACAGAGCGGAGGCATGGAGACCTCCAATCAGCAGCTTCCACGGTGCCATGTAGCTTGGCCTTCAGATAGACAAAACATAAAGTGGAAAAGTACAGGCTTCTGCACATTGATAGAATGATGAGTTTAACTTTAACAAAAGTTGCTTCAAAGTGTTATGAAATCTCACAATGCGTATCATTTATATTCAAATAAAATTGAGTTCCAGTTATTGTTGATAATTCTTTTTGTTCTACTTGCACTTAGTAGTATTTGCCTCTTTCAGGTATCCATACGTTTCTCCCTGATGGAATAGTGAGAGTTGGAGGCCGCAGCAACAGCGAGACCCTGAAGCGTTTTAATTTAAGAGAACTGGCTCAAAAAGTCAAGCGCAGCGGCCGCAACCACTTGTCATCCGCTTATAACACCGTGAGTGTGATGAGTTAACACTTCATTTACACTGTGCAAATGCAAAGTTACCAATTCCACTGTATCTCAGATCTACAGAGAGCTTTGTGAGGCCGAACGAGACTTGCAGGTTCAGAGTATGCAACTGGAATGTTCTGTCAAAGGAGTGCTGCGGGAGAATGTCTTACAACGATATATATCAGAGCAGCACTGGCGCAGTTTACAAGCGGTCAATGTTTCCAATGTATGTCTGAAAAGAAAATGCAATTAGATATTAGATAGTTGATGTATTTTTTATACTTAATCATATTGTATTTATTTATTGTAAAGCATCTGGATGGATTTCAACGGGTGCCTGGAAAAAAATTCAATCTTTTTGTAGAGTGGCTAGGTCTCGGGGGCATCCTCCACGGGAATACAATGGATGGACCAATGAGTACCGGTAAGAAGTTTGTTTTATTACATAAGTATTGCATATTGACCAACTGTATGATAAGTCAGAGTAAGATAAAAGGCTTGTTTCCACCTGTACTCTGTTGAAAAAAAGAATAAAAATGGAGCATACGAAGCGCATCTAATATCACACATTATAAAAATCATTAAAATAGCCATGTAGCAACGCAGAGAAGGGAAGCCAATACAAACAAAAGAAAAATATAAGTGCCATAGAAGCAGACAGATTCAAGCAGTGGGCAGTAACCTGGGACCAGCACGACAGAAAGAAATGTAGAATAGCCAAACACACATTGCATTAGAAAATGAAATGTAGAAATGAAGAAATTGCAATGTAGAAAGCAGAATAACTACTATTGTACTGCTTTACAGTGAATTTAGGGCCAACAGACCTGATAGGAGAGGTGCTTTCACTTTTGATGGGACCAGAACAAAGCATGTGGGGGTTTCTCTGTTGTGGGGATCTGACCAATCAGAATCACTGGGGGGTGAGGCCATGCAATATTTTGTAAATTAGACGAATGCTGGATTTTGGATTTAATTAGGTTTTCCCAGTGTTTGGCACATATTGGTCAACAAATCAGCCTTGAAATCAGTTACCAAAAGATAGTATTCAAGAAAAGGCACAAAGCTGCAAAAGTGGAGCTACTTTGAAGATAAAAGGAAAAAGAACCATGGCTTTGTGTGTATAGTTTCTGACGGTGGATGTCTGACATGTGCCTAGTGTTTTATGGAAAGTTTCTACTAATGGATAAAACATTTTCTCTGTTTCAGAAATGGAGGTGGAAACTGGCATGGGGTTGCCAGATGATTTGCTCATTGATATTGCTGAGGAGGCAGACATGATGACAGCTGAGCGTATTATTGATGACTTCATTTATCCCAGAGGACGAGACAGGCACAGAAAAGACGATGCGGCCCTGGCACTCAGAGAGGTGGAGGGCATGGTGTTGGCCATGTCTCTGGAAGAACCAGAGCCACAAACTATGGCACATCCTGCAATGAGTGATGACACATGGGAGGTACAAAACAAATCCAGATTATGTTTTTGTTCTGTTCTCTGCGATCCTGTTGATGGCTGATCCTCGCCACCGGACACACTTTGAGAAACTCATTGATCAAGCTTGAAATATAATGGAATGAATACTAATTAATACAATATTTGTCAACAGTTGCAAAGGAACCAAAAGAAACAATTGAAGAAAAAAATGAAACGTGAGCTGGGTAAAAGTTCCACCATGACTGAAACAGAAGAACGTCTCACCACCAATATCTGGAGGCTCAGTTTATCTGACAGATGGAGGTTGTATCGGTGAGCCAAAAGCACTTTATACTTTTCACTATACTTTTCTACACTGAAGAAGGAAAATGGTTTGACATTTTTTTCACCTTCACCTTATGATCATGAGCTTGAGATACAAAAGCGGCCAAAATGACTCCCTTGGGTTGCCTGGGCACTCCCAAAGAGATAGGTCGATAAGCTGCAGTGGCTTCGGCCTCTGGGGGAGTGTTCCAAGGGAGTCATTGGACGAAAGTGCCTTTAACACTGGTTCACTTTAACTGGAGTTGTGGAAAAATTCTTTCAATCAGTTTAAAAATATGTTAATCGATTACTATTGGACACATATTTACTTGTTTGGTGCTTCACAAATTAAGTAGATCAGAATTGGTCCAGTCAAAGTAAAGGCCTGTCTTTCACTGAGTGCGTTGGTGTTTGCGTTTGGACTAGTGGTTGATTACGCAGCCACAGTTGTTTGTATACTCGGGCGTACCCCCGAGCATAGTTTTGAAGAGAATGTAATCCCACAGACCAACCACATGATGGCGATCTCACAGGAGTGGCCTGGGACACCAAAGTGGACCCATTACAAAGTTCCACTAGCTACAGTACTTTCTCCTCTGAACAAAAACCATGACTAAGGTGCTGGATATTGATGAAGAACATTTCTGAATCTCATTAATTCATTGCTATGAATAAAAGCAGTTCTTGTTGGAAACAGATGGATATTATATAATTGTATTCGTGCACATCAAGCAAAACAATAAGTGATTAATAAATGATACCAAACTATTTACAAGTGCAGGATGAATACAACAAGGTGCAAACACGAGAGATTAAAACAGACACAGGAACAGTGCAAAATAAACTTCTATTCAGTACATAAATGTTTATGAAACCTTAAATCTAGTCCACAGCCTCCTCGTGTATCAGGCTCTGAGCCATGAGCCCAAACTGCTTTTCCTTCTGTCCCCTTTAAAGCACCAAAGCAATCTACTTCGAAGTGCCTCGTCCTTTTCCGTAATCACCTTTCCCAATCACAGCGGACCATCTCTGCTACCGCCTGCATAACATGAAAAATCTGAGGGTGCACAGGTGGTAGCACAAGGGTTCCTTGCGGTCTTGCGGTTAGTGCGGTCTTGCGTTGGTCACGTGACATAAGGCAATGTCACAAGGGCAGCGACGCGCAAGTATATACCTGCCTATAGTCTCTCGGCTACCGTGTGAACTTCCCATAGACTGTAAATGTTAACGAACGTAGTCACGCCTATCTCTGCCGTTCTAACTAATGGGCCAAAAAATGTGCTCTACTGGAGCAATCCAAAATGGCCGCGAGTGGTCCCGCCCACAAGAAAATTCTGAAAAAACGCATCTACACATTCGTCAGCCGGCGCAGCTCCATTCATTTGAACGAGTGCCTTCAAAAGTCCAAAGCGACTAAACCCGAGTGGTCCAAAAAAATTCACTCCCCTCAGAGCCAACGTTTGGACCATCCTGTAAAGATGTTTTCAAAAGGTAAGAGGATGCTATATGTTAGCATTAGCTAATTCTTATACCGGGTCCACCCCCATCGGCCCGGGGTGGTATTGCAGCATGTCAGCGCACGTCATTTTGGCCACTTTTGAGTCGGGACCCGCCCCCACTGGAGCTGCCACAAGTTTTATAGCCTTTAGCATCAAAAACGAACATGGAAGAATGTGTGGTCAGATCTGCACACTTGTTTTACTACACTCATGATGACGGTGCCTGTATTATGTTTCTTCCAATAAGCTCTCAAAAATACTTACTTTTTTTTGCAGTTTATGGCTTTCTCGCTATAGAATCGACCTGCAAACCAAAGCCTTGGAATTAGAACAAGAATATCAAAACTCAGTGGACAGACTGGCTGAGGTCAAAAGACAACAAGATTGTTCTATTCTTAGAGAGGCCACGGTAAAGTATAGGAACTATAAAAAATATGTCAACGTCTACTTTATACAGGGAAAATCACTAATTGTAACATCTGCATGAAACTTTTAGGTGATTGGAATGACGACGACCGGTGCAGCCAAGTTCCGGCACACGCTGCAGCAGGTGCGTCCCTCACTGGTCATAGTGGAGGAAGCAGCAGAGGTTCTGGAGGCTCACACTATCACCACTTTGAGCAGCGCCTGTCAACACCTCATCCTGATAGGGGACCATCAGCAGGTAAGGGAGCAATGTGAAAGAATCAACAATGGCCCTGCTCTTGATGGCTTTAAAAGAACGATAGATAGATACTTCATTGATCCCCGTAGGAGAAATTCAGGTGTCCAGCAGCAGCAGACACACATCCAAACAAACAAAATAAATAAAAAGAAAATTCTAAAAATAGCAATAGAATTAAAATGCATCAGCACTTTAGGTCCCAGCAGCTTTGTTACCGTTCATCCATCCATCCATCTTCTTCTGCTTTATCCGTTGCCGGGTCGCGGGGGCAGCAGTCTAAGCAGAGACGCCCAGACTTCCCTATCCACACACACTTCCTCCAGCTCGTCCGGGGGGACCCCAAGGCGTTCCCAGGCCAGCCTCCAGTGTGTCCTGGGTCTTCCCCGGGGCCTCCTCCCGGTGGGACGTGCCCGGAACACCTCCCCAGGGAGGCGTCCAGGAGGCATCCGGAACAGATGCCCGAGCCACCTCAACTGGTTCCTCTCGATGTGTGACTGAGCTCCTCACCCTATCTCTAAAGGGGCGCCCACTCTGCGGAGGAAACTCATTTCGACCGCTTGTATCCTCGATCTCGTTCTTTCAGTCATTACCCAAAGTTTATGACCATAGGTGAGGAAGGGAACAAAGATTGACCGGTAAATTGAGAGCTTTGCCTTTCGGCTCAGCTCCCTCTTTACCACGGTCAGATAAAAACATGAGAACAATTATTGTCAGTCCCTAAACCCACAACCTGCTCATACAAACCCAGCGCCTTCTCTTTTCTGATACAATTTTGCGTTAAATCTCTCACATGAAAGTGGCAGGTTGCACATTTTATTGTAACAAATCTTTTTACTCTATGGCTTAAAGTAACTAACCTAAGGCTTAACAAATGTGAACATTATATGGTAATATTAACATTTTAAGCAATTTTAGGTAATTAACCTTTTAATTTACAATGTATTTATTTATAAATTCATATTTTTGTACATGACACTGTTTCTTGATTGCCACTTTTGAATTGCCACTTTTTGTTGTACATAATATATCCTGCATTTAACATGTTTCCACATTTATTTCTTTTGTACAATCTTGAGTGTTTCTATCCATGCCAAATGTGACATGTACATTTCTCCTATATGAGATCAATAAAGTCTATCTTATCTTATCTTATCTTATGAGAAGTAGGAAACCCTTCAACATTTCACATTTCAGAAGTACAAATGACCACTTTCAGCAGTGTTTTATAATTTCACTTCCTGATGTCTCTTTAGCTGCGTCCAAGTGCCACGGTGTATGAACTTGCAAAGAACTTCAATCTGGAGATGTCGATGTTTGAGAGACTTGTGAACATGGAACTTCCCTTTGTCCGACTAAATTATCAGGTAAACTTGTAATGCCTAACATTATTAGAACAATCCAACTTTTTTAACATTTTATCTTTGAGTATTGTTATGTTTCTTATTTTTTAGCACCGCATGAGGCCGGATATCGCTCGCTTACTGACCCCCCACATCTACTCCGAGCTGGAGAACCATCCCTCCGTCTTAGACTATGACAACATCAAGGTGTGCATATAATCCATTCAACATCTAAATCAGACAGACTATAGACAATTTATTAAACATCTTTTGCATTTTTTAGGGTCTGAATGCCAGTTTGTTTTTTGTGGAACACACATACCCTGAGAAGGAGCTCCAAGATGGAAAAAGTCACCAGAACGAGCATGAAGCACAGTTTGTTGTTAATTTGTGTCGGTACCTCATTCTTCAGGAGTACAAACCAGAGCAGATCACCATCCTGACCACGTACACAGGCCAACTGTTCTGTCTGCGCAAACTCATGCCTGCTAGTCTGTTCTCAGGAGTCAAAGTCCATGTGGTAGACAAATATCAAGGAGAAGAAAACGACATTGTGTTATTGTCTTTGGTCCGAAGCAACAAGCAGGGCAGGGTGGGCTTTTTGAATATCCCGAATCGAGTGTGTGTTGCTCTGTCCCGTGCAAAGAAAGGCCTCTACTGCATAGGGAACAGTGAGATGTTAGGCCAGGTCAAACTGTGGAGCAAAATCTTCCACACGTTGAGGGAGAAGGATCAGTTGGGCACAGCGCTGACCCTCTGCTGTCAAAACCACCCTGATCGAAAGGTGTCAGCTTCTTGTGCTGATGACTTTCAACAGGCTCCTGAAGGAGGTTGTACCCTGCCGTGTGAGTTCCGTTTGGACTGTGGCCATGTGTGTACTAAAGTGTGTCATCCCGCTGATCCAGAACACAAAAAATACCAGTGTATGAAGAAATGTCAGAAGATTCTTTGTGATTTAGGGCATAATTGTACACTACTGTGCTATGAGACATGTGGAGATTGTAAACTTCTGGTGGAAAAGACCATACCCCGATGTCAACATAAACAGATGGTTCCTTGCTTCAAGGATCCAAACAGCTTTGTGTGCCAAGAGCCCTGTCAAAAAACACTGGAGTGTGGACATCCATGTCAATCAATCTGTGAAGACCCCTGCACCTCCCAGTGCAAAGTAAAGGTTCACTTTGATTTGAATTGTGGCCACAACAAAAAAGATTTTTGTTTTCTCAAACAACGGCTTGAAGAGCCATATTGTACTACTGCGTGCAAGCAGCAGTTGAAATGTGGTCATGTCTGTTCAGGCAAATGCAGTCGCTGCCACCGGGGGCGCTACCACTGCAGCTGTTCCCATGTTTGTGAGCGCCTTCTCGTCTGCTCTCACAAATGCCAGGCGCCCTGCACAAACTGTCCCCCTTGTACTCGCCCATGTGAGAATCGTTGTGTCCACAGTCAGTGCCCCAGACTTTGTGGACAGCCCTGCTCTCCCTGTGTGGAGCCTTGTGCCTGGAGTTGTCCACACCAAAGCTGCACCAAACTTTGCCACGAGCCCTGTGACCGTCCTCCATGTAATGAACCCTGTGTAGAGGTCCTGGGCTGTGGGCACCCATGCATTGGACTGTGTGGAGAAAAATGTCCAGACAAATGCCGCGTCTGTGATCATGAAGAGGTAACTGAGATCTTCTTTGGCTTTGAAGATGACCCAGATGCTCTATTTATCCAGCTACAAGACTGTGGTCACGTTATTGAACGCAGAGCGATGGACCAATACATGGGAATAGATGAGAGGCAGCAAGAAAATGAGGAAGAAGTGGCAATCAAACTCAAAGAGTGTCCCAAGTGTCGAACACCAATACGCAAGAATCTCCGTTATGGTTCTCACATAAACCGCTGTCTGGCCGAGATAGAGCTGGTGAAGGAGAAGATTGCAGGAAATCAGAAAGACATTGAATCACAAAATATGGCTTTACTGAAACTGTGGAACAAAAATAAACACAAGGAAGAACTTTCTCATGACTTCAAACAATTAAAATTAACATTGGATTCACGCCTTCAGTCAGCTGTTGACCTCTGGATCATTGAGAACAAAATAAGTTTCTTTACACGTGTTGCCAAGCTTCTGGTGTTTAAAAAAAAACATATGTCTGCCACGGATGGTGTAACATTTAACAAAAGGATTCAAGAGTTTCTTGCCTGGCTAAAAGACCCTCACCAAAGATTCACAGAACAGCAGATATACGATCTGGAGCGGGAACTACGCAGAATGACACTCTTGGCTGAACTTTACGCTCACTCCAACACGGCCGAACTCAGAGGATCAAAATCTAGCATTCAAATGGAGGAACAAACTCTGCGAAATATATTGGGAAAATGTGATCCCTTTACTGAAGATGATGAATCACAGGCCAATCAAATCATAGAGGAGGTGAAAAAGAAGTTCCCTCTCAGTGGTTTGGGTATTAGTGATGAAGAAAGGAAGATGATTGTATCAGCAATCCAAATGCCTGGCCACTGGTTCAAATGTCCCAATGGTCATGTGTATGTCATAGGTGATTGTGGAGGGGCCACAGTGAGTCGCAAATGCCCAGATTGCAATGCGGTTATTGGTGGGGCCAGTCATAGAGTTGCAAGTGGTAACCAGCTTGCAACAGAAATGGATGGAGCACAGAGACCTGCTTGGCCAACAGCTCTTGGACCTCAGTTACTTTAAAACAAAACTGAAATTGCTTCTGCTAATAAAGGCACGGGTGACACACACAGCACACTAGTCTTTCGGCCCACTCCCATGGATGACAGTGTCCCTAAAGCAGCCACACAGAAACACCACCGGCCTGATAGACACACCCGTATTGTGGATTTCCATGTGCATATATGAGTTTGTGTAATTGGTTGTTGACTGTGAATTGTTTGGTTTGGTCTGTTTGGGTTGCTGTGTCAATGATCATGTCTTAATTCACCTGTTAAGCAACGCTCAGACCAAAAAACGCCTTTATTTGCTGCTTTGAAGCATGTACATTTAGTGAAGCAACTCTTTAGTCTGTCCCAATACTCACTCTCGCCCTAATTTAGACCCTTGCCTTAGATTTAGCAACGGCGAAGGCACCCAAATCTTACAGAAGGCCCTCAGCTCTGGAGCTCAGTTGCGCTACTTCTACTACTTGGTAGTTCTGAGAGCACTCACAACTCGAGTGCCCTCAGAATTGGGACAGACCCTTTACTTGTGTACACTTTACACAGCACGATTACTCCTCATCCCGGGTGGAAGATTAAGATTAAGAGATCCTCTGAGGGTGAAAGCAAAGGGCTACAATCTATTCCCTCCATTTTCAGTCCTGGTTTAGTCCTGGTTTAGTCCTGGTTTAAGTCCTGGTTTAGCTCTTGCATAAAGTTGTTGTTATTTTCCCACCTCCGGCGCTCGGCCACATTGACTTTGTGTAAACCTGGTGCAACACTTGGTCCGGTCTTAACAAGGCTTTAAGCATGTTGTTTTATTTGTTATGCTTTATGAATACAGTTTGATTGATTGACATGTCCTTTGATCAACGTTAAGTTTATCACAGTGTTGATGTGGACCAATGTTGGACCATAATCAGCACTGATGTAATGTGTGTTTCTTCTTATTATTTCATTTTATGTTTATTGCAAATAAAGGTCTAATGAATTCAGTTTATTGTTTGCTGCTTTCTTAAAATGTAGATTAAGATTAAGTGATCCTTTATTCGTCCCACAGTGAGGAAATGTGTAGCTCATTATAACGGCACAGTAAAGTCTTACCATAAACAGCTGTATCTTGAGTCCACATGTGTTTTATTATAAAGCATTTGATGTAACTAATTATTTTCAAATGTATAAAATGTTATTGTCATTGACTTGACAAATAAACTAGCTTTTGACATCATATTAGTTAAAAAAGTCATGTTTTATCATGTATTATCATTTGTCATAATTTACTTAAATTTGCCTTTTTAAAATATATTAAAAATCATCCATCCATCTGTGTCAGAGCTGATCCTCCTGCAGCTGCTGAGTCCACAGGAGCCTTGATCTTTCAGCGGGGACTTCATGCTAAGTCGGGTTAAGTGTCTTGCCCAGGGACACATTGACAGCAGACATCAGTGCAGCGAGTTGGTGCGAAAAAGATAAAAATACAAAATTGTCCAAATCATAATTCCCAGTCCTAGTTACAGTGTTGCTTCATGTTTTTAGTCGCAGAACACAAGCAGTGACCAGCTTTGGTCTGACATAAAAACCAGAGATGAGGGTGTTACGCCTTTTGTGTATTAAGCCCCCAGACCGAGGTCGAGGGGCCCAGGGGAGATTCGCTGCTCCAGGGCTGAAGGGATGGAGAGATGCGCTGTCAAAGTGTCAAAGTGTGGTGCAGTTTCAAAGACACTCCGGACTGTTGCTCAAGAGTGGGGCTTTATTGTTTCTCCTGATCCAACACACCAAGCACTCGTCCCCTGTCTTGCTCCAGTCGCACTCGCTCTCACGCCAAACTTTTCATACACTAATGCCCTGTCCACACGAAGTCAAGCTCAGGCCTAAACGCAAAAATACTTTATCAATCCAGTGTATCGTCCATACGAGGCCGGCGTTTTGGGGGGGTGTAAACGAACATTTTTGAAAGTAGGTCCCAGAGTGGAAAGATTTCAAAACTCCGTATATGCCGCTCCGTGGTTACTGCCTCTCCGCAATGTATCTGAGACGCTTGCGTCATCGCCCCGCCTCTTGTTAAAGCACGCATGCGCCGCACTCAGAAAATAATGACAACAACAATGTAGCTTGTTGGTTTTGTAATCCAGTGCGACCCGAAGCAACAGTTCAACCTCATCGTCCGTCCATACTAATGTAGTACCAGCTCGCCCACTCGCCATGTTGTCTGTTTACAAAATTCTGCGCATGCCCAGTTCCCGTCACGGAAGTTTGGGCTTGATCCCGTCATTGCGTCACAGCGCCACCAACAGGTCTGGCATAGTTTCACAGCGTTTTCAGGCGTATTGACTACATTCATATGGACGCACACATTTACTGAGCTAACTCCGTGTTTACAGAAAAAGTTTCTGAAATTATAAGCGTTTTGTCTTCGTGTGGATATAGCCTCAGTTCTCTGCAGCTCTCGCGCTGTCCATACCTAGAGGCGCGCTCCCGTCACCGCCACGCGCCCCCACACACACACACATTATCCACAGAGCTGACTGCACGTGGAAGAAAAACAGATCTCACAACAAGGAAATAAAGGCCAAAATAAGGGGAACAAACAGCAGACACATGGAGGTTAATGCTGGTTAACCCAAGGACTTTTGTAGAAATTATCTAACTTTATTTTTCCTGTATGAAATGTATTAAAGAAAAAAAAAAGAATGGTCTTGAATAATTGAAGAAGTGTAAACATAAATACATCATCTTTACATTGCTGAGAGCTGATTGGTTGCTCAAGGTTGTTTTTTTGCCTGTGTGATTTCTTGCAAAAACGAAACCTAAGTCGTAGCAGAAAAACACAGGGCGTGACAGCAGCAGAGTTCGGGAGGAAGACGCAAGACACCATCTGCTTTTGGTAAGAAATTGTCTCCTATAAGTCATTGTTTTTAACCATTGATTTTGAAATGTGTGGGGAACATTTTTTAGTTTTAAAAGATGTGAGGATTTATTTATTTTTTGTGTCGTTTTTTGTGTGTCATCTTCAGTAATAGCCAACTAGGATAATTATACATACACTTATGGGCATTACCCCCCTATATTAACTACACATTAACTTGTATTTCCTAATGATTTATTTTTGTTTTGTTTAAGTTATATATGAAACAAAGGATTCCTGGCAGATTACAGATCCAGCTCAAATCATTTCTGAGGAAACGAAAGTGTGTTCACTCACAACAAGGGGGCACAACACATTAGTATTTGCTTGTTAACTCATTGGCTGCCAGCCGTTTTTGATGATTTCATTGACTTTCAAGACCCACAGAACATTGTGCGCTAAAATATTTTGAAAGATTGGACTGTCTACTTTCATCAGCAAAATTAAGTTTGTTTCTAGCTAGTTTTGTTTTCTTGTAATCCCCGGTCGAATAGACAGAAATCACCAGTCTCAGACAAATACAATAACAATGAGTTAACAGAAATGTATCAGGATGAATTTATAGATCTAAGAACCGTATACCTAAGAATCCATCAAAAGGGGCAGATATTAAAGGACTTGTTCTTCTTCTCTGCTCCGTTTCATTCAGACTCTATGGGATTGGCGTTTGTTGTTGTTGTGATTGTACGTCACTTTAAATTAGATAAATAAATAAAAATAATAATAAGAAAAAATCAATACTTAAATTGTGCTGTTATAGTTGTTTTTGAAAAGTCATATTTATAACAATAACAAGGCATCGGTTTTAAACAGCGCTTTTCTGGACACTCAAAGACGCTTCACATTAATATTCTTCCACTCCAAACACGGTGGTGATAAAATACTGCAGTCAGAGCTGCCCTGGGGCTAACTGACAGAAGCGAGGCAATTATGAGCCCTTCCCACCACCATCACCTCTCACTCGCTCGCGCGCACGCACGCACACACACGCGCGCGCACACGTGCACACGCAGACGTACACATACACCAGATGTTCTAATGTGGGTGAAGTGCACTTTACGGCCGCAGCCTGCATGTTTCCAGAAGTCTCCCATCACAGTGCTAACCCGACCCTGCCCTCACAGCGTCAGAGGTCTGAGGGGATCTTGCTTTTGAATTCAAGAAAGGCCATATTCATTGCTGCAACTAGTTTTCATTTGAGGTTTCTGAGTAAGCAGGTGTTGAAAAAATCTCAAAAAGGCCCATTCAATAAATTATTTATTTAATCAGGCTTAGGTCTCAAGCTGAGCAGATGTTGGTTTCATTAGGGCTGATTTACTATTGTTTTGTGTTTAAACCATGCATCTCCTCTTAACAGTACAATTAACTCTGACACTGGCTGCATTCTGAAGCTCAGTTTTACAGGTGTTGTCCCCTTGACATAAGTCTCTTGTGAGATGGACGAAGAATCAGATGGAAGTGAAGAAGAGCATGGTGAGTGTACTGTCTTACTACATTCGGCACGGTGGCTGAGTGGATAGCACTCTCGCCTCTCAGCAAGAAGGTCCTGGGTTTGAATCCCGGTCGGTTCAGGGCCTTTCTGAGTGGAGTTTGCATGTTCTCCCCGTGTCTGCGTAGGTTTCCTCCGGGTACTCCGGTTTCCCCTACCACTAAAAATATGTCCAATAGTTCTGGCATGCGCCTCCTGTTCTGGCAACCCCACTCCCATCTCTTAACAATTGTAAACCGCTTTGAGACTCAGATCTGCAGTGAAAAGGCGGTATATATAAATAAAGAAAGATTACTACATTCGTATTTAATAGAGATAAGATATGAATACCAAACTATTCAAAAGTCACGTCATCATTAAAGGTAGCCTGTATGGGGTAAGGTTACTGTCAATAAAGACGTGCATGTCTAAAAAAAATGCGTGCATATTTATTGGGATTTGTGCATAATTTATTTTTATGAATTCATGATTAAGATAATACAAACTAAAAAGACATGGAATTTCGTAATTAAGAATAAAAAAATATAAAACTGTATGTGTGATTTCGTACTTGTGAATGCAATTTTTTTTTGTGTGCTTGCATTTTCTTTTTGAGAATACGAATTTCAGCAGTGAGCAAACTGTCAATAATACGTCACTGCTCACAGACATTAACAATCGAGCCTGCGCAGAGTTGCTCATGGCAGAGGGCAACAACATTAACAATTTGGCTCAAAATCAGGTAAATAACTATATTTGATCATTTTGGTCGTAAATAAATGTGTAAGAAATATTAATTCCATAAAATGTGTTCATAAGATGTTTCTTGTCCCTCTCTAGAAACGTTTTTTTAGGCAGTGTTTAGTTAACACTAGCTTCAAGGCTAGTTTTACAGCTTACCATGTTATTTTAAAACCAACATTTTTACATTCTTAGCATTTACATTTGATGAAGCCTTTGCCCCGAATCAATGTGGTTAAAGTGTTGAGACCAGCCCCAACCCTCCAGATCAGTGTCTCCCAAAGTGGGGTCCGCGGCCCCCTGGTGGGCCGCGAGGGTACTGCAGGGGGGCCGCGGGAGGTCATTAAAAAAAAATAAAAAATAAAAAAAAATATTTAATGTTAAATTTATAATGTTTTGTTTGCAATATTAAAATATTTGTGTTCATTATTTGACTTGAATAATCCACTGTAATCATTTTTGTATTACAATGTTTGTAGCAGAGGCTATTTCCCCAAAATAAAATAACCAGAAGAGCCTATTCTTAATGTTGTCTTCTTGGTTATTATTTTGGGGGGGCCACGCAGACCCGTCAGATTTTTAAGGGGGCCTCGGTGTTACTGAGTTTGGGAATGGCTGCTCCAGATTATTCATAGTTTGCGCTGTTACTGCCCCTGAGCAATACGAAGTTCACCTCCGTGCTATATTCATCCTTGGTTGTTAGACGTAGCAGACCCTGTCCCTGTGGACCTCAATCTTATATTTGTACATTTGACACATTACTTTTACTCACTAGTTCAGTAAGACTAGTTAGTCTGTTGTTTAGACTAAAATAAATGCATTATTTTCTGTAGAATAAAACAATATAAGGATAAGAAAATAAAACTAGCATTGGAGCTAACAACACTGCCAAAAAACCTTTAGAGGGACAAGAAACATCTTCTTATGAACACATTTATGGAATTAATATTTCTTACACATTCATTTACAACCAAAATGATAAAATATAGTTATATACTTGATTTTGAGCCACTTTGTTTATGTTGTGTCCTTCTGCCATGTTTAGTTTTTAGGCAATGAAGTTGAGCAACTCTGCGCAGGCTCGATTGTTAATGTCTGTGAGCAGTGACGTATTATTGACAGTTTGCTCACTGCTGAAATTCGTATTCTCAAAAAGAAAATGCAAGCACACAAAAAAAAATCGCATTCACAAGTACAAAATCACACATACAGTTTTATATTTTTTTTATTCTTAATTACGAAATTCCATGTCTTTTTAGTTTGTATTATCTTAATCATGAATTAATAAAATATTTGTATGCACAAATACCAATAAATATGCACGCATTTTTTTTTAGACATGCACGTCTTTATTGACAGTAACCTTACCCCATAAGCCTGACTCTCGCAAGACCCTTTTAGTTCCGCCAAGACCCTTGTAGTTCCGCCATGCTCCACCAGAGCTGAACCAAAAGATCTGGGATCGAGGGCATTGCAAACTCCTTCTGAAGAGCAAAAAATAATCAGCCAATCAGGATCCTCGGTGACGGGTTTGCACCGCCTTCTCGTGCATCTCAGCGAATTCAAACTAAGATGGCGGACATAAAGTTGAGAATCAAAAAAAAGTTTAAATATGAACAAATTATTATATTAATTTGAGACGAGATATTGACGGTTCTATGTTGTTATACAGTATGTGTGTTTTAAGAGTAAAATGTTCATGCAAAGTTTGGTTTAAGAACTGGTTTAAGTGCTTATCAAAACACTACGCAGCAGGGATGCCAGGTTGGGTGGTTTCCTGCATACTTTTGTTCCAAGCGACTTGCAGGTAATAAATAGACAGAAAGACAAAAACAGAATCATGAAAGCCCAAGTTGATTGCATTAAGTTTTTAGCCAAAGAATTCTGGGTGTTTTTTTGGGGGGGGGGGGGGGGGGGCCTTCTCGCAGGTTTTGAGCTGGAAAAACTTGCCGGCATCTGGCAACCCTGCAACGCAGTGTGCTGAAATGTGTGCTTCGATGTGAGTGGTTGAAAGAAAACAGACAAGCGGTTTATCCAATCACATACATGGATTATTTTACAAGGCCCCGCCTTCTGAAATTGATCCGCTATGGAGCAGACCCAGACCCTTGTGTGAAGCTCAGCGAACTTCAAGGGTCTGGCGAGAGTCAGGCTACATTAAAGGACCCAAATATGTCAAAAGGCATTAACACACTTTTTCAGTACTTCTAATATACACTTTTCCAATACTTCTTTAACTGATAACAGTAGTTCAGGGATATTGGAATTAAAAACATTGTTTTACAGCCCCTAAATCTTTATTTAGAGGCCTAACACCTTTTTCACAAACATAGACATCCTCGTTTTATTCCATGTGTTGTCGTTAATTGACCTTTTTTAGTTCTGCGGCCACATGGTACTTTAACAGTGAGATTAGCTCGGCACGGTGAGTTCTGGCAACCCAGATCACAGACTTTCTGGTTGGTTAAACAGTGGAGGGCGGGACATCGAAATGAAAACATTAACAAGATTTAGGGGCTGTAGAAATAGTTTTGAAATTATAATAGAAAAAGTATTGGAAAAGAGCATGTTTTATTATTCACTTTAATGATAACTTGACATTAAAATCTTACATATTGCTCATTTAAGCAGTCACCACATCTCAATCACCTCCACAAAGCACAAGCATGTACCTGAGACATAGGTATTTCTCAATTGAATAAGAACCTACAGAACAACTTTCAGAGCCAAGTGAGTCTGAGTCCTGTGACTCGGCACGAGGCACATTGGGAACAAGTCACCCGTTGGTATTTCTTCTTCCCACAGCCTAGTCTTACCATTCCATACAAATTTCATTTTGTACTGAAGTCTGGATTTGCTCCATTGAGCTCCGTGAACAGGTTAACTCCTTTTAAAGATTGAAACGATTGGATCTGAGTTTTTCATGATGTATGTAATGCGCCCGAGTGAGTTGCTAGCATTTTGCATTTACTCTAGCTTTAGCCATCTTCTTTGCCACTAACGGAGCCCCCTTGGGGTGTAGAGCAGCAATGACATTTGCTAAATTGGTCAGAAGGGCTTCAACCAAGAAAACTGCAGCCACTAGGATCAGACTCAGATTTACACGTAGGAAATGATAATTGATCCCAGGAGAATAGCTGCTCTGTCAGTGAGAGCACAGTCTTGATCTGCTTCAGGCAGAGTGGGGTTAAGGGTCTTGCCAAAGGACACAAAGACAGCAGACATCAGTGGTCTCACTGACAGGGCAGCCATTCACTTGTGGTGGGCTTGAACCCACAACCTTCAGGCCCAAAGGCCAATGCTCTACCAACTTAGCCACTGTCGCCCAATAAGATGGTCATAAAGGATGGTAATAATAAGGATTATTACCAAAATACAATGCTGTATACAGTGTATTGTTTCAGGTTGTAGTAGAGCTGGGCGATATGGCAAAAAAGTAAAATCTCGATTTTATTTCCTGCTTTGGACGATTCCGATTTTAAATCGATTTTCATTAAAGTCATCAAAGACAGACTTCGCCCTTAAAAAGTATGTTCAATATTCAAGTTTCAAAACTATTTTTAATTTGTTTCCCCCAATACGTATTATAAAAGTCTTAATTAGGATAATCAGTATAATTCATGTGCTGCTGGAACTCTCACAATATCCTTCATTCGATTTCACGATTTTCATATTTTTCACAACTTCGATTTTTTCAAAAGTTTAATTGCCTAAATTCGATTTATTGCCCAGACCTAGGTTGTAGTATTACATGTATTATACTATAATTCATTTTCCACAGGGACTGGAAATGTACCTGAATCAGGGAATGAGTTTGTTTGTTCAAAACTACCTCCAACAACACATGACGGCCGTGAAAATAAAGAAAAAAATCAGGAAGCTGCAGACAATGAGAGAGAAGGGCAAGAGGTGTGTGAGTCAAAAATGGTCCAGAAAGATGCACATGGAGGAGATTCAGGCTGGGCTTGGAGGAGAGGAGAAGAACGTAACAACAGCAGGAGTGGGGAGTGGAGTGGAATGGAGTGGAGAACAAGGAACAAGGAAGATGGCTGCGAGAGAAGAGGAGGTTTCAGAGGTTTTAGCATGAGCCGGAGGGGGGGAAGGCAAACCTCAAGATTCCCTGAGCAAGACAGAAGCACCAGATACTCTGAGCAAGACAGAAACACAAGATACTCTGAGCAAAACAGAAACACAAGATACTCTGGGCAGGACAAAAGCAGACATCATATCAAATTTTTAAGTCTAGGCACAAAAGACAAAGTGAAAGAACGTACACTCAGCCATCAAAAACTAGAAGAACTTTCTGAAAAAGATCCATCTGAAGTGGCTGTCAGCGTCTCCTCTCACCCTGCTCTGAAACCTCTCCTGGGCGAGTGTACCATGAGGAAGGACCTGGTGGAACTGCTCTGTCTGGTGCTGAGTAAAGCTTTCAGATCACGAGCGGACAGAGGCACCCTGCAGCACCTGGCTGGCATCATCAAAGATTCTGGCTTCCTGCGCACTGTCCTGCCACACTACCTGGCAGCTGTCAGCTCAGAGTTTGACACTGACTGCAGAGATGAATATCCACAGCATCTGGACAACATCCTGGCTATCCTGACTCAGGTACAGAAAGCAACACATTTATCAAATGAAAAACAAGTTTAAAAATGTGTTATGTATGTGTACGTAGGTACTCAGCATCTTTCCCGCCAGCTCAGTTGAGTCAGTAAATCTGCTCCTGACTCTGCTGCGTCCATCCCTCAACAGCCTGAGGACTTCAGGAGTGGATGTGCCACCTCAGATAGAGAAGAACATGGAGCATCTTCAGCACCTGGTCAGACACCTCCAAACCATGTCCAGAGATGGCACCATACGATCAAAAAAGGACACTTATGCCTTACTGACTAGTGCAGGTGAGTGACTTTCATCCCATATTTTTGCTAAAAAGCTCAATTTTAAGGGTGACAATAAGATATACTTCAAAGAAAGTAAGAAATCTTTCACCTGTGCCAAGAAGTTGACTATTGCTAAAAAGAACTATTGGTTATGTTTATGGTTCTGATTTATCCTCCAGATTTTACAGCTCACATTTGGAAGCGCCTGAGGCCTTTTATTATTTTACACACTTTGTTTTGGTTAGTTATTGTTCAGAATTCATGCTTTATGATATTTACTTGTATAGTTGGATTTTAGTTTAGATGGATAAACAGCAGCAGAAATAAATCCATCCATTCTATATCAAATATGTTCAACGTTCTTAAACGTTATAAACAATAGGAATAAAGTGCAAATGTTTAGTCATATGGAGGGTAAATATCCTCTTTACTTTTTAGTCCTCTGAACCGATGCATATTCGAGGTCACACTGCTAACAAACCTGTCACTATTGCTGATTGTGTCCAGACGAAGACCAGCAGGACTTCAGGAACATCCCCATCTACCCGACTCCAGAGGAGCTTCGACATGAGGACAGACCTTATCTCAGACCCAACCTCACCTCCCAGCGCTACCCAAGCACTCATCTGTACCTGGACACTCACTTTCGACTGCTCAGGGAGGACTTTGTGAGGCCGCTCAGGGAAGGGATCCAGGAGCTGCTCCGAGCGCAAATGGACAACGCTGGAAACCACGTGAAGACAAAGCGACTCGATGACATCAGAATGTATCATGACACTAAACTGATAGCCCCTCAGTGCACCATGAATGGTCTCGCATACATGGTGCAGTTCAATGTTCAACCACTCAAGGTTAGAATCTACATACACACTTTCAGCACATTCCAAATACTAATTTGATTATTCTTACCCCACAGTTTGTTCGCTGGGAGAATTCAAAGAGGCTGATCTTTGGTTCTTTGGTCTGTTTGTCGTGTGACAACTTTGAAAGCTTTCTCTTTGCAACTATTTCGAATCGAGACCCAAAAGAACTTCAAGAAGGGAGGGTTCAGATTATTTTTACGGAGGAAAGTAGAGACAAGTTGGCCAGGACTCAGGTATATCATAATAATTTAAATAAAACCAATTTCTAAGACTAGTGAAGTTGAAGTAAATTGTCTTTTGTTTTTAGGAAAACCAAGTGTATTTGATGGTGGAGACCACTGCCTACTTTGAGGCCTATCGCCATGTTTTGGAGGGACTCAAAGAGCAGAAGGAGGATGAGCTGCCCTTTAAAAAGTATGAATGAGTTTGCCTTCGTACAAAGAATGCTCAAGTGCAGGCCTTTATGCAATTACAGCCAGCTACAGATCAGGAGTAGCAACACAGCGCAGGTCCGATGATGCTGTAATTTTAGATTTTGGGGAAGAACCATGTATACACATATTTACATCTGTGCATGAGTTTGGTACATACACTTTCAACATGCCAGGGTAGATGTTGCCCTCTCTGCAGCTAGCCTCCCTGTACAGCCCAAACAGCCCTTAACCCCTCCCATGGGCCTTACACGATATTCCATTCCATCTTCTTCCGCTTCATCCGTTGCCGGGTCGCGGGGGCAGCAGTCTAAGCAGAGACGCCCAGCGCTCCCAGGCCAGTTGAGAGACATAGTCCCTCCAGCGTGTCCTGGGTCTTCCCCGGGGCCTCCTCCCGGTGGGACGTGCCCGGAACACCTCCCCAGGGAGGCGTCCAGGAGATGCCCGAGCCACCTCAACTGGTTCCTCTAGACGTGAAGAAGCAGCGGCTCTACTCCGAGCTCCTCCCGTGTGACCGAGCTCCTCACCCTATCTCTAAGGGAGTGCCCAGCCACTCTGCGGAGGAAGCTCATTTCGACCGCTTGTATCCGCGATCTTGTTCTTTCGGTCATTACCCAAAGCTCATGACCATAGGTGAGGGAGGGAACGAAGATTGACCGGTAAATCGAGAGCTTTGCCTTTCGGCTCAGCTCCCTCTTTACCACAATGGTCCGATACAGCGACCGCATCACTGCGCACGCTCCACCGATCCACCTGTCAATTTCACGCTCCAACCTTCCCTCACTTGTGAACAAGACCCCGAGATACTTGAACTCCTCCACTTGAGGAAGGACCTCCCCACCCACCTGAAGAGGGCAAAGCACCTTTTTCCGGTCGAGCACCATGGCCTCAGATTTGGAGGTGCTGATTCTCATCCCAGCCGCTTCACACTCGGCTGCAAACCGCTCCAGTGCATGCTGCAGGTCCTGGTTCGTTGGAGCCAACAGGACAACATCATCCGCAAACAGTAGAGATGAAATCCTGTGGTCCCCGAACCGGACCCCCTCCGACTCCTGGCTGCGCCTAGAAATTCTGTCCATGAACACAGTAAACAGAACCGGTGACAAAGGGCAGGCCTGGCGGAGGCCAACATGCACCGGGAACAGGTCTGACTTACTGCCGGCAATGCGAACACAGCTCTGGCTCCGGTCAAACAGGGACCGGGGCCCTCAGCAGTGGACCCCGGCCCCCCAAAGTACACCCCGGGGAACACGGTCGAACGCCTTCTCCAAATCCACAAAGCACATGTGGACAGGTTGGGCGAACTCCCATGAACCCTCGAGTATCCGATGGAGAGTATAGAGCTGGTCCAGTGTTCCGCGACCGGGACGAAAACCACACTGCTCCTCCTGAATCCGAGATTCGACCATCGGACGTAGCCTCCTCTCCAGTACCTTGGAGTAGACCTTACCAGGGAGGCTGAGGAGTGTGATCCCACGATAATTGGAACACACCCTCCGGTCCCCCTTCTTGTAGAGAGGGACCACCACCCCGGTCTGCCACTCCATTGGCACCGCCCCCCATCGCCATGCGATGTTGCAGAGACGATCTTATCAACACGATATTATAAATACAATTATCATAAAAACCAACTTTCTCTGCCTAAACTCATCCATATTTGTCAACGTTGTTATTTTACATGCCCAAAGCCCCCACTGAAAGATCAAGGCTATGCTCACACCAGAAGTCCTGGCCAGCGGTTGCGCGCGCCAGAAGTGGCAGAAGTAGCGGGTGGACTTTGATGCTAACAGAGTTAAGCTAGCGGCTTTTTGTGTAAAGTTCTTCTCCAATAATGCAACTCTGGAAGGTTTCTGGACAAAGAGATGCTGCAGAGACTTTATGTAACAGCAGTATGGGTTCTCGGAGATGCGCCATACGGTACTTCCGCATCTGCGAACAGGCTCGAAGCAGTTGCATAAAGTCACGGGAGCATGAAAACGCATAGGTTCAAAAGCACTATGTACCATTGTCAACCCTGGTTTTAGTCCTGGTGTAGCTCCTGTTTTGGCTGTTTACAGTATGTTCAGTCTGCTCGCTCAGACCACTATTGTCCCCATGACCAGTTTGTGGCTCTCTGATTGGTCGCTGCACGAGCATCCCGAGGAAACGCTCAGCAATATTTATCTCCTGCGTGCGACGATTATCCGCTCCTGCTCCTCTGCCACGCCTTTGCTGCGCAGTGCGTCTCTACCGCGCCGTCCGTGCCTGCATCCTGAGACGCACATGCAGTTCGACACTCGAACGCGTGCCACCATTGACTTTTCATTGAAAGTCGACGCAACGCACGATCCGGTGTGAAAGCACCATTAGAGAGTACAGGGCGAGGTGATATGGAGTGCTTTGGTACACTGCGTGGGAGCACACACCTCACACCGGGGACAGTGACAGGAGGGCAAGGCTTAATGACAAAAGAAAACTAAATCCATGCTTTGTGTGTTTGAATATTTATTGGGAGGTCCCCACCGATTCTCTGGCCTGCAAAGAACTTGGATATGGAATCTGTCAAAGCAGTCAATTCCAGTGGACCAAAAAGGGGGCTTGAATAGCTCCAATCTGTAGAGAGGAAGGTCTGCCATATACTGTACATTCCACACATTGCTATTGGACTTGAGGCTAGCCAACACCCCCTGAACCAGGAGCCAGCTTGAGGAAACAACTCTAGAGAGGAATGAGTTTGCCAGTTTGTAAAACAGTTCCTTATTATTGAGATTATTCTGTTGGGCCTGATCAAGAAGCAATGTTTCAGTGGATGAGAGGTCGGGGAGAATACCGAGGCTGGAAGGTAAGCATGGTTGGGTCCTGCAGAGCCCACCCCCAGCAAGTAAACACTGCGGCTGGGTCAGCCCCTAGACCTAAGTTGTGGATGATCAGAGCCTCCTGGAAAGCATTCAGAGGCAGATAATTGAAGCTGTGTTATCGTTCACTGTCTGTAAAATGGTCAAACCAATTACATCTCTCACTCAATGTGTAGACTTTTGACAACAACTGTACGTTGATTCATGGGTTTCAGCTTCCCATTGGATATGTTATTATTGGAGGATCCTTGTTTTTTTATTTTAATCACTTTGGCAATGGACATAATTTTCCATAGCTCTGAGACAACAATAACCGAAAATTAACAATATGTTGTATAGGTACCTTGTTGATTGCAACCCAGATGTGGAATCTCCTGCATATCTTCGCAGCAATGACACTTATGACCTGTCTTCTGTGGCTCACCCTGATTTTAAGACAAAAGTCAAGCCGTTTCACTGCCTGGATTCACAGGCCTGGCCAACAATGGAGGAGCTGGGCCTGGATGAGTCTCAGTTCAGAGCCTTTCAGTTGGCCCTCACTAAAGAACTAGCCATTATACAGGGCCCCCCGGGGACTGGTACGTTATACCAAGTGCAAGAAGGCAAATTTGGTACATAGATTGTTTTGTCAACAATATATTATGCCTGCTTCTCAGGGAAAACCTATGTTGGACTCAAAATTGCACAGGCACTATTGAAGAATAATAATCTTTGGTCTACAACAAATAAAGCCCCCATTCTGATTGTGTGCTACACTAACCATGCTTTGGATCAGTTTCTTGAAGGTAAGTTACCTTCTGCACAATGCATACACATTATTATTAAAAAATCCCAAAATTTCAGTACACTACATATACATGTTGAATTATAACATATACATAATATTGTTGTCTCTTCAGGTATCCATAGATTTCTCAAAGATGGAATAGTGAGAGTTGGAAGTCGAAGCAGCAGTGAAATCCTGAAGCGTTTCAACCTGAGAGAGCTTTCCCGCAGTTATGACTTCAAAGACACATTACCTGCTCACCTTATCACTCCATACAATGCTGTACGTCTATTACTAAGCTATTACATACAATTTAAAAAGTTAATTGTGTCATTTTATGGTTGATTCAGAAACTGGGAGTGCTCACCCAGATCACAAGAAAGCAGTTGTGACGGGTGCTCTTCAAGTGAACATGTATTAAAGAAAACAAAGAAAGTTAAAGCTGCAGGCAACGTCTAAAGACTCTGTTTTGCTCCGGAGGTGGTGATGAGTGTCCTTATACTGGGTCTCATGAAGGAAAAACTAATATTGTAACATTAGTTTAGTAAAGCTGTGATTTCATCTTGTTCAGGTGACCTCGATCCTGGAGTTTAAATGGAATGGATTCTAATGTTGTGCAAATGAGAATGTTTGTGCAAACAGGAGCACATTTGAAATCAAATTACTATTATGTAATTTCCAAATTTGTGGCTTTGCTGCGAGCAGCCCGTTTAACTGATCAGCTCCAGGAGTCATCAGTGGGAGTTCTGAAGTAGGTCTCGTGGCGGATTCAAACCCACGACCTTCAGGCCCAAAGGCCTGCTCTACCAACTGAGCTACTGTCGGCCCACTGCCACTTCCAGTTTTCCATTGTCAGGAAAGCAACAGGCCCTAAACCCTGTGCCCAAGACCTTTTCGTCAGCAGCTGACACAGCTAGTCTTTATGGACCAAATTAACTTTTTATGTTTAATGCACAAAGTGTTCTTCAAATAAGACTTTGAGTTTAAAGTAGATAATACTGCTCAAATGTCTCGGTGATGATGGTAAGATACTTCCCTCATCAGTCTAACAGAATCATCCACATCTCAGAGTAGACTGTCAGGCTTCATTCTATTATCTAAACCAGCCATTCCCAAACTCAGTAACACCGAGGCCCCCTTAAAAATCTGACGGGTCTGCGTGGCCCCCCCAAAATAATAACCAAGAAGACAACATTAAGAATAGGCTCTTCTGGTTATTTTATTTTGGGGAAATAGCCTCTGCTACAAACATTGTAATACAAAAATAATTACAGTGGATTATTCAAGTCAAATAATGAACACAAATAATTTAATATTACAAACAAAACATTATAAATTTAACATTAAATAATTATATATATTTTTTTATTTTTTTTATGACCTCCCGCGGCCCCCCTGCAGTACCCTCGCGGCCCACCAGGGGGCCGCGGACCCCACTTTGGGAGACACTGATCTAAACCAAGCAAATCTTGTAATGTACTATTGTCTGTAATCATTTACTGTTTACAGATTTCCAGAGAGGTTCATGACGCCGAAACAGTTTTGGAGATCCATAGTGTGAAGATGGCGTGTACTTTTAAGGGATTGATGCACGAAAGTGTCCTGCAAGAGTTTATGTCAGAGCAGCACTGGGACTGTCTACATGCTGTTCGAGTAAGTGTGTCTGGAGGTTAAAATTCATGACTGCTTTATTACTTTGCTTCAATTTAGCCATTGTTCTATGTGTTTATTAGAAAAGATGTGCTTCTGAATATGTTGGGAAGAAGCTGAGTGTGATTTTGGAGTGGTTGGGCTTAGAATGTCTCCAGGCGACCCAGACACAAGGTAAGACAAAGGGTTTGATTACCTCATGTGTGTATGTATGTATGTGTGTATGTATGTATATATATATATATATATATATATATATATATACAGACGGTTTGAGGCTAAGATCAAGGCGGCTCGGAGAGAAGTGAGTCAATTAACAGAGGCCCAGAGAGGTGCAATGAAAAGACCAGTACCCAGAAAGTACAGCCAGATGACATACCTGAAGCACTCGAAACTGCCAAACAAAGGCTCCAAGCCCTGGCCAGCCGCCTACAGAGGTAGACTAAAGAGAATGAAGCCAGAAGGGTGAACAGGCTGTTTGCAACACAACCTGCGAAGGTGTACGCTCAGTGGCAGGGTAACAACAGGGAAGCAGACCCACCGAGGCTGGAAACTGAACAGTTCTGGAAGAACATATGGGAGAAGGATGTAGCACATAACAGAAGTGCACAATGGCTGGTGTCCCTGAGAGAGGAGCACAGCCACCTCCCAGAACAGAACTCAGTTACCATCACAGAGGCAGACATCCGAGAAAGAGTCTCAGGTATGAAAAACTGGACAGCACCTGGCCCTGATATGGTCCATGCCTACTGGCTAAGGACACTCACATCACTCCATGAGCGCCTAGCAGCACAAATGAACCAGCTGCTGAGAGATGGGACTCACCCAGAATGGCTAACCGAAGGGCGAACGGTCCTGATCATGAAGGACCCTGTCAAGGGTGCAGTCCCCTCCAACTACCGGCCAATAACCTGTCTCTCCACAACATGGAAGCTCATGTCAGGCATCATTGCGGCTAAGATAAGTGGGCATATGGAACAATTCAAGACTGCCGGTCACGACACACCAACCTGTGCACAGCCTGGATTGATTACCAGATAGTGATCAGATACCCTGCAGGAATAATCAGGTGGCCAAAGGAAGAGATTCAGACTACGGATGTTAAAACTCGAAAGCTCCTTACCATGCATGGCGGGTTCCATCCCAAATCCAGCACCCTGAGACTGTACGTAAGTCGTAAAGAAGGAGGCCGAGGACAAGTGAGTGTGAGAGCCACTGTCCAGGACGAAACATCCAAACTCCATAACTACATCATGGAGAAGGCCAAAACGGATGACGTACTCAGTAAATGTCTCAGGCAGTGGCGAGATGAGGAGGTGCTGGAGGAGAGCCCATCATGGGAGAACAAGCCCCTACACGGCATGTACCACCGGAGCATAACAGAAGTGGCTGATCTCAAGAAGTCCCGCCAATGGCTAGAAAGGGCTGGCCTACAGGACAGCACAGAGGCACTCATCATGGCTGCACAGGAACAGGCACTGAGCACCAGAGCGATAGATCATAAGATAAGATAAGATGTGCTTTATTTATCTCACAGAGGAGAAATTTACATGTCACATTTGGCATGGATAGAACACTCAGATTGTGCAAAAGGAAGAAATGTGCAAACATGTTACATGCAGGATATATGTACAATAAAAGTGACAATAATTATGTACAACAAAAGTGACAAGTGTCAATTGGAAACAGTGTCAATAGTAGTGCAGGTTTTCACACAGTGATCATTTAAAGTGACTTATTGTACAGTCTGACAGCGGTGGGGACAGTCCCGTGCAGTGGGTGGGAGGTATTGTTCATGATGGAGGTGGCTTTGGCTAGCACCCTCCTGTCCCTCACCTCCTCCACAGAGTCCAGGGAGCAGCCCAGAGTGGAGCTGGCCCTCCTGACCAGCTTGTTCAGTCTGTTTCTCTCCCGCTCTGTGCTGTCCGGGGCCCAGCACACGGCAGCGTAGTAAATGGCAGAAGCTACCACAGAGTCATAAAAAGTCCTGAGCAGAGGCCTGCTCACTCCGAAGGACCTCAGCCTCCTCAGAAGGAAGAGGCGACTTTGGCCCTTCTTGTGCAGGGCGTTTGTATTATGGGACCAGTCCAGTTTATTGTTAATGTGAACACCCAGGTACTTGAAGCTGTCCACCAGCTCACTGTCCTCCCCCTGGATGTTCAGCAGCGTGTGGGAAAGTGGCCCAGATATACCACACCAGACAAGACCCAAGGTGTCGGTTGTGCAAAGAGGCACCTGAGACGATCCAACACATAACTGCAGGGTGCAAGATGCTGGCAGGGAAGGCCTACATGGAACGCCATAACCAAGTGGCTGGCATAGTGTACAGAAACATCTGTGCAGAGTATGGGCTGGAAAGCCCAAGGTCTAAGTGGGAAACTCCTCCAAAGGTGGTGGAGAATGAGCGTGCGAAGATCCTGTGGGACTTCCAGATACAGACCGACCGAATGGTAATGAACCAACCTGACATTGTGGTGGTGGACAAAGGGCAGAGGACAGCCGTGGTGGTGGACGTGGCAATTCCAAGCAATTGTTACATCCGGAAAAAAGAACATGAAAAGCTTGAGAAATACCAAGGTCTCAGAGAGGACCTGGAGAGGGCCTGGAGGGTAAAGGGGACAGTAGTGCCCGTGGTGATCGGTGCACTCGGGGCAGTGACCCCGAAGCTAGAAGAGTGGTTGGGGCGGATCCCTGGAACAACCTCGGACATCTCGGTCCAGAAATGTGCAGTGCTAGGAACAGCAAAGATACTGCGCAGAACCCTCAAGCTCCCAGGCCTCTGGTAGAGGACCCGAGCTTAGAGAGGGATAACCGCCCGCGGAGGGCCAAAGGTGAGTGGACAATTTACAAAAAAAAAAAATAATATGTATCTGTATAATATTGTTCGTCATTTAATGAATCCATCCACATTGTCATGATGTGGATTTTGATTTTGTATTTTGGTTTTATTTTAAAATAAGTTCTGTGGTTTTGTTTCAGTTTGACTTCCAGTCCTGTTTTCCCCTGTCTTGATTGTCTGCCCCGCCCTGATGTGTTTCACCTGCGTCTGTGTCTATATGTACTCTTTGCTTCTCTCCCCTTGTTGCTGCTTCATTGTTTTGTCTTGTTCTGTTCTGGTTACTTTGGATTTCTGGAGTTTGTTTTTTGCCTTGGACTTTGTTTTATTAAAAGCTTTATTTTGGCACTCCTGCGTTTGACTTCTCACTCAGCTCACCCTGTGACACACATGTCATTTACGGTACATCCTTCATAATTTATTCACACTATGAATGTTTTTAATGAAAGATGATGAAAAATGTATATTGCTGTTTCAATCACAGTTGAACTTGATAAAATCTCACAAAACAAAGTTCATTTTTTACTTGTTACATTGTACAAGGAGAAAGTCTTGACAAGGCAAGGTGCAGAGCCTGGCCTCTCTCACGACAAGTCTGAAGCTCAGAGTGTCTGTAGCTCCTTTCCTACTAGAAGACACACCTTCGTATGCAGATGGGAAAGGAACCAACAGAAAACTAAAGGACAGTGTGACAAGGCCTTCTCCATTAGCATCCTTAAAGCCTGCTTCCTCCTGGCATTAACACGGCCCATTCATTCTGGAGTCAACAGTGGATTACAACGTAGACAGTATATTATCAGCCACATATGATTTACCAAAATGATAACTTAAGTTACATTCCAATATTAAAAATACAGAACAAAAACAGTGCAAACCCCAAGTCGGTTTAATCACATTATACTAATCCTTTTGTGAGATTTCTGTAACATCTAGAGAACAAGACTTTTTTTTTACACAAAAATGTGTTTTTTTTTTAAGCCAAAACTGAGAAACCTCAAGAGAAACATGCATCTGGATCAGCACACTTGGACAATCTGCACAGATTCCACTTGTTAGTATTAGATAGCAATATGGCCTATGTGCAGGACTGTACAAGGACTCCATGTTATGACTATGATGTGACTGTCTCTTTGTGACACGTATGTCTTTCGATGTGTGACGTGACAATGACTATATAAACTGTGTACTGCCTTTATTCTGTCTGAGAGAAAGAAACAGAGTAAACCAGTGGAACTTGAGAGAAACTTAAATAAACTTCCAGAGTTTGGCACACCACGATCCGTCTCTCTCTGCTAAATCCTAACAGATTTGGTGGAGAATGCGCGGCTCAGTGTGTGCCATTCTCTGGATTGTTTTGAGGGAGTTTTGCTCTGTTTCTTTTCCTCGGCGTGAGAGATCGGCATGCTGTGTCTGGGAGCGGGGATTCCAGCAGGCTGGAAGAGCTGTTCCTGGATGCTTCTTGTCGCTTCTGTCACTTTTGTTTTTTAAATTGAAGATTCCGACGCGGAAAAGAGTTGGCAGACCTCTCGGACAGTCCTTGGATCCTGTTTGACAAGAATAAGGTAAGCAGACACCTTTTTTAATATGTAAAGTCTGCATAATTGGATATTAGCTAAATTTTGGTCTGTTTTTGGGGTCTGTCAAACTCTCTAAATTGTATTTGAGAAGAAGTCTCGGGGTTAAAGTCCCTTTGAGCCTCGGGGTTAAAGTCCCTTTGAGAAAGTCTCGGGGTTAAAGTCCCTTTGAGCCTCGGGGTTAAAGTCCCTTTGAGAAAGTCTCGGGGTTAAAGTCCTTTTGAAAAAGTCTCGGGGTTAAAGTCCCTTTGAGCCTCGGGGTTAAAGTCCCTTTGAGAAAGTCTCGGGGTTAAAGTCCCTTTGAGAAAAGCCTCGGGGTTAAAGTCCCTTTGAGAAGAAGCTTCAGGGTTAAAGTCCCTTTGAGAGAAACCATGGTGTAAAATTAAAAGTAATTATAAAAAGGGAAACGTTAAACACTAAAGAGTGCCTTTTGTTACTAGTGTGGAAAGTGATCACTTCTAGATTTGGATGACAAAAGTATAAAGAACAACATCAGTTATATTCGCTTAACAAAGTAATCTTGAAAGTTATTCTTCTGTATCTTTTTGCCTGTGTGTGCACATCTCTATCTGCTGCCGTTGTCAGGGAAACGGCCCCCACCTTCGCTGCTCTGGCTCTGAATCAGAGCTACTGCTTTAGGATTTTTGGCTTTTCATAGTTGTTATTCAGTTAAATTTGCGAAATTTGCCATTGAACATTGTGTTATGACACAGTTAAACGTTTTTAAACACCATTAGGGAATAGAAGTTTTGAATTAGTATGTTTTTGAAACCCAAAGATTAGTACAAAAAGCTTTGCTTTTCTTTTTAAATCTGCTGCTTATTTTGTGAGTCCATTATTGTATCTCTGATATATTTCATAGCTGTTTGTGAGAATTTTTTTATGTTTTTATTTTAGTTACAAAAGCCGTTTTTCAAACATTTAAATTAGAATCTGTTAAAAGTGATTAATGATTGTAGACTTCGTCTAAAAAAGAAAGAGGGAATTAGGCTGTAAAAGTATTATTAAGTTAAACTGTGACCCAATTTACAGTCTAAAAGCTGCGAGTTTTGTGAGTTTTGTTTTGTCTATAGCTCTGGCCTTGCAGCTGCTGCTCACTGCAGGGCGAGCAGAGTTTGATAGTGTCTTCCAATTCAAAATGTTTTTAAAAGTTTATTGAGTGCATTTGAAGAATGCAGCAATTATTTTAAATTAGAATATATGCTATAAATGTTCAAGTGTAAAAGGGAAATTCCATAAAGTGATTAATCCAGTTTAGTTAATCTTTTTGCTTTGACTTCATGTTTTCAATTTTTGTTTTAATGTTTTTCAAAATTCATTTTTACAGAGATTTTTCATACAGTTTTAGTTGCGATTTGAGTAATAATAATAATTCATTCTATTTTATGGCGCATTTCAAGAAACCCAAGCAAGCCAAGATTAAAAACATCACACAGTACAGAAGTACAAAATAGAATACATTTTTTTAAAGTTTAAAAGGTTTAAGAGATTTGAGTCTTGTTTTTTATTGAGAGTTTCTGGTTTTAAAAAGTTTCACATTAGTAAGATAATAAGTAATCTTTATTTACATAGCGCTTGGGAAAACCCAGAGCGCTCCAAAATTGTTTTGACTTTAGGGAGAAAAACAATCTCATTCGCATACTGATATCTATTGTTTTTTTAAATTGGCCGTGTCAAGGATTGTTTTTCAGACTCTGCCTCACTGTACGAGAGGTCACTGCTGGACACTGGACAGCGCAAAGCCCACCCAGCCACAGGTCACAGAGCTAAGAGCAAAGGGAAATGCCACCTCCTTGCCCCTCCCCACGCCACTGCAGAACTGAGTGGGTGTGAGAGAGACCGGGGCCATGAAAGAGAGGTATCTGGAGACGTGATGGGTGGAGCGTCAGGGAGAGACCTGAATGAGAGTTGAGAGTGTGTACAGTTGGTTTGCATCACCACAGTGTGACCTTTGAGACCTGCAGGTGGTTCGAGGAGTCTGGAGAAACAACCCCAAAATTCACATACACACACACACACACACATACACACACATACACTAACACATTCACATTTACATATAGATACATGAAAAAGCAGAACATGAGAAAAAGCATTTTAAAAGTTTACTCCAATGTAAACACATATTTTTAATTGTCTATCACTTGAATCTTTAGTTGAATCGGTATTTTTTGAGACCAGAAATGTTCATTTGAATTCTATATTGTCATGGACTAATTGACCTCTGTCCTGACACTTTTGATTTGTTGATTTTGTACTGTGTGAAGTAATTACATTGATGAGAATTAGATCTGATAAAAACACAAATTAGAGAAGTAAACTGAATCATTGCGCTTGCTTTTTGTCTGAGGGACATTAGCAACAGCATGAATAGAAATTGTGTTAAAGTAGAATCAAAGTGATTTAACCATAGAGAGTAACTACTGCATAACAAGCTGTGTACAGGAACTGAGACACTGCACCATTGACCAGAAGTGCATCCCAAGTGACCTGATGTGCTTCGAGTGAAAAGACTGTATCTGGAGATCCGATGTCCAACTGGAGAGAACCAGAACCATGGCTTGGACCCTACTGATGTCCAAGATGACATCTCTCTATGACCTGACCTGATGACGACTGAGACTCACCCTCAGGGGACCCTGAGGACCTGAGGACCCTGAGGATCTGAGGACCTGAGGACCCTGAGGACCTGAGGACCTGAGAGAGAAAACTGGGGAGTGATGTTTATATTTTTGAAATCATACATTGATGAGTGCTAAATGAGAGAGATACTCATGATTCTTTCTTTTGTTTTTGTTTGTCCCTAGCTTCTGGACATCTGATGATCTATTGGACACAGCCATTTGCAGAACAAGAACCAGCCAATGAAAACGTCTATTGCCGATGCTATTGCTACAACCAGAACCACAACTGTGACAAATGCAATATACATGTTAAGTATTCAGAGATTTGACAGACAAAAAATTTGAAAATGATAAAGTATGAGTATTGTAGCGTTTTAGTAGATGTTAAATAGTAGTAAAAAAGTAGAATTGTCCTTTCTTTGTTGTTCATAAACATATTTCCACGTAAGAGTTAAAATAGTACCCTACAATGTTATCCTTTTGATAGATCAGCTATAATATTAGAATCAGAGTAATGTTAGAGATATTAAAAGTGACAGAAGTCACAAATTAGGAATATGCCTTTGCTGAAGCTGCAACCGAGCTTTGGAGTTAAACAATAGTGTAGAAATAGAATTAGATAAATGCATCAACCATAGATGCTTTCAAAAATAGAGAATATTCTTAGCCAGTGCTAATATTTGAATGGTAAAGGGACCATTTCACAAGCATTTACTTCAAAAGTAGATAAAGTTACTTACAGTTTTATTAGATACTGCCAAATTCACTTGTGTTCAAACATGAGTGAATGTTGACTATGCAAAAAGTTTATATGAGTGTAGCCTAGATCAATGAGATAGATTAGAACCAAGAGAGATTCAAAAGCATTTAAAAGCATTTTGATGCATTTGGGTGTAGCCCAAAAACACAATAGTAGATATTTAGATATTGAGAAGTTTCCAGCACAAACACCATTGTAGAATAACTGACCCCAACCCCAAACAGATTAGCTACTATTAGGATAATACTAATTTGATTAATGATGTACATTCATCCCAAACTGCCTGACAATAATATCTTTAGATAATAAAAAGTAATAAATCACTGACCACTATAGAAGTGTAAATGTTGACCATTTGCCTTACTGTGTTCACAGTTTTATTCCTGAGAATGTAGAAGAGAGATAGAACAAAATCCCACTGATAATAAGCCACTGATAATGAAAGTAAACTAAAGAGAGATTTATTAGATTAAAATGTATGTTTAAGAATATGGCTCAATAGAAGCAAATATGCAAACATATTTGTGAATAGATTAGAATAGTTTAAACTATAGTGAATAGAGAGTAAAATACACAGTCTAAGATTGAAAAGTGAAAATAATACAGTGAAATAAGTGAAGTGTAAACAATTAGCATTAGAATAAAAGTATAAAGTAAGAAAAGTGAAATTAGCTTCAAATTTGAGACTCAGCTCGTTTTTTGTCTGTGTTTTGACTGAATCTGCTGAGTTCTTGTGTGTCCAATAGTTTTTGTTTGTTTTTTATTTTTGTTTTGTTTTTTTTCCCAGGATAGAGGATAAAATCCACTGATATTGATTTGATGATTATGAGTTTAATGCATACATTTTCTTTGTTTTTAATAATTTTTTTAAGTTTTTTTTTTGGATTTTTTTTTTTTTTTTTTTCTTTTTCCACTTTATTGATTGATCAATTTGAGTGATCACATGTGATTATGTGATCAAAGGGGAGGGTGTTAGTATTAGATAGCAATATGGCCTACGTGCAGGACTGTACAAGGACTCTACAAGGACTCCATGTTATGACTATGATGTGACTGTCTCTTTGTGACACGTATGTCTTTCGATGTGTGACGTGACAATGACTATATAAACTGTGTACTGCCTTTATTCTGTCTGAGAGAAAGAAACAGAGTAAACCAGTGGAACTTGAGAGAAACTTAAATAAACTTCCAGAGTTTGGCACACCACGATCCGTCTCTGTCTGCCTAAATCCTAACACACTCATTCCACTTCCACGACAATACCAGCGTCCTCTTTTGCATGGACATCATTTGTAACAATTGGATTACACAATTTGGACATAATTTGGACATAATTTGGACTGAATTGAATTGCTGAATCTGGACACTGAAGCTGAAACGTGTGATTGAAAGACACGTCACAGAAGAATTCATGGCTCGACACAAATGCAGCCTGAAGAATCAACACGGAGAAGTGGGAGAGACTGTTTTCAAAGCAATATCTGGAACCACCATCGACTGATGAAGTTTGGTATTTTGCTGAAGATTGTTGACAAGTTTTATGAAAGATCTGAAAATGTTTTATGAGTTTTCTGAGTTTTTGAAGTATTCCGAGTGAAGTACCGAGTTTATTAGTTTTTGAAGTATTGAGTTATGATGTTATGTTGCTGTTTATCGATCCTGATGGTCACACGTGAATGTGTGACCAGAGGGGGGAATGTGAGATTTCATAACACTTTTAAGCAACTTTTGTTAAAGTTAAACTCATCATTCTTACATGTGCAGAAGCCTGTACTTTTCCACTTCATGTTTTGACTATCTCTGTTGGCACTGTGGCAGCTGCTGATTGGAGGACTTCATTCTCCCATGCTATATTATCACTAACAGTTTGTTACATCCTTCGTTCGTGTTGTTCGTGCTGTCTCTACCGTTGACAATAAAACATGTCTTCTGTCTGAATTTAAAACACGATCCCAGACTTTGTCATCTTCTTCACTTTCAGATGTGCAAGCCGAAGCAACGAAGAAGCCAGAAGGACGTCTCATTGATATTGACGAGCAGGCAACTCTGTTGGAGGCCGAAAGAGATGTTGACGATGAGATTTATTTCAAAGGAAGGAGAGATGACCACAAAAGAGGAGATATGACCCACATAATGGAAAATCGTCTCCTGGTTTTATCTGCAGAACATGATGATCTTCACAATGGAAGATGGGAGGTATGCTCTGTGTGCTGTTATTTAACACGTATTTACTTTGACTTGGCCCTTGTTGCACATAATCGTTTCCTCATTTTGAACATTTATAAACTCAGTATGTGGTTTCATGCCACGTCCCTGTAAATGTGATCTTTGCTACAAAGTGGTTGGTTTATTACATTTGCTCCAATTTGCGAATAGTGAAAATATTTCACTACCAAATCATCTAAACATATGAAGAAGATGACAAAGTCTAGGATCGCGTCTTCAATTCAGACAGAAGACATGTTTATTGTCAATGGTAGAGACAGCACGAACAACACGAACAAAGGATGTTAAGGACAGCAAGTGATAATATACTCAGGAGAAACAGAGACCTCCAATCAGCAGCTGCCACAGTGTGCTTGTAGCTTGGCCTTCAGAAATCAAAACATCAAATGGAAAAGTACAGGCTTCTGCACATGGTTAGAAGGCAAGGCAAGGCAAGGCAAGTTTATTTGTATAGCACAATTCATACACAAGGCAACTTAAAGTGCTGAACAAAACAAGAAATCATTAAAATCATAAATAATCACAGAACATTAAAAAGAAAGATAAAAATATAAAATCCCTCAGTTGTAGCACAGCTAAACAGAACCGTTTTTAACCTGGTTTTAAACATTGTCAGAGAGGAGGCCTGTCTCACATCTTCAGGAAGACTGTTCCAGATTTTAGCAGCATGAATCTGAAAAGCAGCCTCCCCATGTTTAGTTCTGACTCTGGGCACTAACAGGAGTCCAGTCCCTGTGCTCCTCAGAGTCCCAGCAGGAGTCCAGTCCCTGTGCTCCTCAGAGTCCCAGCAGGAGTCCAGTCCCTGTGCTCCTCAGAGTCCGGGCTGGTTCATATGGGACTAACATGTCACTAATATATTTTAGTGCGAGGCTATGGAGAGACTTGTAACAAGCAGAGCTGTTTTAAAGTCTATTCTCTGAGCCACAGGAAGCCAGTGCAGGGACCTGAGAACTGGACTAATGTGGTCGTACTTCCTGGTTCTAGTCAGGACTCGAGCTGCTGCATTTTGAATGTACTGCAGCTGTTTTACAGCCTGTTTGGACAGACCTGTGAGCAGGCCATTGCAGTAGTCTAACCTACTGGAGACAAATGCATGGATAAGAATCTCCAGGTCTGCTTTAGACACTATGTTTTTGATCCTGGCAATGTTTTTTAGATGGTAAAAAGCTGCTGATGTTACTGATTTGATGTGGCTATTAAAATTTAAGTCTGAGTCCAGTATTACCCCTAACTAAGAATGATGAGTTTAACTTGAACAAAAGTTGCTTCAAAGTGTTATGAAATCTCACATTCCCCCCTCTGGTCATACATTCACGTGTGTCCATCAGGATCGATAAACAGCACTCATAAACTCGGTACTTCAAAAACTCAGAACTCGGAATACTTAAACTCATAAAACATGTTCAGATCTTTCATAAAACTTGTCAACAATCTTCAGTAAAATACCAAACTACATCAGTGTTCCAGATATTGCTTTGAAAACAGTCTCTCCCACTTGACATGTCTTTCAATCACACGTTTCAGCTTTAGTGTCCAGATTCAAAAATCCAGATTGTTCCAAATTATGGATGCAAAAGAGGACGATGGTATTGTCCATGTCTCAGCAGCTCACAGCAGCACACTTGAGTGGAATCAGGGGCTGTGCAGGTGCATGGTTTCTATTGAGGCTTTTCAGTTTTCTCTTAAAAAAAAAACACATTTCCACCACCTGAAGAAGATGAGAAAGTCTGGGATCGTGTCCTTAATTCAGACAGAAGATGCCCCCCATGTCTCATAGCACCAGTCCCTCTCCGATCCTCCTGCAGGTGGTGGGTCCACAGGATGATAGCTTTTCTGTCATCGAAGACATTGCCTTGGTTATGGCAAAATGTATTGAGAAATGAGCTGAAATCATGTGTATTATTTTTACAGTATCAATCAGACCAAAAGAAAAAGTTGAAGAATAAAATAAAGCAAGAGCTGAGGAAAGAGTCAACCATGAGTGAAGAAGAGGAGCGTCTCAACCCAGATATCTGGACACTGAGTGGACCCGACAGGTGGAGACTTTATCGGTAAAGTCACTGTGTTTCTAATTAAATAAATTAGAAAATGTGTTAAAAAGTGTTGTTTTGTTTTGAACACACATTTTGTTTCCCATTGCTGTTGTGTCTGCAGACTGTGGGTAGATCGCTACAGAGCTAAATGTCGTACTGAAGCCTCTCATCTGGAGGAAGTCTATCAAAATGCAGTTGAGAGATTGGCTGATGTAAAAAGACAACAGGATCTTTGTCTTCTCAGGAATGCCAAGGTAATGCACCACTAGTAATATCAGACAGAAAAACAGTACAGAAACCCTGTACTAAGGCACGGGTTCCCAAAGTTTTTAGCCCGCGACCCCCATTATAAATACACTGCTCCCCTGCGACCCCCCCCCCCCCCCCCCACCTCAACAGTCCTTTCCGTCGCATGAAATGAGCACGTATTTCCTTGATTCAGAGTAACGCTTTATAGAGACTGTAGAGCCACTACTGAGCAGCAGGAGGGCATTTGTTCGGCTCACCTTCACTGTTCTCCGACCGCGGTAAAGAGACCCTGCTTTTCGGAGTCAGCTGTAAAGAGGTCCACACGACAAAAAGCGGGTGGCTGCTTTATGCTGTTATTTTATGCGGCTCATCCCCCGTGGCTTCGACCGTAAGCTACTCTACTCTCTACCTCCGTTGTTTTCACACCATCAGCCTCACCTCTGACACATGTGACTTTTCTCCCCTCTGGGTTTTTCTGTTGTGGATTTTAACCATGTTTCATTTTAAAGCAGGTATTATGCGTTTCCAAACACTTTTAGCTTTAGCAAACAACAGCAGGACACGCTTTGTCGCTGCCTGATGTAAGCTGCGTAACTTGATTTTGATTGACGCTGTCAATGACTGGGACAAAATTATAAACGTATTAAAATATATTATATTTTTTCAGACTCTTCTTCAAACACAATTTAGCAAGAATGCAAAATAAATATTTAAGGGCTGAATATTTGTTCCATTTATTTATTTATTTATTCTCTGGAAAACATCTTGCGACCTCCACTTTGGGAACCAATGTTCTAAGGGAACCCTGAACACAACCCTCCTCCATCTGCACCTGTGGACCGTCCTGCTGATGGGCTGCAACCCGTCCCCGCCTGGGAGCCGCTTCAGTCCTGCACCGAACCTGTCCTCGTTCTACAACCTGAGTTCTGAGCCGCGTGGCCTTGGTCCTCCTTCTGTAGCTTAGGTCCTGGATCTACATCGCAGAACCCTCTCTCAATGTGGATCTTTCCGAGGTTTCTCACTTTTCTCCCACTGGGTTTTAGAGTTTTTCCTCTCTCTGTTAGAAAGTTGGTGTCTAACAAGAAGGACTGTTGTGATGATCCAGGACACTTTAACATCCTACAACATTCATGGAGATTTATTAACATTCATGGACATTGGTCCCTCTCTATGGACCAATACTTATGTGTTCTATATTTGTTTGTGTTGTCAAGTATCAGGAGTATGAATTTGATCAGAAGTTGGACATGAGGGGTAAAGTGGGGCTTTCTGCGGGCTGTACTGAGAGTTTTTATATCACAGTAGATTATGATATGTTTTATATTCTCATGTAACCAGAAGTATCATGAATGTATGCTTTGTATTTTGAAATGTTTTACTTTCATGTGTATTACAAACTGAATGAGAAGTTTTGATTGAGGAACTGTGTGGGAGAGGCCTTTCGTAAGTCTAGAAGGTTCGAACAAAGGAAGCAGAGGCGTAATGGTTACATCATCATAGGAAAGTGACAAAGGGGAAAGACCAAATTTGGGCATGCGTATAATCTTGGAGGACTATAAAAACTAGTGTCGGACGAAAGACGACGAGATCTCTTCGCGGAGCAGGATTGGGAACAACCTCCAAGAATCAGACGCAGTCCCCTTCATCTCCTGGCATTTGATCAGCCAGCAACTTCAGGAGATACATTTACGGCCGGAGGGCTGTGGAAAAATCTCCCTGCTTCAGCAGACAGAGGCGACGAGCGCTGGGTTGGAGAAACCCAGTACACCAGGCCCCATTTCTCGGGCCTTGGGCGGCGGAGGCTCGGTCTGCTGAGCAGATTGACAAAGTCAGGGAGAGGAGAGAGAGCTCGCTTCGCACTCCTTGGCTCCTTTGTCTGCTAAAATAAGAATTACACACAGAAGGAGAACGGCCGTGATTTACGAGAGCCCTCTCACAGAGTTCCGAAAACCAGCCTCACAGGGCTCTAGCCGGGCAGCGGCTGAGAGCGAAAAAGAGGAAGTGGGGGCTGGGACAGGCACCGAAAGGTTGTATTCGCATTATTTTGGATCTTTAAATTGTATTACTCATTGATTTTGCATTTGCTGTGCTTTTGGAAATTATACATATTCATTCCTGCAATAAAATTACCTAAAATTATTTCTCTATTGTCATCTTTATGGAAACAAGTCTGATAAATGTTAAATTAAGGTCTAGAGGTTTTTCAAATCATTCTCTGTAGATTATTTACAGCTGCTATCCACCATTCATCGTCCTGGGGGCCAGGGTCTGGCCACCTAACCATCACCTGACCACATACCAAGAGCCAAGAACCACAGGGGCGGGCCCTAACTTGAGGAGGCCGCAGACAGCGAGAGAGGAAGGGTCTCATCTCTCCGCTGACCGACGGCTGAAGCAGGGCGAATCTCAAGAGGGGTCGAGTCAGGCTAATCGTCCCGCCTGTGTAACCTCAGAAACCAGTGAACCTTCTGGGGTTTGCTAATTTACTTATTATTAAGGAGGTTTGCAGAGATTGTGTGTATAGTCGAATATATACATAAACTCCACAGTTCACGATATGGCGCCCAACGTGGGGCTGGCGCAACAGGAAACATCTGTGTAAACACAGGAAGCCCTGAGAGCCGGGCCTCAGAATCTGGTAGCTCGAAGACTGAGCTACATAAATTATCGTGTAACAAGAAGACAGAGTGGATTGAGTCAGAGAAAGACGATCTGCTCGGGGTGAGTATTGTGTACAACAGGAAGAGACACTACATCACCTCGTCCTGGGCCTGTGAGAAGACAGAGCCAGGAAGAGTTCCGGTGAGACCGCGGGTGAATCTTGGAGAGAGAACACTCAGTGCGGTCCGCCTGAGACCTAGGGGCTAGACCCCCGGGCCGAATTCCGACGGGAAGGGCCCTGGGCAGAAAGCTCAAACTCAGCCACCAGAAATACAAAGCCTCGAAAAGAGGTAGTGAAGAGAAGAATGGAAAAGCCGAACAAGGAAGTAGCGGCGACCGCAGATGAGCAGTCTGCGCAGAGCGAAGAAAATGGTGAAAATGCACACACACATATTGCAGAAGCAGAAGGAGTTGAAGCACGGTTCCTGGGGGTCAGTTACCATCTGATTCCCTGGGGAGGTGGATGGGACACCTGGGAACCAGTAGTAAAAAAGCATGTGAAAGAGAGATGTCCTCAGTGGGGGGACAGAGAAATATATGAAGAAATAAAACAACACTGTGATGACGGGAAGACATTTCACACGCCTGTGGTCGAAAATAAGATCGCAGTGCGGGTTGTGCCGTCCCCGAAGCATGGAAGGGACAAAAAGAACATCAAAATATGGATTGAGTGGGCTTTACAAGAACTGGTGATTGGAGCGGGTGACCAGCGTATTCTAGTAGATACGTTGGTGAGCCCGAGCCAAGAATATGATCCAGTGGTGAAAATGATTGCCCGTGAGTGTAGCATAAACTCACTTTTGGTATCAGAAAAAATGAAAGCAGTGCCACGGCACAAAGGACACAAAGGGCTGTTGAAGCAACTGGCAGGCCTCAGACAGTATGCGGCCGGAAAACAGGAAGTGGAGGAGAGCAGCTCACAGCTTGACGAGCAGCCGTACAGAAGCTCAGATGAGGCATCGGAGCATGGGAGAGAGTGGAGTGGGGAATTCACGGAGGTGACCCCCCCACGCCTGCCAGATATGATCTCATTGCCAACGAAACTGGAACAGGTCTCACAAACACCTCGAATTCTTGAGGAGCGTTTGAAGGAGGCACATAAATCTGTACGAAGTAAAGAAACAATGGGGCTAAAAAGCCTCCTTGAAAATGTGATACCATCTAGAGGGGCAACACAGGGGCCTGGGAGGAACAGACCCACCCCTGTCCCACGATCCTGTGAGATTCATGAAGAAGAATGGCTGCCTGAACTGGAAAAAATGCCGAGGGGCACAGTTAAGTGGAAAGATCCGGCAGGGCGTGTAATGTACAGATATGTCGGTGACATATTTGACATTGACGGACACTGTCTTGTAGTCATGATGGACTCCGACATGAACTCACTGAATGAACAATTTCAGAGAAGACTAATTAAAAACGCTGGACGAGAGTACCAGGCAGAGTGGCAGAGAAAGCAGGCTGAAATCAGTGGAACTGATTCAGATGACGCAATGTTGATAAATGGAGGACAGACAAGGTTCTACGCAATCCTCCATTTTCCTTGTGTGAAATACAAGGAGGGTGACGATGAGGAACGGTATCGAGAAGTTCTAATAAAAAGTATATTAGAATCTCTGTACTATGCAAATGAACTCGAATTAAAAAGAGTTGTGATTGGCGTAGAGGCAGTCCAGTCCAAGAGACTGGATTGGCGGATCGCAGAAGAAGCAATCGTCCATGCCAGTCGTCAATATCTGACAGAGATGGTCCTATGGACCGGAGTGAATGAAATAGTGCTGGTAACTCCCAAAAGCATGGACATGGAAAAGAAAAATACAATATCCCAACACCTGAAAGATCTGCGGTGTGGAGAATATTGGCGTGGCAATATAGGCCCGAGGGACGAGACCTGCGAGGGACGTTATGATGGAGTGAGGCTGGGGAAGACAGCTAAACTGGGGCCAGGGGAAGTGGCGGCCCGAACCTCGTCGTTTGATGAGGCAAGGGACGTCGAAGTAGACCTCGGAGTCTTGGATTTTGCAAATTCAAGAACTCGGAAGGGGGCCGGGACCAGGGAGGCATCACAGCTCAGAGCAGGTTTAACAGAAACCGCCAGAAGTACAGCCAGAGCCCCCATGAGCCCTCACAAACGTTGTGACTAACTTCGGAGGCCCGTTTACACAGGCCACTGAAGAAATGACAGACATGGAAGGTGAGAGAGATGAGGCTGACGTTGAAGATGACTCAATGGACCCCGAGGAGGGATCATTGAGCGTAAGAAATGAGGCCGTAAATCACTCTCACCTCGGCATATTGAGAAGACCAACAATGAGAGTGGAAAAGAGGAAAGAACCTGTTTATTCAATTGAACAGGCTTCCATGAGGATTGCGAGAGATGTGAATTACGGATGTCTGAAGACAAAAGATGGAAGAAAGTGTTACGTGCCAGAAGTGGGGCAAACTCAATATGTTGTGCCCACTGACTGGACGAGAAATCTGGAAGAAATTCTACATGTAGAAGTTTCAGCCCCCAAACGGGAGTGGATCAACTATCTGATAATGCCGAGTTATCAGACATTGAGAAATAATAATCTGCTCACAAATAAATTTCGTAATTCATTTCTCACTATTACACATGATGCGGCGATAAGGCGCTTGAAAAAAGCGGCTTTTCTGTCAGCACAGAGAGCAGAGCAGCAGGGGAGTGAACTCTCAGATCAGGAAACCCCCCTCCTTCTCGACAGCGCAGAACAGGAAGTAACTCGAGCTGAGCGCTGGAGTGACGGTGCTCGTGCACAGGAGAGAAAGAGGAAAGAGCCACTGGCACTGAGGCCTGCTGTGCAAAAAGGTCAAAGGTCACCTGGGCCGGCTGCAGCAGGGAGGAGAGCCTCTGCAGAATACAGCACGATAATAGAAGACTGTTCTGTTCCTGCTAGCTGGGCAGGATTACAGATATTGAAAGCCTTGATCCCAGATAGGCCTGCAGAACAACCAATACAGGACTATCTGAAGCAGAAATGGCGTATAGTGAATAACTCAACAAAAGATCCTGGTGCTAAAAGACTCTGGTTGACATATGTAACAGGAATCTGGAAGACTCCAGAACTGTCACCAGAGACGCACTACAAGAATGCAATCTGTAATGAAATGGACGATGAGGATGGACATGTTGCCTCCGCAAGGAAAGACCTTGAAGCAGGGGCCACGCTCACAGACGTGTGGCAAATAATCGGACCTTTTATCTCTAATGAGAGATGGGTACGTGTCCTGCAGAAAGTGGTAAAGAACATGAGACATGAAACGGAGTTCATTGCATTACACCCAACAGAGACAACGATGGAGGAAATCAAAAGTACAATCGGGAGGTGGGACCGGATCAGAAGCCACGAAAACGAAAGGGGTGGCGGTGGAAGTGCTCGTACTCACAAAAATTATAAGGGCCGGGCAAGTGGGAGTGACCAGCGTCAGGGAGGTAATAAGGAGCACCAGGACGGGGGTCAACGAGAGAAGAAATACCCGGACAAGAGACGAAAGGGGTATCTGCCTCCTGAGGAGTACAACAAGCTGACAGTGGAAGAGAAGATTGCTCTCCGGGCTAAACGTGAGGCGGCAGCCGAGGGAGGACAAGAGAAGAAAGGAGAATAATGGCACGAGTCACGCTCCATAATGTTTACCGGGTGGGAGACAAGTTCTTCACTGATATCGAAGGAACACCCTACCTGGTAGACACCGGAGCAGAAGTGTCCATGACTCGCAGACACTTGGATACTAAAGGATTTGTGAAAATACAGTTAGCAGATTCCTCAATCGCATTGACACCATATGGAATCTGGAAAGGAATCGTCTGGATTCTGGGAGCATATAATTTAATCACCATCAAGGATCTGGAGCAACTAAATGGAAGTAAGGAAGATCGGAACAAGAAAAGAAAGAAGGTTAACAAGAGATTGAAGATACTACAGACAAGACTAACAAAACTCCCCGTGGGAATGGATGCTGCACAGGATATGTCCTGGTACAAACCTGTGAACATTCAAGAAGTCACCGAGGAGAAAATAACGAAGAGTAACCTGTCTCCCGCTGGAAAACAACGCTTAAGGGAGATACTATCAAAAGCAGACATAGCCCGGTTCAAAAACGACTGTGGTGACCTGGGGGATAAATATGTGTACACCATTGAAGGAGGGGTGCACCCCCCCGTGCGCCAGTACCCGCTGAACCCAGCCGCAATAGAAGAAATGAGCACGATAGTAAAAGAGTTGGTGGCATTGAAAGTGATCAGGGAAGAAGCAAACCCTATCACAAATAGCCCGATACAGGCTGTGAAGAAACCTGAAGCAGCAGGGGGAGGGTGGAGGCCCGTGGTGAACTTTAAAGCATTGAATCGGAGAACGATAGCAGATAGAGCCAGTCTGATTAATCCTCAGGCAACGTTGAAGACTTTGAAACTGAGGAAGTATAAGTCTTGTATTGATCTGGCGAATGGTTATTTCTCTGTGAGATTGGCAAAAGCATCACAGGCAAAGACGGCCTTCACTCACAAAGGAAAAAGTTATGTATGGCTGAAAATGGCACAGGGTCTGAAGACAGCCCCGGCCTTCTTCAGCAGAACAATCATGGAGATTCTATCGGGCATGGACGCGGCTGTCTACATTGACGACGTTATGATCTGTGATGACACAGAGGAACAGCATCTACAACATCTGGAAGCTGTGATTGACAAATTGACGGCAGCAGGGTTAAAACTGAATCTGAAGAAATGTCAACTCGGGCAATTCAATGTGAATTATCTTGGATTTGAGGTGGCTTCAGATTTGGGCCTATCAGACTGTTTTCGTGAGAAAGTGGACAATATAAGGCCTCCCAGAACAATGAATCAACTGCAGAAAATACTGGGATTGCTGAATTATGTGAGAGATCATGTGCCTGGTTATCAGAAGCACGCTAAACCACTTTATGACAAACTGAAGAAACAGCAGAAGCCAGCAGCGTGGCAGTGGACCGAAATAGATCAGAGGAAGTTGACCCTGCTACAGGATGCGGTGAGAAATGCTGTGAGACTGGAGCCACGCAGCACCACAGAGAAACTCTTGGTGCAGGTTTTCTGTGAAGAAGATGATGCAATGGTGAAAGTCTGGAATGATAATGGAGGGCTGGTGTCCCTCTGGAGCTACACATTGTCACCAGTAGAGCACAAATACCCACCAGAAGAGAGAGAACTCGCGGTGCTTGCTCGTTACTGGGCAGGACTGAAGGATCTTGCACAGGGACAGGTGATAAAAGTGATAACACAAAGTCAAGTGCATAGATTCTTAAGAAAAGCCACAGTGGAGAGCACACGCGCGACCAACGCAAGATGGGGCCGATGGGAAGACATGCTGTTAGATCCCGACCTGGAGATTGGGCCAGAGGAGCCGCTAAAAAAGCCCAGGCAAGAGAAGGAGGCCCCACAGCTAGTATATGAATGGATATTATACACCGATGGGTCCAAAAAAGGACCAGACCAGACGGCGGTTTGGGGGTACATCCTGAAAAATAAAGGAGAAGAAAAATTTCGACAGCGTGGGCGCGTTCCAGGAAGCGCACAGGCTGGAGAAGTGACAGCAGTCTTGGAAGGACTGCTGGAGTGTGAACGGAGAAAAATTAAACAGGTATTGATAGTAACAGACAGTTACTATTGTGCCCAAGCATTAAGAGATGATTTAGCAATATGGTGTGAAAATGGCTACGAAACCGCAAAAGGAAAAGAGATTGTCCACATGGAGATGTGGAAGAAGATTGCGGAGCTCTTGATGTTTATACAAGTGAATGTGTATCATCAGAAAGCTCACGCAAAAGAAGGAGAGCACTGGGCAGAGAATAAAGAGGTGGATAACTTTGTCCAGTTGCGGAAAATTGTATTAGTTGGTGCTGAGAAGTGGGAACGAACAGAGAAAGGAAGAATCGTTCCCAGTGAGTGCATAATGGAGACCGTGATGGCTGTCCATGAAGAAATTGGCCATGCGGGGATTAAACCCACTCGCAGGGAATTGGCGAAGCTGGATCTTTGGATCAGAGAGAAGGAAATAAGGAAAGTGCTGAGAGAGTGCACTGTTTGTGGTCAGTTCAACGCTGGAAGAAGAGTAAAGAGGTCAGATGACCTCACAATTAAAAGCACCGTGCCATGGGGCTCAATCTGCATGGACGTGGCAGGGCCAATGGGAATCTCAGGGAAACAGGGAGAACGCTATCTGATTGTGCTGGTGGACTCTATGTCTGGATACATGGTAGCAAAAGCAGTGAGAAATGCAACAGGAAGTGCTGTAGTAACCATGCTGGAGCAGACATGCTGTGCTCTGGGAAAACCGAGAGAGCTTCGGACGGACAACGGAACACACTTCAAAAATAAGAAGATGGATGCATGGTGCCAGCAGAACGGAGTTTTTCACGTTTATGCTCCTGTGTACACACCACAGGCAAACGGAATAGCAGAGAGAACTATTGGCTTGGTGAAAACATGGATAGCAAAGAATGCAAATAGCAAAGAGTGGAGCACGAAGATGTTGGAGCTGTCCAGGGTCCTGAATGACAGATTCAGGGCAACGAGGAAGTCACCAGCTGAAGAACTGAATAAACGCCCCTTCACGTCATTGGAGATAGGGCGGGGACCTGAACAAAAGCATGATACTCAGGGAGAACACCGACCACTGACAGTCGGTCAGCAGGTGTGGATCAAAGCACAAAATCCTTCAACTGGATTGGCGGTTAAGCCAAAATACGACCGCAAGGACACGGTTGTGGAGATTTTGGATCACAATACAGTAAGGCTGAAGAAAGCTGGGATCCAAGGAGTCGCGCAGCTGAAGCCAATTTCACAGCTGAATAATTAGGAGACGAGTATGGCGACAAAACCTCAAGACCTTCCACACTTCATTCACGTCGCCATGATTAAAGGTGTGGTTGTTATCAGACGTACAAGGATAGGGCTTCTGTCAGGAAGAGCCCTGGGGAGTTTGAGGAGAGCAAAGGAGGGGGTCGTTTCCGAAGAGAAGGAGAAATTACAGTGGGGGAGTGTGAACAACTCCTGCGCCATATGCTGGACACAGAGTGGATTGGAAATTCTGTGGGAAGGTCCGGGCGCGAGCAGACCTAGGACCCCAGGTCGATGCAGAGCTGAGTTTAGGAAGATGGGTCTTAAACCAGTAAAAGCTTTGGATGCATTTATTTGTGCAGATTGTCGCATCACTACTGCACCAAGGTTAGTAGTGATGTCTCAACGTTATTCTGGAGCATATGGCAGTGACATGTCAAGCTGCCTCTGTACATGGGATGGAGTACAGCTGGGCATGTGTGCATGGTGTGAGTCATGCAGGGCTCGTGGAGCCCTCGTGGAAATCATAGTAGTGGAGGGATGGCAAGTGCGCAGATTTCTGGACGCCATCCATTATCGGACCCCGAGGCTGGAAGAGGCCTGGAGAGGAGGCGAGGGGATCGGCAGACGAAGAAGAGGATGGGATTACGACAGCACAGTACCACCGGAGCCCCATGTTTCACAGTGGGAGGAAATTCTGAGGAGCTGCTGGCCTGACACGGTCAGAACAGGCCCCAGACCAAATGCTGTGGTACCCTCTTTCCCTGTTTTTAAGGCATGTGGAATAAACTACATGAAGGAGTTTGACCACGTGAATTTGTCAGAGGGGAGAATATGTACATGGAGAGAGATTTTGGATGAAGTCTTCACATGTGGAGATGGAGTACAGGAGCTGGGCCCGGTGCCAAGTGAGAGAGGTATACGAAGTACTGCTCTCTATTCGAACATGACAAGTTTGGATGCATGGGGTTCGTCCACCACTGTCTCAGTTGGACGACACAAGGATTACCTGGTCTCCACTGTGGAGGGTCAGGTAAGCGATGCCAGAGCAATACGGGTGATGGTGAAGTCTGTGATTCACCCACAGGGAGGTGTGGTTTCAGTGGGAGCAGGCATCTCTGTTTTAACAGATGCATGGTGTGCTGGAACAGAAACTACTACCAAAATAGTGGGACGAAAGTCATGGATGCAGAGGCTCCGTTCTTTGGGAGCGAGGCTTTGGCCAGGACGGGACGAAGCCACACCTGCTCAAGAGAGGAAGTAATTTCTGGACAGGACCAGGAATTACAGGAGGAGGTGAGAGGTGCAGAGCTGTCATCGAAAGAAGGTAGAAGATACGCCCCAATTCTAGGGGAGGGGGAGGAGATGAGATAGTATAAAAGAGGATCCTCTCCCTGGACTGGGGAGAGTTGACAGCTGAGTGATGGAGCAAGAGAAAAGAAAAGCTACATTGAAGCGAGGAAAAAGAAGAGCTGCAGTGAAGATATTATTTTTCCTGCTTATTGTGGGTTTTTTCGTCGGACTGGTGAAATGTCTCTTGAATGGGAGAGCCCCCACCGTGGTGTTTGCCACCACAAGAACTGTACAGATGTCCTGTGCAGAAGTGAGGGAAGAGACATTGAATTTTAACTTTTCAGCTGAAGATTGGACCATATTAACTGGGAAACATGGCTCAAAAGAAGAAGCCATGAGGGCAATTCAGGCCACAGTCCTCCGGCAGAACTGGAATGACGCAAGAGGAACAATAACAGACTTCACTGTGCATGAGCATGGGGTCATAATCTCGGGCCTAGTAGCAGGAGAAGTTGCAACCCGAGAGGCACGTGTGAACTATGTCATAATAGAAGGAGAGGAACCAAGATATTACTACACACAAGCGTGTGTGACGGAGAGAAACTTCACTTTCTGGCGTGAGGAAATTGTGACTCAGGCCCCAGAATTGAACGTGACTCTCTGTGAGGAGGAAATGTTCAAAACAGACCTATTTTGGGGTTATCTGAATTTGACATTACGTACAGAAGAAGCCTGCCCACTCCGATTCCAGAACAGGTTCCTACAGGAGGAATCGATGAAGAAGAGACTCCAGGACCTGTAGGAGATGTGCACTCTGATGTGACAGAATGCATACATGAAAAGGTCCTGAAACTGGACCCCTGTCTATGGAACTTGGGAGAGGTGAGGTGCGAGAAAGAGAATTTTTTGGTGCTTTGTAAAGCCCAAGAAGAGCCCGAATCCTACGGCAATCAGCCCAGGGGATCGGGAAAAATTGAAATTGATGAATGGCTCAATAACACACTCCCCTGGATATGGAAGACAAATGTGAACCATTTCAGAAGGGGCCATTTGGATGTGAGCCGGAGGGGAGAAGGGAAATCGATGGTGGCAAGAGGCCCCATTTCGAGTGAAATGTACGTGCAGAAACTCCCAACACCAGACGATTGGAGACAATCCCAGAGAAAGATTTTTCCAGGATTGATCGGTGTGCAGTTGAAGCAATGTATAAGGAGCTGCATGGAAGAGAATACAGCCAGGGAGAACCCCAGTCCTATGTGTGGGCTTCCCCGCGGTGCGATATCGTGCAGGTGGGGGTGTGGGAGAGTGGATTCTGGAAATATAACTGTTCCAGAGTAAAATCTCTGAGTACTATGAAGGCTGTTTTGGAACAATGGCCGCTAGTATTTGGGAAATTACAAAAATCACGTCCCTGGTGGGGGCTTCAGAAGGAGGAAATGGAAGGCTGGGTCCTCCCGTGTCTAGGGATGACACAGAATTATTGGGTAAAATATCAGTACGTGGCATCTGTCTATTCAGCGGCAGATGGTATTGCAGAATGGTATCTCTGGACAGGCTTGCGGCCAGTCGTGGTTTTAACCCCACGACCGTGGAAGATGAATTGTGAAAGCATGAAGATGTGCACGGTCGAGCTGGCAAGACGACCGTGTATGGAGATACCAGGATGGGGAGAAAGCTGCGCTGCCTGGTACAGGACTGACTTCAAATTGTACCGTCAAGGGACAGTGTGGGTTAAGACCGACACAAAGAAGCATCCCCACTGGCAGCGGGGGACAATAGTTTGGAAAGAAGGATGTAATAGTAATCTCCTCGGGACATTGCCTGCAGGAGACGAGCGGGAGGGGGCGGTGGTTCCCCCCGTGAATCCAGGTGAACTGACTCGAATGGAGGGACACGCCTGGAGAAGAAGCTTGTGTGAAGGACAGGAAGATCAAGATGATTTCGACTGGGTTGGGGACACGCATTTCTTCAGTAATGATACATGCAACCAACCAGACCTGAAATGGTTAAAATGTGGAGACCACAATTGCTCCGTGATAGAATTGTATTTGGAAACACTTCTGGAAGCAGGAGAGGCAGTGCCATCTGTGATTCTGGACACAATAACGACAGAGGCTGGCGTAGCACTTCAAGCTGCGGAAACTGCCTGTGAGGCGTTGCTGTGGGGGGTCGAGCAAGCAGCACGCAGACCACAGACATCGAAAGAAACAGAACCCATGGCCACCAGCGAGCGGTCGTCCGCTGGTGAGACGAGAGCCACGCAAGGAAACAGAGGAAATACGGAAGAGGTCAGCTGAAGGCCAGAGGAAGGAGCAGCCTCTCGAGGGTCCCAGGGTTGAAGGTCAGGGAATGTTGGATTTCATTGATCTCTCCCCCCCTCACGGTTTTGACTTTTGAGAGAGTGATAGTCATGAGTTGATAGCTTAAACTTCTGCTAAAATTGCATAGGAGGGGGTGTCAAGTATCAGGAGTATGAATTTGATCAGAAGTTGGACATGAGGGGTAAAGTGGGGCTTTCTGCGGGCTGTACTGAGAGTTTTTATATCACAGTAGATTATGATATGTTTTATATTCTCATGTAACCAGAAGTATCATGAATGTTGCTTTGTATTTTGAAATGTTTTACTTTCATGTGTATTACAAACTGAATGAGAAGTTTTGATTGAGGAACTGTGTGGGAGAGGCCTTTCGTAAGTCTAGAAGGTTCGAACAAAGGAAGCAGAGGCGTAATGGTTACATCATCATAGGAAAGTGACAAAGGGGAAAGACCAAATTTGGGCATGCGTATAATCTTGGAGGACTATAAAAACTAGTGTCGGACGAAAGACGACGAGATCTCTTCGCGGAGCAGGATTGGGAACAACCTCCAAGAATCAGACGCAGTCCCCTTCATCTCCTGGCATTTGATCAGCCAGCAACTTCAGGAGATACATTTACGGCCGGAGGGCTGTGGAAAAATCTCCCTGCTTCAGCAGACAGAGGCGACGAGCGCTGGGTTGGAGAAACCCAGTACACCAGGCCCCATTTCTCGGGCCTTGGGCGGCGGAGGCTCGGTCTGCTGAGCAGATTGACAAAGTCAGGGAGAGGAGAGAGAGCTCGCTTCGCACTCCTTGGCTCCTTTGTCTGCTAAAATAAGAATTACACACAGAAGGAGAACGGCCGTGATTTACGAGAGCCCTCTCACAGAGTTCCGAAAACCAGCCTCACAGGGCTCTAGCCGGGCAGCGGCTGAGAGCGAAAAAGAGGAAGTGGGGGCTGGGACAGGCACCGAAAGGTTGTATTCGCATTATTTTGGATCTTTAAATTGTATTACTCATTGATTTTGCATTTGCTGTGCTTTTGGAAATTATACATATTCATTCCTGCAATAAAATTACCTAAAATTATTTCTCTATTGTCATCTTTATGGAAACAAGTCTGATAAATGTTAAATTAAGGTCTAGAGGTTTTTCAAATCATTCTCTGTAGATTATTTACAGCTGCTATCCACCATTCATCGTCCTGGGGGCCAGGGTCTGGCCACCTAACCATCACCTGACCACATACCAAGAGCCAAGAACCACAGGGGCGGGCCCTAACTTGAGGAGGCCGCAGACAGCGAGAGAGGAAGGGTCTCATCTCTCCGCTGACCGACGGCTGAAGCAGGGCGAATCTCAAGAGGGGTCGAGTCAGGCTAATCGTCCCGCCTGTGTAACCTCAGAAACCAGTGAACCTTCTGGGGTTTGCTAATTTACTTATTATTAAGGAGGTTGCAGAGATTGTGTGTATAGTCGAATATATACATAAACTCCACAGTTCACGATAGTGTTTCAACTGTTTGTTTGATTGATTCTCTGATCTGTCTGTGTTGGTGATTTCAACGGTTTTGTTTAGTCCTCTGAGATAACTACTGTTGTGATGTGCCACTAACCTGACCCAAATTATGATCTTTGCCCAATGCTGAACCATATACATACAGTATTTAGGTTTTGACTTTTCTATATGGTTTGATGAGACTTTGCCCTATTAATTTGTTCGAGCAAAATTGCATTTTAAGTTTAGGACTGTTCACAAATGACATTACAATAGCCAGAGTACCACCTTTGACATTATCAGAATCAGAATCAGAATCATTTTTATTGCCACGTAAGTAACAGGAGGTCACAGACTTGGAAATTGCTTTGGCTCAGTGCAACAGTCAGAAAGAGATAATAAAAATAAAGAATAAAAATAAAGAATAAAAAACACTTGTAAGGAATAAATTTAAATTAAAAATAGAGTTACAGTTACTATTTACAAAATACAAGTGCACATGGTGCACACAATGTAAGGTGACAGCAGTACAGTGAAGTAAAGTGACGTATGATGGGCAGTAAAGTGACTTTATAAAGGGCGGGGGGACAGGTTAAGAAGTGTTCAAGAGTCCAACAGCAGAGGGGAAGAAACTGTTCTTGTGGCGGGAGGTTCTAGTCCTGATGGACCGCAGCCTCCTGCCTGAGGGGAGTGGTTGGAATATTCCATGTGCAGGTGAGAGGGGTCGGCTGTGATACCACCAGCCCGGCCTCGAGCTCGGGCGACGTACAGGTCCTGCAGCGATGGAAGGCTGCGGCCGATCACTTCCTCTGCAGAGCGCACAATGCGCTGTAGTCTCTGCTTGTCCCTGACTGTGGCTCCAGCGAACCACACGGTGATGGAGGAAGTGATGGAGGAGGTGATGGAGGAGGTGATGGAGGAGGTGTAGAACTGCACCAACATCTGTGCAGGCAGCTTGGCTTTCCTGAGCTGCCGCAGGAAGTACATCCTCTGCTGGGCCTTCTTGATGAGGGAGCTGATGGTCGGCTCCCACCATCATCCTGGGTGATGGTGGTGCCCAGGAAACAGAAGGACTCCCCAGAGGTGATGGGGGAGTCCATCACGGAGGGTGGGGGCGGGGGGACAGTGCTCTTCCTGAAGTCCACAATCATCTCCTCTGTCTTCTGGGCGTTCAGCTCCAGGTTGTTACCACTGCACCAGGACACCAGCCGGTCCACCTCCCTCCTGTAGGCGGACTCATCGTTGTTGGAGATGAGTCCAATGAGTGTCGTCCGCTAACTTGATCAGCTTCACGGAGTCGTGGCTGGAGGTGCAGTGGTTGGTGTACAGGGAGAAGAGCAGGGGAGAAAGAACACAGCCCTGTGGGGCTCCTGTATTTATAATCCGAGAGTCCGAGACATTCTTCCCCAGACGCACTCGCTGCTTCCTGTCCGTCAGGAAGTCAGTGATCCACCTGCAGGTGGAATCGGGCACGTTGAGCTGGGAGAGCTTGTCCTGGAGCAGGGATGGCAGGATTGTGTTGAAGGCAGAGCAGAAGTCCACGAACAGGACCCTGGCGTAGGTCCCCGGGGAGTCCAGGTGCTGTAGGATGTGGTGGAGGGCCAGGTTGATGGCGTCGTCTACAGATCTGTTGGCTCTGTAGGCGAACTGCAGGGGGTCCAGGAGGGGGGAGGTGAGGGACTTGAGATGGCAGAGAACCAGGTGTTCAAATGACTTCATGACGACAGACGTAAGTGCTACAGGTCTGTAGTCATTGAGTCCTGTGATCCTGGGCTTCTTCGGGACGGGGACAATGATGGAGGATTTGAAGCAGGCCGGGACATGGCAGGACTGCAGAGAGGTGTTGAAAATGTCAGTGAACACAGGAGTAAGCGCACTGGCGCAGTGTTTATCTGAGTAACTAGAAACTTCAGTAAGATTAAGAAAAGTAAGAATAATGAAAACTTTCACTGCAATCTTCCTCCAGGTGATTGGAATGACAACGACCGGTGCAGCCAAGTTCCGGCACACCCTGCAGCAGGTGCGTCCCTCACTGGTCATAGTGGAGGAAGCAGCAGAGGTTCTGGAGGCTCACACCATCACCACTTTGAGCAGCGCCTGTCAACACCTCATCCTGATAGGAGACCATCAGCAGGTAAGGGGCCACAAGCAAAGAAAAGGCCTGTGTCATGTTTAGGGGCTGCTTTTACTACCCTAAACCGAGGCCTTCAATTTATAAAAGCATCCTCATTTACCTCATTTACCTTGTCACGTTAGGTCTGATAGCCTATGGAAGTAAGAGAATACATGAATTAACGTTTGTTATTGATTTAATTCATAAACAACTTGTGTCTGAATTGTTTGTTTCACAAAGACATATCAAGAGTTCAGTTTTGTTATTGGTAGTGAATTTGAAAGAAACTGCTAAAGAAGGGGTGGAACTTTTTTGTATCAAATTAAAAACTAGTTTTTGCAAATGAACTCTTCAAATGCTAACAGCCTTTTTTCTTTAGCTTCGTCCAAGTGCCTCTGTATTTGAACTTGCAAAGAACTTCAACATGGAGATATCAATGTTTGAGAGACTTGTGAACATGCAACTCCCCTTTGTCCGACTAAATTATCAGGTATGCATTATCAGATGCATTATTCTCACAATACTGGATGTATCACATATTTACAATCAATGTCTGGGTATGTTTCTTATTTTTTAGCACCGCATGAGGCCGGATATCGCTCGCTTACTGACCCCCCACGTCTACTCAGAGCTGGAGAACCATCCCTCCGTCTTAGACTATGACAACATCAAGGTGTGTGTGTGAGCGTTTGCTTTTCAAGACCATGGCTTGCATAGATGTTGAAAAGATAAACCAAAACTCACATCTTTGCATATTTTCCAGGGTCTAAATGCCAACTTGTTTTTTGTGGAACACACATACCCTGAGGAGGAGCTCCAAGATGGAAAAAGTCACCAGAACGAGCATGAAGCACAGTTTGTTGTTAATTTGTGTCGGTACCTCATTCTTCAGGAGTACAAACCAGAGCAGATCACCATCCTGACCACGTACACAGGCCAACTGTTCTGTCTGCGCAAACTCATGCCTGCTAGTCTGTTCTCAGGAGTCAAAGTCCATGTGGTAGACAAATATCAAGGAGAAGAAAACGACATTGTGTTATTGTCTTTGGTCCGAAGCAACAAGCAGGGCAGGGTGGGCTTTTTGAATATCCCGAATCGAGTGTGTGTTGCTCTGTCCCGTGCAAAGAAAGGCCTCTACTGCATAGGGAACAGTGAGATGTTAGGCCAGGTCAAACTGTGGAGCAAAATCTTCCACACGTTGAGGGAGAAGGATCAGTTGGGCACAGCGCTGACCCTCTGCTGTCAAAACCACCCTGATCGAAAGGTGTCAGCTTCTTGTGCTGATGACTTTCAACAGGCTCCTGAAGGAGGTTGTACCCTGCCGTGTGAGTTCCGTTTGGACTGTGGCCATGTGTGTACTAAAGTGTGTCATCCCGCTGATCCAGAACACAAAAAATACCAGTGTATGAAGAAATGTCAGAAGATTCTTTGTGATTTAGGGCATAATTGTACACTACTGTGCTATGAGACATGTGGAGATTGTAAAGTTCTGGTGGAAAAGACCATACCCCGATGTCAACATAAACAGATGGTTCCTTGCTTCAAGGATCCAAACAGCTTTGTGTGCCAAGAGCCCTGTCAGAAAACACTGGAGTGTGGACATCCATGTGAATCAGTTTGTGGAAAACCCTGCACCTCCCAGTGCAAAGTAAAGGTTCACTTTGATTTGAAGTGTGGTCATAATAAAGAAGACTTTTGTTATTACAAAGTCTCAAAGCAGGAACCAGTCTGTACAGTGCCATGCAAGCAGCAGTTGAAATGTGGTCATGTCTGTTCTGGCGAATGCGGTCTCTGCCACCGGGGGCGCTACCACTGCAGCTGTTCCCATGTTTGTGAGCGCCTTCTCGTCTGCTCTCACAAATGCCAGGCGCCCTGCACAAACTGTCCCCCTTGTACTCGCCCATGTGAGAATCGTTGTGTCCACAGTCAGTGCCGCAGACTTTGTGGACAGCCCTGCTCTCCCTGTGTGGAGCCTTGTGCCTGGAGTTGTCCACACCAAAGCTGCACCAAACTTTGCCAAGAGCCATGTGACCGTCCTCCATGTGATGAACCCTGTGTAGAGGTCCTGGGCTGTGGGCACCCATGCATTGGACTGTGTGGAGAAAAATGTCCAGACAAATGCCGCGTCTGTGATCATGAAGAGGTAACTGAGATCTTCTTTGGCTTTGAAGATGACCCAGATGCTCGCTTTATCCAGCTACAAGACTGTGGTCACGTTATTGAACGCAGAGCGATGGACCAATACATGGGAATGGATGAGAGGCAGCAAGAAAATGAGGAAGAAGTGGCAATCAAACTCAAAGAGTGTCCCAAGTGTCGAACACCAATACGCAAGAATCTCCGTTATGGCTCTCACATAAACCGCTGTCTGGCCGAGATAGAGCAGGTGAAGGAGAAGATTGCAGGAAATCCGAAAGACATTGAATCACAAACATTTGCCTTAGAGAAGCGTTGCACAGGAACATACTTACAATACTTAGATGATGAACAGAGTGAGATAGAAAATTTGTTTTACAGAAGATCACTAAAATCACATAAATTCAACTTTGTGGATTTGTGGATAATCGAGAACAAAATGGAATTCTACAATAGAGTGAACAAGCTTCTCAAAATCAGTAAAACCAGATACAGGGCCAACACAGAGTTTAAAATGGAGTGCCGTCATCTTCTCGGTTGGCTCAAAGATCCGAAGCAAAGATTCACAGAACAGCAGCTGAGCGATTTGGAGAGAGAGCTCCAGAGACTCACACACTTGGCTGAACTAACAGCACTCTGTCAAACAGCAAAATACAACACAATGAAAGACGAAATAGAAGTGGAGGAAGAAACTATCCGTCAGGTTCTGGAAAAAGGTGGCCGGTTCACTGAAGATGACGAGGCAATTGTTCGACCCATTTTAGACAAACTTAAAGAGAAGTTCCCAGACTCTGGGTTGGGAATCAGTGATAAAGAGAGGAAGATGATCGTGGCAGCCGTCCAAATGCCTGGGCACTGGTTCAAATGCTCCAATGGTCACGTGTATCTGATAACAGAATGTGGAGGGGCCATGGAACGGTCAAAATGTCCTGAATGCAAAGAAACTATTGGCGGGAGCAACCACAGCTTAGAGAGAGGGAACCAACTCGCCTCGGAGATGGATGGAGCAGAGGAACCGGCTTGGCCAACGGCACTCCAACCTCTGCTTGATGATTCTGATTCTGATTCTGATTAAAGCTACATTACCTGACTTTATTTTTGTATTCATTACAAAATAAAGTCAGGTAATGGGCGACAGTAGCTCAGTTGGTAGAGCATTGGCCTTTGAGCCTGAAGGTCGGGGGTTCGAGCCCACCGTGAGACCTACTTCACGACTCCCACTGATGACTGCTGTCGTTGTGTCCTTGGGCAAGACACTTAACCCCACTTTGCCTGAAGCTCCTACTGAAAGATCTCAGCTCCTGTGGACTCACCACCTGCAGGAGGATCAGTGAGGGGCTGGTGCTCTGTGTGCTGGGTGGCATCTCTGGCCACCCCCCCGACCCAGAAATGGATTAAGGGGAAGAAAATGGATGGATGGATGGACAAAAATGCAATCCATATCCGTGTAGTGCATTGGGATATACATGTACGTCCTTTTGAAGAAAAAATAAGGTAGATTTGTGCTGGCGTGTCGAGTTTTTGTGCAACAAGGAAGAGAATGTGTTTCGGGACCAGATTTTGATCAATCACAGCAGACCACTGGCCCCCACTTTCTTGCGAAAACCCACAGGTCTCTCGTTAGCATAGACAGCTGAGGTAAACAAGTTGCGGAGGCTAACCTGGAACTTCCCGTGTCTTCATTACCGGTTACTGCTTACTCAGCGAAACAGCCAAGATAAAGTCTTGTCCTCTCCGCGCTTCCCGGTTCTATCATTCTATGGTCACGCCACGTTCAAATGTGTGTCCATATTGTGAGACATGAGCTCCGTAAACAATTAGCATGTGAGCACAGACTGAGGGGGAGGGGGGTAGTAGGGGGCGATAGCTTCATGTGTGCGGGGAGGGCGAGCAGAAGAGCGAGACGAGCGCTCACATTTGAAAATTAGTTAGTGCGGCTTTAAATGTGCTTTCTGATCTAGAAAAAATCATGCCACACTTCGTCACCGCTGAGGTTCCATTTGCTAGCCACTGGCACAGGATATAATTACACATTACTTATTCATCATCAACATACACAATACAATATTTCTGTCTCAAACTAGACTAGTCCGAAAAAATAAATAAAAAAAATACTCCCCTCAGCATTGACTGCAACTGGAACGTAGCTTTGGGCCCAGGAGCGACTTTTGGACCATCATGTAACGCCCTTTTTCAGAGGAAGACGTCATACAGAAGCATTGGGTAATTCTTTTTCTGGGTTCACCCCCACCGACAAGGAGTGGGATTGTAGCTTGTCAGCGGAAGACAAACACATCAATTATTCCGCTTTGTGCTAAATATGATAAAATATTGTATGTATGGGGCGACAGTGGCTCAGTTGGTAGCGCATTGGCCTTTGAGCCTGAAGGTCGTGGGTTCGAGCCCACCACATGACCCACTTCATGACTCCCACTGATGACTGCTGTTGTTGTGTCCTTGGGCAAGACACTTAACTCCACTTTTCCTGAAGCCCCCGCTGGAAGATCTCACCACCTGCAGGACGATCAGTGAGGGGCTGGTGCTCTGTGAAGTGTGTGCAGCTCTGACTGCCACCCACCTGACCCAGAAATGGATTAAGGGGAAGAAAATGGATGGATGGATGGATGGATTTTATATGCTGTCCGCGCCTGATGTCTGTGTCCATATGTGACATCAATCAATCAATCAATCAATCAATCAATCACTCTATTTATCCTCCAGGGGAATATATAAACCACAAGTTGATTATTAGTTGTTGTTGCATTTCTCTGACTCATTATTATTATTATCTCCTTGTTATATTAGTTATGATTAGTCCAAGTTCCTAATGACTGTGTCTGTGCAGAATTACCCTCCAGCCCCCAGGGGTCTGTAATCATAAATATATATATATATATCATTCTTGATTTTATATTCTTTCCTTTTTTGATTAATTACTCCAATAATGTTGTGTTTGTTAATATTTACTATTTTTATTTTTCTTTACCCTGAACTCATGGCTATATGGTAATTCCAGTTGTACTTATGAAGTCGTCAGAGGTGAGCAGCCAAAACTTCAATGGGATTTTAAGAATAACAACAAAAGATGGAGGATCCACGCAAGTAGTTTTTCTCAAACTTATGTATTTTGAATAAACTGGGGCAAAAATATCTTTCTAAATGTTATTTTATAATGTATTTTTGTTTTTTTCAATTATTGATGTTCGGTAATGTGGTAATTCTTTTGATCTCTTTGACTGTGATGTGGGTTTATTATGGAATTGCAAACAAATACTTGTAGTACTCCTTTTGAACAGGCAGATGGCAGTAGCACAGTGCATATAACTTGTATGTTGCACTGAAATAAAAACTTGGAAGAATAGTTTTTTCTGACTTTTTTTCCCTTCTTTTTATTGTAGTGGAGTAAGACCTAGTGGATTGAGTATACACATGTTATATTATTTATCTTTGACGGACAGGAGTTATGTGTGCTACATTTTTTACCTGCAAATGCAACGGTGACAGACATAAAGACATATGCTTTCTTCGAAGAGATATTAGCAAATCATAACAATTGAGAAATGTTTAATTGGGATATTATCATTACTATTATAAAATTGTATTTACGGTAATGTGATTCAACACTGCAGATGACACCAAAACAATACCAAGATAATTCAATACACATTCAATGTTCTGCTGATAATCAAATTGTTGGAATGGGTCTTTATAATTAAGTCTGAAGATATGTTAACATAATGTTCACAGTTCATATCAATTCGTTATTTAACAATACATTTTTTATAACAAACCCATCTACTGGGTATTCTAAAAATGACTTATTAATTCAGGACTGGTGCTCTGTGTACTGGGTGTAGCTCTGAATGGATTAAGGGGAATAAAATGGATGGATTCATGTGTGTGTAGGTGTTTAGTCTCAAAAGCTCCAGTCCCCGTAGACATAAATGCTGTTTGTAGTTTGTAGTTTGAGCTTATCCTCTTAACAATAAACATATTTAAATAATGTACCAACATAAATGGTATTTACCTCCTACTGGACCTTACTCAGAATCCCCTCACATAACCAAAGGGACTTGCCTGTCTCGACCAAGACTCGGGACTTGCCTGTCTCGACCAAGACATGGGACTTGCCTGTCTCGACCAAGACTCGGGACTTGCCTGTCTCGACCAAGACTCGGGACTTGCCTCTCTCGACCAAGACTCGGGACTTGCCTGTGTCGACCAAGACTCGGGACATGCCTGTCTCAACCAAGACTCGGGACTTGCCTGTGTCGACCAAGACTCAGGACTTGCCTGTCTCGACCAAGACTCAGGACTTGCCTGTGTCGACCAAGACTCGGGACTTGCCTGTCTCGACCAAGACTCGGGACTTGCCTGTCTCGACCAAGACTCGGGACTTGCCTGTCTAGACCAAGACTCGGGACTTGCCTGTCTCAACCAAGACTCGGGACTTGCCTGTGTCGACCAAGACTAGGGACTTGCCTGTCTCAACCAAGACTAGGGACTTGCCTGTCTCAACCAAGACTCGGGACTTGCCTGTCTCGACCAAGACTCGGGACTTGCCTGACTCGACCAAGACTAGGGACTTGCCTGTCTCAACCAAGACTCGGGACTTGCCTGTGTCGACCAAGACTAGGGACTTGCCTGTGTAGACCAAGACTCGGGACTTGCCTGTGTAGACCAAGACTCGGGACTTGCCTGTGTCAACCAAGACTAGGGACTTGCCTGTGTCATCTCAGGACTTAACGTGATTCCTCTTTGGGGGATTTAAACTTTAAACTTTTTAAACTTCAGCTTTTTAAAAGGTTTAAAAATGGATTTCACATTTTACAGACGTAGAATAATATGAGTGCTTTTATGACGCAATGCAAATATGTAGACACATAATCCACACATTTTATATCTGTCTAATTTCAGTTTGGACAGTGAATTAACTAATAAATCAGAGCCACCTCTCCTGAGTAACTTCCTGCCGGCTCTGTGTTGGTTCTCTTCCAAGCTGTGATTAAAGCTGAGGGAAAAGTATATACCCTGATCATATTTTCATCATCTCACCGCTTTGATTTAAATGTTAATGCATTTTGCCCCTGCGTCTCCCTTCTTGTTTGAGACTTGGACGACCGTGTTTTGCATGCATTTCCGCCGAGGTAAGCACATTCAGTTTTGGGAGCGCTTGATTCTAACCTAATTTGAATAACTGTGTGAGCGGCAATTTGGTTTTAATTGAGGTCTGCGAATCCAAACACCTGCAAGTAGATTAGTGGCTGACATTAAGTTGTTTTGCTGCATTGGACCTCCGAGTGCTTCCACAGACATCATCGCCGACTCCAAATTTGTTAATTCGGCGCCATATGTGCAAAACGGAAAATGCGATGAGCTTGGCTGGGTGTTTCAGGGAGTTCTGGGGACATATGGTCAGGAAGGTGGGGATAATACAAGGCCAATTCATCCTACTTTCCAATGCTGTTGTGCACCGTGACAATGGCCGAGTGCTGCCGTTACCATTGGCGCACACTTATCAATATGGATCAGAGATATTCTTCTCCGTTTCAGGGTACAATCATTAATATTATAAAATTGCTTTCATCTCAGAACTAAATCCAGATTAAACTGTTTAACTGACCAGCATCAGACTATGCGTCTAATACAAATAATATGTTGGGAATTTGAAAAAAAACAAAAGGTGTTTAGGCTCTATATTTATTTGTTTATTTATTTACCCATATTTTTAACATCATTATCACTTTTGTCATTCTGCGGACGTGTATGATTGAAATTCTCACCCAATGATTATGGACAACTCTATATGGGCAGCACGGTGGCTGAGTGGTTAGCACTCTCTCTTCTCAGCAAGAAGATCCTGGGTTCAAATCCCAGTTGGAACAGGGCCTTTCTGAGTGGAGTTTGCATGTTCTCCCCGTGTCTGTCGTAGATTTCCCCCGGGTGCTTCAGTTTTCCCTACCACTAAAAACATGCGCAATAGGTCTGAATGTAAATGAGAGAGTGAATGGATGGTGTCGATTGCGGGCTGATGGTCTAGTGTGTTTGGCGCCTCGACCCGTGTGTGGAATGATTGGAACAATATCTGAACTCTGAACATTGTAAAGCGCTTTGGGTGACCTTGGTCTGTATAATGTGCTATATAAATAAACATTACTTACTAAACCACTCATTGAAAAATGAAATTAATGATGCATCCCCCTTGGACTGCCACCCCCCCTTGGACTGCCACCTTAACGTGGTGGGGGAGTTTGAGCACTCGGATGATCCTGGGAGCTATGCTGTCTGGGGCTTCATGCCCCTGGTAGGGTCTCCCATGGCAGACAGGTCTCAAGTGACGAGTCAGACAAAGAGCAGTCCGAAGCCAACCATGGACAGCACGACAACGAGAACCGTGACGTCGCCCGGCATGGCGCAGCCGGGGCCCCACCCTGGAGCCAGGCCTGGGGTCGGGGCTCGCAAGCGAGCGCCTGGTGGCCGGGCCTTAGCCCGCGGGGCCCGGCCGGGCTCAGCCCGAAGGGATGACGTGGGCAGTCCCTCCTGTGGGCCCACCACCTGCAGAGGGGTCCGTGGTGGCGAGGTGCAGAGAGGACTGGGCAGCAGTCGAAGGCGGAGACCTCGACGACCCAGTCCACACACCCAACATCTGGCTCTTGGGACGTGGAACGTCACCTCACTGGGGGGGAAGGAGCCCGAGCTTGTGGGGGAGGTTGAGCGATACCGACTAGAGATAGTCGGCCTCACCTCCACACACAGCTTGGGCTCTGGAACCCAACTCCTTGAGAGGGGTTGGACGCTCCACTTTTCTGGTGTTTCCCGCGGGGAGAGGCGGCGAGCTGGGGTGGCCATACTCATTGCCCCCCATCTCAGCCGCCACGTGTTGGAGTTCTCCCCGGTGAATGAGAGGGTCGCGTCCCTCCGCCTCCGGGTGGGGGACAAGTCTCTCACTGTTGTGACGGCCTACGGGCCTAACAGCAGTGCAGAGTACCCGGCCTTCTTGGAGTCCTTGGGAGGGGTACTGGACAGTGCACCGCCCGGGGACTCCGTTATGCTCCTGGTGGACTTCAACGCCCATGTGGGAAATGCCAGTGACACTTGGAGAGGGGTGATCGGGAAGAACGGCCCCCCTGATCTGAACCCGAGCGGTGTTCAGTTGTTGGACTTCTGTGCCAGTCACAGTTTATCCATCACGAACACCATGTTCGAGCACAAGGGTGTCCATCAGTGCACGTGGCACCATGACACCCTAGGCCGGAGGTCGATGATCGACTTTGTTGTCGTATCATCTGACCTTCGACCGCGTGTCTCGGACACTCGGGTGAAGAGAGGGGCGGAGCTGTCAACCGATCATCACCTGGTCGTGAGTTGGATCCGCTGGCAGGGCAGGAGGCCGGACAGACCTGGCAGGCCCAAGCGTGTAGTGAGGGTTTGCTGGGAACGTCTTGCTGAGCCCCCTGTCAGACGGACTTTCAACTCACACCTCCGGGAGAGCTTCTCCCAGGTCCCGGCAGAGGAGGGGGACATCGAGTCCGAGTGGACCATGTTCTCTTCCTCTATCGCCAATGCGGCGGCTCGTAGCTGTGGTCGCAAGGTCTCTGGTGCTGGTCCCGGCGGCAATCCCCGAACCCGGTGGTGGACACCGGCAGTAAGGGATGCCGTCAGGCTGAAGAAGGAGTCCTATCAAGCAATGATGGTTCGTGGGACTCCTGAGGCAGCTGTCCAGTACCGGCAGGCCAAACGTGCCGCGGCCCGGGCTGTTGCAGAGGCAAAAACCCGGGTCTGGGAGGAGTTCGGAGAGTCCATGGAGCATGACTATCGGTCGGCCTCGAAGAGGTTCTGGCAAACCGTCCGGCGCCTCAGGAGGGGGAAGCAGTTCTTTGCCAACACCGTGTATGGTGCGGGTGGAGGGCTGCTGACCTCGACTGGGGATATTGTCGGGCGGTGGAAGGAATACTTCGAGGTTCTCCTCAATCCCCCCGTCACGTCCTCCGTCCAGGAGGCAGAGGCTGAGGATGTTGGGGCGGATACTTACATCTCCCTGGCCGAGGTCACCAAGGTGGTTGGCAGCCTCCATGGTGGCAAGGCGCCGGGAGTGGATGAGATCCGTCCTGACTATCTAAAGTCTCTGGATGTTGTAGGACTGTCTTGGCTGACACGTCTCTGCAGCATCGCGTGGCGATCGGGGGCGGTACCAATGGAGTGGCAGACCGGGGTGGTGGTCCCTCTCTACAAGAAGGGGGACCGGAGGGTGTGTTCCAATTATCGTGGGATCACACTCCTCAGCCTCCCCGGTAAGGTCTACTCCAAGGTACTGGAGAGGAGGCTACGTCCGATGGTCGAATCTCGGATTCAGGAGGAGCAGTGTGGTTTTCGTCCAGGTCGCGGAACACTGGACCAGCTCTATACTCTCCATCGGATACTCGAGGGTTCATGGGAGTTCGCCCAACCTGTCCACATGTGCTTTGTGGATTTGGAGAAGGCGTTCGACCGTGTTCCCCGGGGTGTCCTTTGGGGGGTCCTCCGGGAGTACGGGGTCCGGGGTCCTCTGCTGAGGGCCGTCCGGTCCCTGTATGACCGGAGTCAGAGCTGTGTTCGCATTGCCGGCAGTAAGTCAGACCTGTTCCCGGTGCATGTTGGCCTCCGCCAAGGCTGCCCTTTGTCACCGGTTCTGTTCACTGTATTTATGGACAGAATTTCTAGGCGCAGCCAGGGGCCGGAGGGGGTCCGGTTCGGGAACCACAGGATTTCATCTCTACTTTTTGCGGATGATGTCGTCCTGCTGGCTCCAACGAACCAGGACCTGCAGCATGCACTGGGACGGTTTGCAGCCGAGTGCAAAGCGGCTGGGATGAGAATCAGCACCTCCAAATCCGAGGCCATGGTGCTCGACCGGAAAAAGGTGCCTTGCCCTCTTCAGGCGGGTGGAGAGGTCCTTCCTCAAGTGGAGGAGTTCAAGTATCTCGGGGTCTTGTTCACGAGTGAGGGGAGGATGGAGCGTGAGATTGACAGGCGGATCGGTGCAGCGTGCGCAGTGATGCGGTCGCTGTATCGGACCGTTGTGGTAAAGAGGGAGCTGAGCCGAAAGGCGAAGCTCTCGATTTACCGGTCAATCTTCGTGCCCTCCCTCACCTATGGTCATGAGCTTTGGGTAATGACCGAAAGAACGAGATCGCGGATACAAGCGGTCGAAATGAGCTTCCTCCGCAGAGTGGCTGGGCGCTCCCTTAGAGATAGGGTGAGGAGCTCAGTCACACGGGAGGAGCTCGGAGTAGAGCCGCTGCTTCTCCACGTCGAGAGGAACCAGTTGAGGTGGCTCGGGCATCTGTTCAGGATGCCTCCTGGACGCCTTCCTGGGGAGGTGTTCCGGGCACGTCCCACCGGGAGGAGGCCCCGGGGAAGACACAGGACACGCTGGAGAGACTATGTCTCTCAGCTGGCCTGGGAACGCCTTGGGGTCCCCCCGGACGAGCTGGA